GTCCCCAGCTGTGAGGTGATTGGTAGAGGGGGGAGGAGGGGAGGGGGTGCAAGGGGGTGGGAGAATGGGTGTAGTGGAGAGAGGTAGGTGGGGGGAGGAGGTGGAGGTTTGTGGGGTGGAAAAATGGAGAGGATAGGGGGAGTAGGATAGGAGGAGTGGGAAAGGGGAGGGAGTGGAGGGGAGTTTAGGGAAGATGAGGGGGGGGGGTGTTACTGTCATCATGGGGAATACGGGCTGTGGAGGAGGAGGGTGGGGTAGCCAGGGTATGAATGGGGGTACCCGAGGAGGTGGAGGGGGTTTTTAAGTCAAACCTATTGAAGAACAGGTTTAGCTCGTTGGCACGTCCCTTTGTCCCTTCTACTGAACCTACTGACCTTTTCATGCCAGTAATGCTCCTCATCTCCCACCCCCACACCTCTCTTGTGCTGATCTGCTGCAGCTTCCCTTCTATCTTGTTCTTGTAACAGTCTTTGGCCCTCCTCAACTCCCTCTGAATGTCTGTCTTGGCATCCTCATCTCCTGCCATGAAAGCCATCTTCTTCGGCTTGTTGTTGAGGAAACAGCGAATACTCTTGGTGGGGATAACACTGTCCTCACAGAACCTAATGTAGTCTGTGAGGCACTGGGTGAGACCCTCGATGTCGTCTCCGTAGTCTTCCTGGAACACTTCCCAGTCGGTTGTCCTGTAACACTTCATCAAGGCCTACTCTGCCTCCACCGACCACTGCTGCACAGTCCTGGTGGTGATGGACTGTCTCCTCCTAACACCAGGCCTGTATGTAGGATTGAGATGTATCAGGCAGTGGTCAGATTTGCAGAGAGGGGGGAGGGCGGGGAGGGCGGTGGCGCTGTATACCTTTCATTGGCATACAGCAGATCCAAGGTCTTTTCCCCTTTAGTGTTACAGGTGATGTACTGGGTAAAGTTTGTCAGGGTCTTTGAGATTTTGGCATGGTTAAAATCTCCGTTTATTATGATGAATGCGCTGGGATGATGTCTGCAACAGTGGAGTGGATGACGTCACAGGCGTGTGCCGCTACAATGACGACAATAGTGGCCCAAAACTCACAGGGCAGATAGTATGGCCTTAACCCTATGGCCAGCAGTTCAATGTCAGGCGTGCAGATTTCTGCCTTCTTGATAACATGTCCAGGGTTACACCATTTAGGGTTCACAAAGACAGCAAGACCTTCTCCCGACTTTTTACCACTCTGTTTCTTCCTCTCAGCCCGAACTAGTGAAATGCCGGCTAGTTAACAGTCTGGTGTAATGTCATTCAGCCATGTCTCCGTCAGACATAATATGCTGCACTCCCGATACTCTCACTGTCCGTTGACCAGGCCTGAGAGCTCGTCCATCTTGTTGTTCAGCGAGCGTATGTTTCCCATGACAACCAAGGGAAGACATGGCTTGTATCTCCAACGCCTCTCTGTCTTCTTGGTCCTCACCAACATGCCTGCTCTGGTTCCTCTCCTTCATCTCCTTAACTCCACTGGGATCTCCCTTGGGCATGCGACACCTAAATCCTGATAGGAAGTTTTCACGTGAATAACCTCCGGCGTTTTGTTGTGTGGTGGTTGTTGTGTCCACATTCCTACACATTGTTTATATTTAAAAAACTTAAGTTCAACTACGGCTAAAAAAGTAAAAAATTAACTACCAACACTGACGGTCTATTTACAACAATAAACACAGTGCTATTTTAGAAGGAATAAAGAAGTAGTAAGATTTAAGGCAAAAAAGTATTTATGGAAGATTCATCGTTAACGTTTACAAACTGAGAACGATCTCATTAGTATGACTTAAACCAGCTTAGTGTGGTTCCTTTAATGCCAATGTGATGCTCAAGTCCAGTGCTGTCTCTGTGCTGTGATGAACTCTAAATCCTGACTGAAAATCCTCAAATAAGCTCTTGATATGTAGAAAGTCACACAACTGCTTGGCGACTACTTTTTCCAGAATCTTAGAAAGGAAGGGGAGGCTAGAAATCGATCTATAGTTGGCTAAAACCCCTGGTTCAAGAGTGGGCTTTTTAAGAAGGGGTTTAATTATAGCTACTGTAAAGGACTGTGGCACATATTCTGACAATAAAGAAAGATTGATCATATCCAGTAAAGAAGTGCCAATTAGGGTACGACTTCTTTAAGCAGCCTAGTTGGGATGGGGTCTAACAAACAGGTTGATGGCTTCAATGTAGAAATTATTGAAGTTAGTTGATGGAGATCGATAGCACAAAAGCAATCTAAATATATATCTGATTTTACATTTGTTAAAGTTCCTGATCTTGGAGAGAGCGATACCTGTTGAGGGCATTTGGTTATTAATTTTGTCTCTAATAGTAATAATTTTATCATAAAAGAAGCTCATAAAGTCGTTGCTACTGAGGGTTATGGGGATACGTGGCTTATAGAATCTAATGTTGTTCGCAGTGAGCCTGCAGCACTATTAACAAGATTATCAATTTGGGAGGGACTAAAGTTATGACAGGACTCAAGAGTGTGATTAAAACAATGAGTGGGTTTATTTACACTCTGACAGAAGCCAATTGAGTCTATTAATGAGATTACTGCATTACTAAGGCTGTCATTGTCAACATCCACATGAATATTCACCTACAGTAATTACTTTATCTGATTTAAGGACTAAACTTGATAAAAACTTTAAAAAATCAGAGTATGGTCACCAACAGAACTGGCTGCAATGTTTTCCAGGTGGGTGAGAAAGGCTAAGAACAAGCCTTTCAAATGAATTATAATTTAGTTTATGTTTAGGATCAATTAAAAGGCTTGAATTATATATGGCTGCTACTCCACCTCCTCGGCTGGTGCCTCCAGGAATGTGAGTATTAATATGACTGGGGGGGTGGATTAATTTAGGCTGACATACTCTTCGTGGCACAACCAGGTCTCAATAAGATAGAGTAAATCAATGTCGTAATCTGATATTAATTTAAGTCAATTCAATTCAATTTTATTTGTATAGCGCCAATTCATAACAGAAGTTATCTCAGGACACTTTTCAAATAGAGCAGGTCTAGACCGAACTCTTTAACATTAATTATTACATTAATTTATTCACTAGAACAGCTTTAGAGGACAGAGACATGATGTTATCCATATAGTCCATATTTCATTCTTTTATTTTGTGCTAGTGTGGAGTTTGTTTTAATTTTTATTAGGTTTTTATGTTAAATTCCTCTTGTTTTAATTTCTTTAACTAATTTAGGCGGTCAGGGGACAGACACAGTCTCTATGGGGTTTTGCGTGGGTGACTGTTCTAATGGAAGCGCGGAGAAGTGTGTAAAGGCCCGGACACACCAACCCGATTATCTGCCGTCGGAAGTCATCATGACTCGAGTTGGTTCGGTGTGTCCCGTGCCGTCATCAGTCAGCATTCGGCGTTCACAAACCAGAAGTGACGATGTAAACATACTACGCCAACGCCAGTATCTTGTTATTATTAGCCATCGTATTTTTCGTTCAGCATGTAATGACAATAACGATCCTTCTTGACTACTATCAACACACTCTGATGAAAACAATGACTGACGACAGCGTGCTCTGTGTTTACTAGGTCTAGAGTGATCCATCATTTCCGGTTATCATTTGTTTTGGACGACAACACAGATTAGCGCCGCCTGCTGTTATGGGGACGTATTACGCCTCGCGCATGCGCAGAACGTACACTCCAGTCGGCGTCGCTTTGGTGTGTTCGGAGGCACTTTTTTGACCGACTCGGGGAGACGGGAGCCGACTGATCAGTCCGTCTAGATTCACGTTCCTGACTATTGACTCAGTGTATCTGTTAACCAATCTAGTCAAAAATAACCACTGCTATACACCAGCTAATGCACCTCAGGGAACCATCTGTTAAACTCCTCATAATGGATATTAAAGTGGACTTCCAACCTCCCAGTTATCAAAAAGGCCAAGCAAACTACTGGTTTGGATCAGCCACCAAACAGGACACACTACAACCGACAGTCAGGATTGCAGAGAAGATTTGGGCCAGCCTGTCTAACATTCAGGACTCGTAGACTTTCAGAGTCTGGCAAAACAAAATCACTACAGATCCAATACATCCTGGAATCTGTTCCAACTTCTTCCCTCTACAACATGACTAGTTAAATTCAATAGTTAAATCACAGATATTACACTATAATAAATAAACTGGTTTGCAACGTGCAAGTCTAATAAGACTGTATATACTGTAGATATATCTTAATATTTGGACATTTTGATCATTTTTTGCAGTCTTTCACTTCCTGTTGCCACCCTTTACATACAATACAAAGTATTTTATTGTCTGACCTGTATACAGATAGTTTGCCCTTCCTACACCGCTGTATGTTTTATATATATATATATATATATATATATATATATATTTTTGATTTAAGATTGTTTCACTTGATATGTTTGTGTCTGTTTCATCCTGTACATCTTGACAACACCACCAACACACAGACAATGTGTGAAACATTTTTATAAACTGCATAAAATGATGTACACAGGTTCATTATGTGATTTGTGTTGATCACACGGTCATGAAAAGAACTTATCTGAGTCACATATGAGTAAAAAAATCTGATTTGGGCCACTGAACCTAGTCTAAATTTCTCATTAATTTTTTAACAAATTAAGTTTCGTGTTTATTTCTTCAGTTTGTGTGCTTCCATGTATTATATTGTTTGTGTACTGTAAAAAAAACACTGCCGTGTCCTGACAAAGCACTATGTTGCTATATCTGACTACATTTCCTCACCACCATTACAATTGTCTTTATTTTTTCATTGCTTGTCCCACAGACCCCACTGTTGTAGCATGTGTAAAAATAAAAATTACAAAATTAACCAACTCTAAGAAAACAGAAAGAATACAGATCTATATGAAGCCTCTTTTATTAGCAGTTACAGAATGCAAGTAATTACCTTTGACACCTTGTTGAGAATGCCTGAACTCATGATTTTGTCTATGTGTTTGTCTGTTTCTGTGGTGTAGACTACCATTTGGAGCAAGTCTCAGTGTGGCCTCAGAGTTCTCTCCAACTGGGTCAGGTGTCAGGACTTGCCCTCGATGCAGATTCTAACTTGGTCATTTTCCACAGAGGTGACCACCACTGGGGGGCAGAGTGAGTCGCTTTCACTGACATATCCTTTTCTGTTGATATTGGGCCTTTGTCAGTCCTTGAAATGGAAACATCTTAATGTGTAGTGTTATGTATACAATATATAATTTGTTTATCTGGAGACCTCTTTCAGTTGAACATGAACAAAACTTAACTGATATGATCTTAAAGTTGTAATCACACCGCTAGAGCAACTATACGGATGAAAAATGGCTACTCTTTGCAGAATGAAAGGGCCTGCTCTAATTCATCCACATATTGTTTCTGCTATTGAGCTAAGTAAAGCATGTAATTAGTGAACTATTCTTTCACTCCTGTTGCCTGTTTGCCACCTTCAGCTTATCTTTGGCCACTACTGACAGTCAGCTGACAGTCAGTGGGTGGCAGAGCAGTTAGCAGCAAGTTTCTATCAATGTAGCATGAATGACCAAAAAGTAGATTCAATGAATTTGATTTAAAAAATCACTATACTTTCCCTGTCAAACAAACAAATCTAGAGATGGCATTTTCTAAAGAAATTGCAATGTGAATGAAAAAACTGACGCTGAACTGCATTGCTTTTAAAAGTTTGTCTCGTAAATCTGAATTGATAGCTTCAATTTGTATGTAGAAGCTGTTGAAGGAATGTGAAGGTATGAAGGAAAAGAGTTGGATAGGTAGGAAATAGTGTAATTAGTATGAAAGGGGTTTAAAAGTTAAATAATGCCCATAGTGTATGGAAGATGTGGAACATGTTAAGGTTTAAATGGGCAACTGAACATATTAATTATAGAGAGAAGTATGAATAGTTGGAAAAATGTGAACGGAATCAAGGATGCAAAAAAATATAAAAAAATCAGCTATTTCTGTTTGTTTTTTCAGATCTTTTAACAGCCAGGCTAGATACCAGCAGATGTTCCTTGGTCCTATTCAGCAGTCAACTATTTTGGTTGTGGATCCAGTCAAAGGCAACATCCTGAAGGCTTCTGGCAGAAACATGCAAGTTATAGTGTGCTTTAGTTTTGTTTGTTATAAAGGAGAGTGCTGAGTATGAACAGAGACAACCGGGTATTTCTTCTACTGTGAACAATACATCCTGCAATTCTGCAATACAGGTGAAAGTCAAGTGTCTTTTAATGATGCATTTCACTGATGTTGCAGGTTTTACTTGCCTCATGGAATAACTACAGACAAGGAGAATAATTACTGGGTCACTGATGTGGCTCTTCATCAGGTAAGCTACACTGGCACAACCTAACTGAGGCTTCTGTATTTGATGACCTGTGAAGAATAAACTAAGTCTAACTGGTCGCAAAACTCGAAGGCCCTCCCTACAGCCAGTGTTTGGTTCTGGGCTACTGTTAAAACATGGCGTTTCAACATGAAGTCTGTAGATAACACAGTGATTCCTATATCACCTACACTAATGAAAAAATACCTATGAATATTATATTCCATTTCTCCCAACAGATTGTTCTTCTTCTGTTACACAGTGAACCTTTAATAATAACTGGCTCTATAAAATCAACTTTAGATGATTATCTGTTAATGATGACTAATCATCTAGATCTCTATTTATAATCATTATTTATAAATAACTTATATACAACATTAAATTGTTCTAAGTCATTTGTAATTAATAGGTCCAATGCTCAGAACAGATTGAGATTCAATACACAAGTCAAATCCATCAACCCATAATACAACAGGAAGAATGTTGTGTCTCCTTTGTGTTCTCATCAGGTATTAAAAGTCAGCAGTGATGGCAAAGACAGAATCTTGCTGACACTGGGAGAGGCTTTCACACCAGGAAGTGACAACAGCCACTTCTGCCAGCCCACTGATGTGGCTGTGGACACTGAGACTGGGGACATCTTTGTGTCTGATGGATACTGCAATGCTAGGATACTGAAATTCTCTGCTGATGGCAAATACCTGACTGAGTGGGGTGCAGGTAGGAATCCTTCACACACACACGCACACAAATCTTGATTTTTTTTTTAAAGCAGGTCTTGTTAGACAATGAGCATATAGCATGTAAATAAAGTAAAATATTTTTTTTACGTAATACAAACATTCGCGGTTTTAATTCCAATAAAGCCAACCAATGAAAATGGAGAGCACTTGTTATTTCATTGTCTTGTGTACAGTCTGTTTTTGAAGATTTGAAACTAGAAACTGAGACCATAAAGTCATTTGAAAACGGTTTACTGAGAAAATAAATCAAGTGAGAAGTAGGCTAATTTCTCCATAAGACTGTATGCTATTCGTCTTTTATTGCAGCCAATGGAGTTCCCTCTGCTGCTGCCATTACATAGGATGCACTGTGACAATTTCATTGGCTTCACTTCACTGACTCTGTCCATTATATATTCTGTCAATGCACTGACCCCACTCTGCTGGTGTCCAGCCAAAAGGCATGAAACATTTTAGGGTAATGGTTAGGGTTGCAAAATTCTGGGAATTTTCAAAGTTGGAAACTTTCCATGGGAATAAACGGGAATTAATGGGAATAAACTTGATATTTTTAATATTGTTTGTTATAATACTGTTAGTCTATAACAGGGAACTTACATGTAGTTGAAAGGAAACATCTTGCAGGATAATCTTAAATTCCCATTAATTCCCATAATTTCCCATTAATTCCCATAATTTCCATTAATTCCCATGAAAGTTTCCAAATTGGAATGTTTTGGAAGTCCCCAGCTTATACTTCCATGAAAAGTTTCCGGAAAGTTTCTGGAAATTTACCGGAAAATGTCCCCCCCTTTGCAACCCTAGTTATGGTACAAAAAGGTTCAAAAAGGTACAATGGGGCGGTTTCTTCTTTCTAGTTAGCGTTCCTGTGGGGGTTCCTTCCTCTATCTCGCCTTCCAGTTAGTTGCTCCAGAGAAACCTGACCTGGTTAGACAAACAGGTGTGGGGTTAAATCATGAGCATTTTCCTCTCCATTTGCATGCAACCATCATGGCTCACCAGTATTCACCAGCAAGTCCGTCATATTCCCCTGCTGCGGCACATTGTCGGTTGTAATAATTACTGTTGATAGTGAAGACACTATATTGAACCATAAAGTCATTTGAAATGGTTTGTTTAGCATTAGCATAGCATATTGTTCCACAATTCCTGAAGTGAGATTTCATTCACAACACAAACTCCTTCAATAAAGGTGCGAGGCTCCAGTTCCAGTTCTTCAAGGTTTGAGGAGGCAAGTTTTGTTTGGCCATCTCTGCGTCTTCTAGCAACAGGTTACAGTGCATGCAATGAATGAATGAATAACAAAGGGAAGGGACTGCACCAAAAAACAAAGTCAGCATTGGAATGGCTCAGGGTTCTTGACAGAAAGGTCACAGATCGAATCGTATCTGTGCATTTACAATAGGATGGACAACTACTATCTATTACAGAGTAAGCCATTATGTTATCTGGGTTACACATGCTATAAATCAAAAAATACTACTACTTTTTCACTTAGCGTCTTAAATAGAGTACTACCATAAATTGGGATTTTAGTTAGACCAATTTGTGATTTCCAGTGTTGTTACTCAAAGCTGATTTCCATCTCCAAATTTACGTTTTTTATTGTGTTGTTAGCAATAATTCAGGCAGTTTCAGATCACTGCTACCAATTCACCAGTAAACACAATGTTCACATATTCAGCCATCGTATGTTATTTTTCTGACTGAAGGCTCGTCAGACAGGAGAAGGAGGATACCGTTCCTGATACCCCACAGCCTGGTGTTCCTTCCCGGCAGACAGGAAGTTTGTGTGGCTGACAGGGAGAACGGACGTATCCAGTGCTTCATAGCGGCAACTGGAGAGTTTGTCAAGGAAATAAAGAAAGAGGAGTTTGGAGGGGAAGTGTTTGCAGTCACTTTCAGCCCTGCCGGAGGTGAGTGTACTAACTTTGCTGATTCTCTTCTACGGTGTGCAATCGTAAGTGTTTAACAATTATCTTTGTGTGTGTGCATGAAGATGGCTTGATCTTTGCAGTAAATGGGGACTCTCCATATCGCTCAGCTCCACTCAAAGGTTTTGTAATAGATTATTCCACCAAGGATATTTTGGAGACCTTCAGCCCAGAAAAAAAGGTAAAAACACATACTCTCTCTCTCTTTGTCACTCATCCATATGTGGTAACCTATGAGCTGTGGCCACAATAATGTTTAAGATAGAAGGAAAAAAACTGTTGTAAACTGTGTGCTGTAATGGAAAAATGGGCTAGTGCCATAAAGTGTTATGCATTTGTGGCGACCCACAACCAAAACAGTCATATGGGGAACTCGGAGTAAAAGTGACAAAGGCGGGGCGCCCAGTTAGCTCAGTTGGTAGAGCTGGCATCCCATGTACCGAGGCTGGCTCCTTGCTGCAGCGGCCCAGGGTTCGAATCCAACCTACGGCCCTTTGCTGCGTGTCATCCCTTCTCTCTCCGTCCCCCTTTCCTGTCTGTCTTCAGCTGTCACTATCATAAAGGCAATAAAAGCTCCCCAAAAAACAAAAACAAACAAAGGCCTGTGTTGTAGAGTAATTCATTCTGCTTAAGGATATGATTATCCAGAACCTTGATAAGATAAGCTTGCATTCTCAGTAAGTTTGTGCTTCACCCAAACAGCTCAAAAGTGTGAAGCCTCTTTAATTATTTCAATCCCTGTAGTCACAGTTTTTCTTATAGATCGGTAGATTAAACCAATCACCCAATCATCAGGGATAACATAAGATCTTGTCAAAGAAATATTTCAGCAGCTTTTCAGATTTTAAGTGTTAAGATACCCTACTGAATTTCTAGTTTAGTAAACTCCTATTTGTATTTGATATTAAACCACACCGCCTTTGTGTTTTTTGGAATCTCTCTCTGCTTTTTGAACTTTTTAGGGGATGTAATCTTCACACTTTTTATCACACTTCCTCAGTTTTTGTATCCACTGACATATTATCAAGGTTGCACAACAATTTATCCACTCTGTCCATCAGTATATTGCTTGTAGACTTGTCTTTATTCCAGTTACCAATTTCATGTTCTGTACCCAGACCATTCTAATTAATTGGAAAGCAGTTTTTTATGATGGTGTAGAATCATATTTCTTGCCTGTACTTTTGCATTGAGCTGTATCTTGCTTTATTTGTAGGATTTTAAAATGCCTCACGACATAGTTGCAACCAGGGATGGCAGCGTTTTTGTTGGAGATGCAGGCAACAAATCAGTCTTCAAATTTACCTCTGAGAGTAAGCTATGATAATCTTAATTTGTGTGTGCTTTAACTGAAATTCTGATTCAGAATACAGAAATGTGTTTTGTTGTGGCTTTGTAGATGAATTTTCCACCTGTAATTTAAGTTTGCTGTTAAATATACCTTAATTTTTTTTCATCTTAATGTTCCAGAGTTACATCGCTCAGTGAAGAAAGCAGGAATCGAGGTTCAAGAACTTGAAGGTGAGTGTTATTGATTTTTACTGTTTCAGACTGTATTTTTGTTATGCTGAGCCTGTTGCTCCTGACGTTCATATTTGCTGACACCACAAGGCAACACACACCTGCAGCACGTGACGCACATGAAGGCAAGAGGTACCACAGATCACAAAACTGGATTATATCACGGTTTTGAGTCAAGGATTGCATAATTTTTCAGATCTTAAAATATATAGTAATACATATTTACTGTATTATAGTATAATAGATTATACACTATACAGTAATAATGTAATAATATTACACTTGTCTCACTCAGTGTCCTAATTTTGTACTGAGGCAGTGCATAGCCGGTTGTTTGTACTGTAGTTGTTGAATAGACTTCTCAGACCCAAGTACAACACCAGAACAAAACCAGTCACTGACATGTTTCTAGACAACCTGTAGCTATCCTTTATTGGATAAGACAGCTGAAAATAAACAGAATAGGGGGAGTGAGAGAGAGAGGGGATGATACACGGCTAAGCGCCACAGATCGGATTCAAACTTATAGCCACTGCAGCAACGACCCAGTCTTTGTACATGGATCACCATGTTAGAATTAAATGTGAGCTCATTGAACAATGTTACATGTTCAATGAGCTCACCTTTAATTCTAATCAGCCAATCAGCCAACAGGGTGGTGGTCATAATGTTATGCAGCCCCATACACAACAAACTCCGATGCACTGTGTTCTGACACCTTTCTGTCAGAACCAGCATTAACTTTTTCTGCAATCTGAGCAGTGTTATTCACTTCACCTGTCAGTGGTCATAATGTTATGGCTTATCAGTGATTTGGGGATGATTTTAGACTCTCAGTTAACTTTCATATGTCATGCTAAAAATATTTGTAAAACCATTAAGGTTGACCTTAGCTGTTGGCTGTGCCTTGATTGTGCCTGTAAATTTAATGAGTTTCTTACACGTCTTATGGTTTAACTACCTGGTCACAGGCCCATAAGTTTGTAGTTTATTCCATAGTCTTTACAATCAGGCCTTGTCTTTAAAGTCCACATGAAATTGAAATCAGAGCTGTAATTGCTTCCTCATATTCACATATGACCTATAAAAACAGCAGCAGCTAATTGGTGAATGTATAAATGATAATAAGGATGACCAGGTCGACCCAACTATTATCTGGGACACAGTCAAAGCAGTTATGAGAGGGAAGCTAATATCAAGTACAGCTCATCTAAGGAAAATCCGGAGATCAAAATATGATCAATTAGAGAAGGAATTGAAGAAACTAGAGAAACAACAACCCAAGAATGACAATACGGACACAATAGGGAATCAGATTAAAGATATAAGGAAAGAAATAGAAAACTTAATTAATGATGAAATAGAAAATAAATTGAGATTCAAAAAGCAAACCTTCTATGAATCAGGCCCAAGGCCAACACGTATATTAGCGAGGCGTCTTCGGACGCAACAAATAACGAATTAAATTCATAAAATTAGGGACCCTTTATCAAATACATTAAAATACAATCCAGAAGAAATTCATAAAATCTTTAAAAACTACTAGGAGACCTTGTATTCACAGCCTGAGAAGGTTGACGAAGAGAAAATAAAACAATTCCTGATTTCACTGGACCTCCCCTAAATAGGCTCAGAGCAAAATAGATATCTGACTGCCCCTATTACAAGAGACAAATTGGATAAAGCCATAGGTAGACTGGCGACTAATAAGAGTCCTGGGAGCGACGGCAATCCAAAAGAATGGTACAAAAAATTAAAAGAAGTCCTTGCCCCGGTACTATTGGAATCATTTAATTGGACACTTGAGAAGGCTATAGTCCCACCATCCTGGAGGGATGCTGTGATTTCTGTCATTCCCAAAGAGGGGAAAAACATGAAGACCAGACAGGCTTTGTAAAAGGACGCCAAACACAGGATAACATCAGGCGCACCCTTCATATTATAGACCATGTCAATAAACACCATATAAGCGCTGCCCTGATCAGCTTAGACGCTGAAAAAGTGTTTGATAGGGTCAGCTGGGATTTTTTGTATAAAGTAGTAGAGAGGATGGGATTCAATGATAAATTCATTGAATGTATAAAGGGACTGTATACTCACCCATCAGCCAGAGTTAAAATCAATGGACACCTGACAGACACTTTTAAATTGTACAGAGGGACACGACAAGGTTGTTGTGCTAGCCCCGCCCTCTTCGCGATTTTCATAGAGCCACTTGCTCAAATAATTAGACAAGAGGACAAGTTGACAGGATTCACGATAGCAAGAGATGAACACAAAATAGGTCTATTTGCTGACGATATAATTACCTTCCTTCAAGACCCGAATACAACGTTTACTGAATTAGTAAAGATAATGGAAGAATATGGATTGAGGTCGGGCTACAAATTGAATATGTCAAAAACTCAGGTTTTAACTTTCAATTACAAGCCAAATAAAGAAATCAGGAAGAGATATAATTTAAATTGGAATGCTAAGTCAATAAAATACCTAGGAGTGATAATAACTCAGGAATTTGACAGAATTTACGAGACAAATTGCAAACTAATAAACGATAAAATTCAAAGAGATGTGGCAAAATGGTCAACACTAGTAATGTATTTCAGCTCAAGAATTGAGGTGATCAGATGAACCTCTTGCCTAGGTTGTTCTATCTTTTTCTATCGCTCCCAGTTAGAGTACCAGATTCATAATTCTCAGCTCAGGATAAGTTAATTTCCAGGTTCATCTGGGTGGGAGCCAGGCCTAGGATAAGACTCAAGACCCTTCAGCTAGACAAAGAAAATGGAGGATTGGCTTTGCCAAGCTTTAGAGAATATTACTATGCTGCACAATTAAGATAGGTAGTATATTGGTGCTTTTCGAGTTATCAAGCCAGATGGAAGGACATTGAGATGAGCCTGGGTCGGGCCCCTCCGCAGTCAAGGTTAAGTGGAAAAGATCATATGGATCTTCTTAAGGGTGAAAATTCGATTATGGGAGAAACATTTGAAATATGGTATGATGTGGTTAAAAAATATAAGTTAACAGGAGACTATAAGCTGTTGATCTGGCCTTCTCACACCTCCAGGTTCAGACCAGGAACGTTAGACAAGACCTTTGAAAAGTGGAGAGACAAAGGAATAACAGCTATATGTACACTTGTAGATAAGCATCATCTTAAATCATTTAGACAACTTAAAAATGAGTTTGGATTGGAAAATGGAGATTTGTACAGATATCTTCAATTAAGACACTTTTGCGAGACAGAAATTAAGAAGGAAATCTCATTGGAAGGGAATTATGTGATTGAGGTGCTGACAGGTGCGTATAAGCAAATTCCTTCAAGAATTGTTTCTAAATGGGCGGCTGTGGCTCAGAGGCAGAGCGGGTCGTTCCTAAATCAGAAGGTTGTGGGTTCGACCCCCAGCTCCTGGTGCCACATGTCGAAGTATCCTTGAGCAAGATACTGAACCCCAAATTGCTCCCGATGCCATGCATCGGTGTGTGAATGTGTATGAATGTTAGTTTCTGTTCGATGGACTTTGCCATCACTGTGTGTGTGTGAAAGGGTGAATGTGGCACGTAGTGTAAAAGCGCTTTGAGTGGTCGGAAGACTAGAAAGGCGCTATACAAGTACATGTCCATTTACCATTTACCATTTACCAAACAGTACAAAGGTTTATTGAAGCAACAGGGAAGAGATACAGTGTATATAAAAGTGAAATGGGAAAAATAATTTAACATTGAGTTGTCTGTGAGTGATTGGCAGTCCATATTTAAGACCCAACATACATCAACAAGCTCTAAAAGATGGAGGGAGTTTGGTTGGAGAAATTTAACGTTTTTTTATTACACCAAAAATTAAAAAGAAAAAATTAGGTCAACAACAATACTGTTGGACACAATGTGGGCAACTGAATTCAATTCAATTCAATTCAATTTTATTTGTATAGCGCCAATTCATAACAGAAGTTATCTCAGGACACTTTTCAAATAGAGCAGGTCTAGACCGAACTCTTTAACATTAATTACAGAGACCCAACAGTACCACCATGAGCAAGCACTTGGCGACAAGGGCAAGGAAAAACTGCCTGTTAAAAGGCAGAAACCTAGGACAGATCCTCCGGCTCTAGGTGGGTGGTCGTCTGTCTCGACCAGTTGGGGTGAGAGAGAGAGAGAGAGAGAGAGAGGCAGAGAGAGGGAGCGAGAGACAGACAGACAGGTGCACAGCAACAACAGTATTGGCAATGGCAGTCAAGCAGGACCATGGCAGGAGGCTCCACCAGGATCCATGAGAACCTGCGAGACGAGAAAGCACAAGAACTCCGGGGAAGAAGTGGAGTTAGTAACATGCATTAATGGGACATGAATGAGTGCAGAAAGAGAGAGGAAGAGAGTAAGAGAGAGGAAGAGAGTGCCAACCTCTCTCATATATTTTGGTCATGTATGAAAATATGGTCATTTTGGGAGGGGGTTCTGAGAGCCATGGGTGAAATTTTTGGATATAATATTTCTAATGATCCCCGGCATATATATCTAGAACTGATACCAGACGATGTAATAGATAAAGAAGACATATACCTGTTCAAGATCCTATCTCTTGCGGCTAAGAAGGCCATTACAAGAAGTTGGCTGAGAACTGACCCACCTGGACTGAGCCAATGGCTGGACATTGTAGAAGAAATTCGATCAATGGAACAAATTACCTACAGTCTACAAATTAAAACGGAGCTATATACTGTAAGATGGACAAAATAAACAAAGTAGTGTTTACCCCCCTTGTGTCTTTGTATTTTTGTACATGTTTTTATTGATTGATTGAAGAAAAAATTAAAGTAAAAAAAAAAACAAAAAAACTGCAGCAGCTAGGGAGGGACTTGTCGACAGAGGACAGTTTGACGACAGGGAATAAAGTGCCGAGGTAGGTTTTTTGGACAGGTTTGGCTCCTGTCACCCCGGGCTAAGTTAGCTAATAATGTTAGCTGCACAAGCTAACTAGCTAACGTCATCTAACTTTACTGTTGCCGGCAGTTAGCTACTTTCAGCAACAAGTCCATCTGTTAATAAACTGGCTTCTTAAACCTCTTATTTTCATGAACGCCCTCCCAGTTTTGAGTGTTCCAACTTAGCTTTGCTTTTCTTAGCTTTCTGTTACTCCAGTGTAATTATGAAAGTCAGACGCCAAAAGAAGTATTCTTATATTTGACTTTAAAAAAAACAAGATTGGGGTTTTATCTGCAGAGACCGAAATAAATCACATTGTGAAAATGCTGCTTTAAGTTATTCTCTTGGTTTGGGCAGACCTGTTATGTGGCCGTGAGAAACCCCCCCAAAAATCATGTGGAAACCTTATTACTTTTCTCTCTGTGTGTAGAAATGGAGACGATTGTTCAAACCAAGGTGAGGCCGGAGCACAACATGACGAAGACAGCGGCCATCCAAGAGAAGCAAATTGTGGCTGAACAGCCTCAACTACAGGAAGAGGCAGAAAAGGAGAAGAACAAAAGTGCAGCAAGGCCAAACAGAGAGCAGGGTGTACTCCCGGCCATTATCACCACCCTGCTGCTCATCCCTCTGCTGCTGGTTATCTCCATAGGAGTCTTCATCTGCTGGTGGAAAAACAGTATGTATGAAAATAAGGCAATGGGCTGTGTACTGAAGAAAGTTCAAAGCTGATATGAAAGAACACCAGAAATAAATAGACCGTACACCTAGATTTGATAAAGGACACCCAGGTCCATATGTACAGTGAGTATTGACCGATTGTTCCTCATGTGGTTGGACCTGGCAAGAATCCATCTTGTCATGTCCAACAACAGTGGTACCAGACTTTTAGTTCAGAATGGAAGGCTCAGGGAGCAGCTGCAGTACTAGATGGTCGCACAGGTTTACAATATGATGATTTGATATTTGGTCAGCCTTCAGCTAAATATTGTTGAATATTGTTTGTTTGCAGATCAATGTGATGTAAAAACTGAACCCACCACTGTGGGAGGAATCTTGGGAAAAATAAGAGGTAAGTCATTAACATTACATAGGTGTTAGACATAAAAAAAATATATATATTCAGCTTTTTACCCATAGTATCCTGTCTTTGATCTGACCAATATTCTCATCACCCTCTCTCTTGTTAATAACCTGATTCTGACACAGATGCAGAATATTGTAAGATCATTTAACATAATGAGTGAGATGAAGTCAATGCCTTCGATACTTGTATGCATTTGCTGATAATACTTAAAGCGATTCTGAAGAAATCCAATACCATGACAAATAGTGCAAACAAAACACAGTAAGTCATGTAATTAAAGTTAGCTGTATGTATTACTTTTAAATGGTAAATGGACTGTACTTATATAGCGCCTTTCTAGTCTTTCGACCACTCAGTGCGCTGTACACCCCATTCACACACATTCATGCACTGATGGCTGCAACGCAAGGTGCCAACTGCTCACCAGAATGGAAACTAATCATTCATACACATTCATACACCGATGCACAGCATCGGGAGCAATGTGGGGGTCAGTGTCTTGCTCAAGGACACTTCGACATGCAGCGAGAGGAGCCGGGGATCAAACCGCCAACCTTCCGATTAGTGGAATAATTAATCACCTCTGAGCCACAGCTGCCCTCTAAATGAAATTTTACTCTATTCTACTACCATAAAACTAATATAATAGTCCGCACGTTTATTTGCTTTAATCACTGAACTCCCCCTGCCTTTATTGGGGACAGACATCTATTTGGGACAGGCGTTTAATTCTTTTAGCACAAAACTCTTGCACAGCACAGATGGAAATATTCTCTGCTGTGCTGTTTCTCTTGGATTAACTTTGATTCTTTAGATTGGACCCTTACGGACTAAGGGAATAAAAATAAGGGAGACCGTACAGACTTTATGAACAAGTTTTTTTTTTTACTGTTTCTCTTGTTTACCATGCTGGTAAGTCTGAATGAATTATACTTTGATCCTTATAGTTTCCGTAAAATGAACTGAACGATTTAATTGTGGAGTGATCTAATAATGTGAAGCATGTCAATATTGACAAAAGTTTAAACATTTATATTTGTGTAGGCAATCTAGACGTCTTAAAACTTGCACAAGCAGGTGACCTGGTGGGTTTAAAGAGGTTTTATACATTCAGATAATTTCTAATAAATCCACACCAGGCTTTTATTGGAGACCTGCGTTTATTTGTCAAAATGTGTAGTCACAGTAGGCTTAGAAAGGAGACCTGCGTCAATTTGGGACCCTGCTTTTATTGGAAGTTATTATGGTCTGAATAATTCTTACACCAGTGGGGTGGGTGGTTTAATTTTTTTATAGGTCCAGTGTGTAAGATATAGCAGGGTCTATTGGCAGAAATGGAATATAATATTCATAGGTATATTTTCATTAGTGTATAATCACTTGAAAATTTTAAATTGGTTGGTTCCAATCTCCTACACACTGGTCCCTTAATCAAATGGGAGCAACTGCAACAGGCACGATAGGCGCATGCGCACACTAATAGCACATTTTATACCCAAGGCAACCCAGACCACTTTACAGAGTTGGGCAAAAGCAGAAACAAAACAAGAAACAAATGATAAAAGCAAACAAGTGAAATAATCTTGAGAGTGTTGTTTCCTCAGTGAGAACTTTACTCTAATGATTTTACAAACATAAACATATGCACCAAGAATAAAAACAATAAAACAATTAACCAGCTAATTTCATTGATTAAAGATTAATTAAAAGCAACGGTAGGATTGTTTCAGGTCTTAGTTCTTCAGGCAAGTCTTAGTTCTTCAGGCAGTTTGTTCCACATTTAAGCAGCTTATAAAAGGCATTTTCTCCACGCTTATTTTCCACTAATAGGGAACTGGCTCGATTCCGGTTCAATCATCTATTTTTGAACCATTCAGAGCATTTCTACCAAAACTAAATTGGTTCGGAACCTGAACAATAGCAGGTTTTCCTTGGGAAAGTGTGCGTGTCATATTCTACAGGTTGTGTTGATGCATCCAATTACTATGGTACCACTCAAAACTGGTGGAAACGCAGGCTGGTTCGCTAGATATCACCAAGGCTCCAAGTTCTTTAACGGAACCGGTTCGAAGAACCAGAGCTAATTTGGTGAAAAAGGAAGCAAGGTGCACTAGGGTCAGGAGATCTGATAAGAATATAGGACCTAAACCATTCAGTGAGACACAGTATATCCACAGAACGGATCACATGACCCCCTCATGTGATCATTGAGCATTGCACAAAATAGGAGTAATTTTCAAACGGACCATAATTTTACATAGGGTCAATATGAATTTTCAAATGTAAATACTATTATATGGCCAGGTTGATATCTTTTTAAGCATTAATGTACACTGCAGGCTTGTATAATGAAATTCAGATATATGTCCGTGTGTGCTACTTGTAAAACTAAATAAAAATGTATTAAAGCTGCAATAACTTTTATAATATGTTTTTGTCATATTTGCTGAAATTTTCACTATTTTGTGACAGTAGTACAAAAGAGACAGATAATCGGGTTCCTTTGGCTCCTCCTGGAAAGACGCTTTGATGCTGGTGGCAGCAGGGTGAACAGGCTGTGGCTGGGGTGTGTGCTTCGCCTCACCAATATCAATAATGCTTGGTGGCTGAGTACCAATGATCTTCTGGGCAATTTTAATCACCCACTGTAGCGTCATTGACACGAAAACATTTGTCTTATACAAGATGTTAGTGACACGTTATTTTTCCCTCTGTGTTTCTCTCTGGCAAGGTAAAACAGTGGGCAGTCTGAACCTGGGGAACTTCTTTGCGACCCATAAGGGTTACAGTCGTCAGGGCTTTGACCAGCTGAGTACTGAAGGTAGTGACCAGGAGAGGAACGACGAGGACAGCAGCGACTCCGAGAACGAGGAGTACTCCGCTCTGCCGCCTCCTCAATCCTCCTCTTAGATGCTCTGGGACCAGCCACCAACCTTCGGCTTACATTGCCAAGATGTATGTTATTCATCATGTGTGTAACTGCTGTGTTAGTTGCCAATCTTATTGTTTATATATTTAAAAATGTGCTGTATATAGAATAACCTAGCATTTATTTAACCTTAATTTAATTTGCCCGTGGTCTTGATACAGCCTTGGTTACACATTACCATAGAGGGTTTGTTTTTCCCAAATCAGACTTTGTGAAAATGCATTGAAATTGCATTTAGTGAAATCATTAGCACACTCCCCAGGACAAATGTTTGAAGTTCCTGCTATCAGATTCACAAGAACAAATCTACCAATGGGCTGAGGAAATTTTACCTCCTATTCATGCAGTTTCCATGGTTTCATAGGAAACCCAACTTCAAATAATGATTTATTTAGATCAGGAATTTCAAGTATTTCACAGTCAGTTGACATTTGTTATTCATTTGTACTCATAGCGTCTTGTTTTTTTACGACACTTAGTGTCAGGTGAGCTTGGAGACGCCCACACAGTCTTGCCACAATTACCGTTTTGTGTTGGTCACCGTGCTTTCTCCATTAAAATAGGACCCTAAAAACCCACATGTCAAGCTCCACAGTTTGGTGTTGTCTGACCAGGACATTCACTTTGCACATCTGTTTGCTCATTGCACAAGTGGGAGGAGAGGTGCAAACTGGTGGAAATGCAGAGAGAGTCCTTGGTATTCTAGGAGTAGCAAATTAAAAACTGGGAGAGAATGTCGTAATTGAACTCAAGTTGATGCATTTCATTTGGCATAAAAAAATACTTTAGCTACTTTTAGTTGTGGTTAAAATATCTGAAAGCAACTGGATGGAATGTTGGTAAATCAACATCAAATCTATAAATAAATATGGGTCATTATTCACACATAGCAAAATTGGTCTGGCTCAGTGACAGCCTACACAGTCCACTTACACTTGACCCAGGAATTACAGTCCATATGTGGGCCAGATCTGGTAGCCACTTATCTCCTATATTAAGCTAACTACGTTGGACCAGACAAGTTTCAGCTTTGTCTAAACCTTAACTAAGCCACTCCATTAATATAATACATTATTTACAGAACACACACTTGCCATATTCGGCCCAATTGATAGTATTATAAACCCATTTTTATTTTTCACATCATGCCAAAACTAAAATGAGAATTTTCCGACAATCTCTCTAATCTCCTCTCCTCCCCTCTTCTGATCTCCTCTCATTTCATTCCTTCATGCCCCCTCTTGTCCGTGTGTAGTCATATAGTTAAATGATTACATTTAGCCAGTAAACACTGAACAATCAACACTTGTAAACCATTGCAAAAAAAAACTTCTGAAAGACGAAGGCAAGATGTGGCTACTGGCTGTCACTGGGCCTGAGCAATTTTGCTATGTGGGAATAATGAACCATATTTGTTTATAGATGATTGATTTACCAACGTTCCATCAAGTGTTACTTTCAGGTATTTTAACCACATTAAGACCAAACCACTTTTGCTATGGGCAGTATCTGTTAAGCATAGCTGCTTCATACTGTATGAAAACCTCATTCAGTCCATTAAATCCCTGCATCCATCTGAAAGCAACATTACAAATATGTTGCTATTGCCTCTGATTGTGCTGTACCATAGCACAGTGCCACCACAACACTATGTTTATCTTGATCTCCACATACATCAACAATTTTTGAAAATGAACTTATCATATTTACTGAAACTTACACTATATCCTGACAGTAGTACATGAGACTCATAACCTGTGAAAAAATCTGGTTCCTCTGGCTCCTCCTAGTGCCCCTAATGGAATTTGCAAGAATCCACCAGGCCTGAACGCAAAAAACAACCAATCAGAGCCAAAAAGTTAGTTGATTGTCACGTCTCATTCCCAGGTCGCCATGTGCTGACACTGATCACCTATCTTCTAGCTTCCAACCCAAAGCGTCTTTCTATCTTTCTCAGCTCTGATTGGTTGTTCATTCAGGCCTGGTAGAGACTTGCAAATGCCATAAGTAGCGCTAGTAGGAGGCATTTCTTAGAATATGATGTGACCGTTTATAATAAGTAAATAATATAATTTCCTGGGAGAGCAATCACAATTGGTTGAGCTATTGTTATCATACCTCACTTGTTTCAAAACAATGGGACCAGCATTGTGATTGGGTTTTGCACTTTGTCCAACTGCACATACATGAACCAAATCAGCAGGTGAGCTTGGAGACGCCCACACAGTCTTGCCATAATTACCGCTTTGTGTTGGTCACCGTGCTTTCTCTATTAAAATAGGACCCTAAAAACCCACCTGTCAAGTGGTTGGTTTGAGTTGTTTTGCTGTTTGGTATTTTGAGTCTGTTGAATCAGAACTGGACTGACTTCATGACATTTCATTTCAGCAGGATTAGTTATTGAAATTTTTCAATTTTAAAAATGAATAGTATAACAGCACTGATATTATATACAGTATATACAGCTTAGTTTTAATGGAAAACTACATCCTTACTTGATAAAGCTACAGACATCATTATTTGAACATACTTATTTGGTCCATGTTTCAGATGAGTAACATTTCACTTGTAATTTTGTGCCTTTTTACATCTGTGTTTTGCTTTTCTTCAGCATCTGCCATTATAAATCATGACAAAAACAGCTGCTGCTAGTAGAGCTTGTACTATATTGATTTCTCTTTCAGGTCAATGGAAAATGGATATTATTACATATAGGTATATTTTTATGTGTGTGTGCTTCTGCGTGTGTGTATATATACACAATGCCAATCCAACAGCCAAGTCTCAAGCACTGAAACTGTTATTGCACCAAACTCACTAACAATAAAAAGAAACTGCTTGAATTGAGAAACGGTTGCTACGTACACCTTACATGTTGTAACTTAAAGGAACCCCATCCGCTCCTAACATACAAATCATATACACTTTGTATTTTTGCTCTCTATTTTACTGTTCATTTTACTGCTGTACTCTCAAACCTCACTTGAGCAGTTAACATTTAAAAAGTCTGCACTTTTTCACCTAATATTGTAGGGCTGCAACTAGCAGTTATTTTTATCATTGATTAATCTTGCAGTTACTCGACTACTTGATCAGTTTGGGTTAATGGTTTTTTTTGTCAGAGCAATAGTCCAAACCCAAAGATACTAATGATGATCACAATTAACAAAAAAAATTGTAAATATTAACATCTGAGAAGTTGGAACCAGTGAATCATTTTAGCTAAAATAATATGAGTAATTTATTTCAATTTAATTGAAATCGATTATTTGACTGATTGCTTCAGCTCTACAATACTGACAATTGCATGTTATATATATTTTATGTTCACTGTGTTGGATTATGGGGGGCATATCATATGGAAATGAATGGAAACCAATGGATACCTGGAACTGCAAAAAAAATTAATTCAAATTTCTACATTCAAATTTCTACTCAGCAGTATTGTTGGTTAGCTATGATTTAAAGTTTATAATTTGAAGCAAACATGCTAAAACATGCAAAATAGTTGCTATGGTCCTTTTAAATGTTTTAATTCATTAGGCCATCCACAAGTGCATCTCTGCATTTGAATGGATCTGTTTCAGCAGCCTAATCCAGTTCTGTTTTTTTGTTGATTGTCAACTTTGTGCACAGGTATATCTATCTGCTATACCTGTGCACAAGGTTCACAAGTCCATCACACTTTTAATGCCACAATGCACTGTTAAACAAGGTCAACCCACAAATTAAAAGCAACTGTATCATGTATCGTATTAGACAGTGGCAGGAGCTACACAGTATAAAAGCACTAGCATTAAGTTTTGGAGAAAAATGTATAACTAACCTAGCACCTGGATAAGCAAGATCAAAGCAACATTAAATGTCAATAATTCCTCAATTCCCTAACATTCCTCACTTCGTGCTCATCATTTCTGTTCTTACAGGACATTGTTTGAGATTTTACTTAAAGCTGCAGTAGGTAAGTTGTATAAAGAATAAGTGTTTGTCATATTTGCTGGCAGTAGTACATGACAGGTAATTTGAGAAAAGATCTGGTTCCTTTTGCTCCTAATGGTATTTGCAAGAAACCAGCAAGGCTGAATGAAAACAGCCAATCAGAGCCAAAAAAGAAATTCGATAGTTGAGTTTCATTCTCAGGTTGTCAAATACACAAGCTTTGGGTTGGTGGCTTGAAGATTGATCATGAGTCTCCTGGAAATGAGCTAATGCCATTAGGAGCACCGGGGGTAGCCAGAGGAAATTGTTTCTCAAATTATCTGTCTCATACTACTGTCAGGATATAGTAAAAGTGTCAGAAAATATGGCAGTTATTTTTATAAAAGTTACCTACTGTAACTTTAGAATTGGAAATTATTACATCTGATTTGATCAATTAGTAATTTATGACTAGAATTAGTGGAAAGCTGAGAATCTGGTAGGAAATGTGTTCACTCAAACCTACAACACTGGTCATAGGTTGTCAGTAAAAGCTAGTTTGTGAAATCTGGTGCAACAGATCAGAATATTCAGTTTCATTTCCTTTGCTTAATCATTCATTCACTCCCTATTCTTAAATTTACTCTATTCTTGGATTCTTTTCATCAGTTTCTGTCCACATCCTCAGTTGTAGTAAATTATTGAATGAATGATTTTCTTAATGGCATGCCATAGAAATTGCATTTCCGATGTTGCAGTCACATGTGGGCTATCTGATATTTATTGTGACACTCTGGTTTTGCTGCAAGAGTACTATTTTCAGTAACTATGTTATTTGTGTAATAAAGTGTTTGCAGAGCATCAAAATGACTAATCTTTCCGCCTTAACTGTCAGCCCTTCCAACAAGAATACTCTTCCCTCTGATTTATTTGCTGTCCCACAAGCACAACTGTGTCTATCCTCTCTCTTTCTCCTCTAGCTTTTTGGGCATTATTCAAGATGTTTTGGATCTGGATCTTTGTCCTCCAGGGCCCAGTATTTCAAAACCTTTAAGTTAGATCAGAATTAGCCATATTGTGTGTTCCCTTTGTTTGCTACTCCAGATAAAAGAGATTTTGTAGGTTTTTTTCCTAGTTTTTCAAATAATTTTCAGATAGGATCATTCTGATCCAGATAGCATAAGGTCAGGATTACAGTTTCTAGATGTGCAGTCTTACAGTGTTGGAAATGTTGTTAGGTGTAAATCAGTTTGCATATTATTGATATTCACTTATCTGCTTTATTGTTTTAAAATGTTATGTTTTAATTTAGGTTTTATTAGTTTAGATGTTGGTTTTCTTATAATATGGGTCAGTGGCAAGATTGTATAAATTCAGAACAGGTATTACAATACATACACATAGACTCATTGTCATGTAGACATCACAGTCTCTTAAACATAAGCACCAATACTATGCCTCCTTGTACTTTTTGTAGTTAGGAGTCAGGACACTTTTCAAATACAGCAGGTCTAGACCAAACTCCTTATAACATTATTTACAGAGACCCGGCAATTCCCACCATGAGCAAGCACTTGGCGACGGCGGCAAGGAAAAACTTCCTTTTAAGAGGCAGAAACCTAGGACAGATCCCTCCGCTCTAGGTGGGTGGTCGTCTGCCTCGACCAGTTGGGGTGAGAGAGAGAGACAGAGACAAAGGTGCACAGCAACAACAGTAGCAACAACTACACTAACTACTACTACAACTCGGGGCGGCTGTGGCTCGGAGGCAGAGCGGGTCGTTCCTTAATTAGAAGGTTGTGGGTTCGATCCCCGGCTCCTGGTGCCACATGCCTTGAGCAAGATACTGAACCCCAAATTGCTCCTGATGCCGTGCATTGGTGTGTGAGTGTGTATGATTGTTATTTTCTGTTCAATGGACTTTGCCATCACTGAGTGAATGTGTGTGAAAGGGTGAATGTGGCACGTAGTGTAAAAGCGCTTTGAGTGGTTGGAAGACTAGAAAGGCGCTATACAAGTACAGGTCCATTTACCATTTACTAATAGTAGTGACTGATAATGATGACCATGAAGAAGATGATGTCGTCGATGACGACGACGACAACAATGATGGGGGACAATGAGCAGTGATTATAGTAATAATAGTATCTGTAGTAATAATAAAAATAACAATAATATCAGTGATATTAGTAATGGGAGTCAAGCAGGACCATGGCAGGAGGTTCCACCAGGATCCATGAGAACTTGCGAGACGAGAAAGCACAAGAACTCTGGGGAAGAAGTGAAGTTAGTAACGTGCATTAATGGAACATGAATGTGTGCAGAAAGAGGGGAAAAGAGGAGCTCACTGCATCATGGGAAATCCCCTGATAGTCTTGGCCTAGAGCAGCATAACTAAGGGATGGTTCAGGACTCACCTGAGCCAGCCCTAACTATAAGCTTTATCAAAGAGGAATGTCTTAAGCCTACTCTTAAATGTGGTGAGGGTGTCTGCCTCCCGAACCACAACTGGAAGCTGGTTCCACAGGAGAGGAGCTTGGTAGCTAAAGTCTCTGGTTCCTGTTCTACTTTTTGAGACTATAGGAACCACAAGTAGCCCAAACCATGGAAGCAGTTTTGGGCCCAAGCCTAACCCAGACAAGAATTTCCACTTAAATACATTTAATAATTTAAATGGTTTATTACAAGCTCAGTAAACTACATTGTGCTTATTATATAGTGTAAATTATGATCAAAAGTAATAAATAGCAAATTCAGTAAATATATAGAGTTTTAGAAGTTCTGTCCAAGTCAACCCTAGCTATGGCAGCCGTTTTGGGCCGAAACCCAGCCAACGTGTAAAAATATCAATATCAGCTGGCTGAACAGCAATCATTGGAAAATTAAGAAAATTAATATTGGATACTATTTAAATAATCAAATAATTGTTTTAAGAATTTACCCCCTTCCGAAATCAGTGTTTCTTTTTGTTGCTACAGTGTGATGTTTGAATGATGTCTGTGCAGAATTTGACACTAGAAAGATGTTTTCACATTCAACTGCTGAAAGTTGAAAGTTTCTCTGTGCTAATTGAAAATCAGATTTTTAAGGGGTGGAGCCTACAAACATGATTAGTCACATCACTAATAGTTTGGAAGTCAAACCTGGCCCAGTACAGGGACGCTAGAAGTCAGTCAGAGTTGAGGGTGCTGTAAGAAAGTCTGTATATATAATGACGTCATACTAAATGCTAAATGCACAACATTCTTTTTTCATTTTTGCATAAATCTGAATGGCTGGGATAAACTATTTAATGGTTATTAATAACACTCACATTTTACAACTTTTTAGTGGATAAAACGGAGACAAAAACAAGGTAAAACCTCTTTCCTGCTGTAAATACCACTGTACACATGTAAATCCCAGTACAAAGGGACAAGGATTGCCAGATTTTAGGTGGTTGTGCAGTCCCCTCAGCACCCACATACACCTTATGGTCCAGTATGCAACTTCTACAGTTTGATGTAGACATTTTAAGCCACCAGTGCACATACACTGAGAATGGACTTGACAGTGAAGTAAGAGATATCTTGTAATCTTGGAAAACTTTAGAAAATAAAAAACATTTGCATATTCATAGATTGTAGAATTTTTAAGGGAGTAGATGCCTTTTTAAGGATTTTACAATTATACTTTGTTTGCAGAAGAAACATATGAGACACACATTAGTGTTCCATCAGACTAGTTATATATATGTCTTAATACATGGCTGGTGGGTATCTCTAATGACAATGGGCAACTGTGGTTAAGAAGGTAGAGACGGCCGTTGACTAATCACAGGATTTACATTTTGATCCCCAGCTCTTTGTCTTTGGCCAAAACACTGAAACCCAAATGACTCCTGATGGTCCAGCCAGTACCTTGCATGGTAGCTTGCTGCCATTGGTGTTTGCTTAAGTGAATGAGAAGCAAAATCTTAAGCACTATATAAGTGCAGCCATTTTGTATTTAAACACATTTAAAAATACAAGTACAGCATTTTTTGATTTTATCATCTTTTATCTCAGTTGCCCTCATTTGCCAGTGGAAATGTATTACAACTGAATAAACAAGCATGAGCCACGGGTGATGTCAGTGAGAACACTGACATCACCCGTGGCTCATGAGATTAAACGTAATAAGCTGCTTTAGGTTGAGAATAGAAACAATAAGAAGTGGAGCAGTCTGAGACGTACAGACAGTGTGGACAGTGTGGTAAGGTAGCAGCTGCTCACAGACTGTCGGTCTGCCTGTATTCTTCATAATTGACACCTAAAGGTCTGATAGCACTCACCAAGACTTGAACCAAAAAGGTAAATCAGTTGTTTATTTGGGTTTCTGAAGGCATGTGCAAAATATTATCCACTTGGTCAATATGACCCCAAGAGATCTAAGCTTTTTAACATTCATTGTAATGACATAGTAACTTACCAGCTGTACTCTCTCATTTGCAAATTTTCCAGAAAGCATCTGATTGACTTTATTTAAAGTTTTTCTAAGTTTTGTTAAGAATTAAATCTGTACCGTGTGAACTTCTTCTCTTGTTATTTGGAAATTTTGGAAATCTCTGTTTTTCTGATTAAAATGTAAGAACATAAATTATATAAATGTTGTACTTATTCGACATTAAGATATTTTCCAGTTGTATCTATTAATAGCCAGTGTTCATTCAGACAGAACTAATCGTTTTCTTTAGACCAGCTGCTTAATCAGCAATCTGTTTGTCTGCTGACAGTTTAGCTTTGTAAATGTGTTTGAAATTTACTTAGATATTTGGAATTTATACCTTTATATACTTTTATTTATTATGTATTTCTTTTGATCAGTGCTTTCCCAAGAACTGTGTTCATGTCAAGGATGAGAAAAACAATATTAGGCCATCACTGGCACAGAAAACATTATATGTAATTGTTATTATTATTCACAGGAGTATTAGTATTATTGGCGTTGTCATCATTATTTACCCTCTATTAACCTATTTGCAGTGCATACACTTTGGTGTAAAATTGTGGATGTTGTCTTATAGCAACACTCATGTTCCCTTTCTTACAGTGAGAGTATAAAATATTTTCTTTTTAGTACGTGTATGCCAGAATTCACTACAAAGCAATTTCATGCAAGATTACATTTAAATATATCAAGTTTATCATGGTGAAACACTGTATTTTCTTTGACTTGTCTTGCAGTTAATGTGAAACTGTTTTGGATTTAAGAATGAGCAAGAGGGGGAGGAGAAGAAACAGCAGAAGAAAGAGCTCCAGCAGCAGTAAACGTGAGTTGGAGCTTTGGACAGAGGGGAGGGTAAAGTGAGGTTAATCTTGTATTTAGCTGAGTCACATTTTTCCCACACCTGCATTCAGTTTACCTATATTTGGACTTCTTCAGACCAGTAGAGGACTACTGATGGCTACTGAATATTGGGTTTTATAGATTAATTAAGATTAAGTTTTATAGAAAATTTTCTAAGAAGTTAAAAGAAATTACTCAGGCTTGCCTCTGCTGTCCATGGAGCATACGCTGTCAATCAGATAGATAGATAGATAGATAGATAGATAGATAGATAGATAGATAGATAGATAGATAGATAGATAGATAGATAGATAGATAGATAGATAGATCAGGATCAGGATCAGGATCAACCTGTATACATGGCCTGTCCCCATAAAAAAGAGGCCCAGCCTCCTTTCACATTACTCCAGCAACCTAACAAAATACCACCAACAATTCAGCTTTTTTCAATTTTACAGAATTAAATAAAATTGAGATAAATAATCTGAAATAATCACTAATGATTATGCGTCACCTTGTGGAGGATAAAGGATGCCACGGTCAAATTCACCACAAACTATGAGCCAAGCCAGAAATGTATCAGGCCTGCCCTCACTTTGTGCCATGATCGTAGAATAGTTTTGGCCCTGGACTTGTCCCCCTCTCAGGGATCAGGCCTTCAGACTGAAAGAAGCACAACATTTAAAAAAACAAAGGGTCTGCGTTGTTGTGGGTGTGTTGCTTGAGACAGGAGTTTACTATGGAACTCATATTCTCCTTTGTCCTTTCTAGTTGGCAGGTAAACAGTTGAATTATCCCATTCATGTTATGTAAATAGTCTAGCAGGAATGTGCATTTGTAAGTATTTGATTGGCCATGTATTATAGTGTTTACTGATTATGATCAAGGAGGATAAAATTATTGTTGCCATAATATCTTAAAGAGTCGTAAAATCCTGTCTCATAGTCTTATAAACCTTTGTGCAGAGTTCTGGTATTTAATAAGCCCTCACACCTAGATTTCTATATATTAAAACCAAACTTCCTAGATCATATGTCATGTGTAGTGTACGGAATCAGGACCTGTAAAATCAGACTGGGGCCTGCATGGGTGATTTTAATTGGCTGTGCATTTAAACACATGTACCTGTAAAACTTTTATAAATGCACCTATGAGATCAGAGCTTGGAACAGAACTGTGGTCACAATACTTAATACGTATATGTAAACATTTCCATCTTAATCCCCAAATATTCCCAAGAGATAACTGCTCATCATTATTTTAATATATTTAACATAAAGTTGTTTTTTTTGTACTTTCAGAGAGTGTGTCACCATACATCTTTCAAAAGCAGAACAAAAGCAACAGTGTCAGCTACAAAGATGATATTGTTGAAAAGGGTGAAACAGATTCTCTTCGAAAGGAAAATGTTCTGTCAGGATCTGAAGATGAGGAGAAATACAACAATGCTCCACCAAAGGAGAAAAGATTTAAACAAGATTATTGTGTGAATTCATTTCCAAACCAAAGGAGTATTTATACAAAAACTACAGAGGACAAAAAGAAGGGAGTGAAGATAGTAACGTCAGTGTCAGTCAGTGACATGGAGGATTCATCTCCAAAGATCATGTTTCAGCAGTCACATGAACCCTTATCTGAAAATCCAGCCCACTCGTCAACAGCAGTTACTAACATTATGAAGATAAACTGCTCCGGGTCACTTATGAAACTTGAACTTCAAGAAATTCTACAACTGAATACTTCTGGCATCAAGACCACATTTGTTTTCATAAATGAAAATGGGGACTGTCCGGAGAGATTTTTTAATAGCAAATGTGAGAGGACATGGATACCAAACAATGAGTCATCTGAGCAGCCACCACAAAATGTAACCAATCCCAATGGAAATCAAGACACAAGTTACAGATTTACTTTAGGCAGTATGAATGAGCCAACAGAGGCACATTGTGATTCAAAATCTGTCAGTCCAACCAAAATATGGGACAATCCAAACTACTCTCAAGGCTGCAGTGATCACAAACAACTAATGTTGGGAACTCATCCACTGTTAAATATCAAACCTCAAGAGAACAGAAACCATTTTCGTAAAAGAGTCAGTACTGATCAGTTCTGGGACATTCCTCCACCTCGAGAGTTTGCAGACATCAAATATAACACTATAGAGGATCTAACGAGTGACCTGGCTTCCTGTAGAATTGGTGCTTGTAGTCCTACTGGTAAACAGCAAAGGGAATTTCATCCGACACATAATATAAACCATAATGAAGAATCTGGATGCCCATTTCCTGTAGAGGCAGAGGAAACAGCCGATCTGTCACCTTCATTTGATCAATTATCAGAATCTGACAGCTATGAGCCCATGCTCATGATACCCTCCTTGTCTACTAACAGGTCCAGCTTCACCAAAGATTTCATCAACTACCAAAAGAGGAAATCTTGGATTAGAAACAATAGCATTGGCACTGTAGAACACAGAGCATGTTTGTTACCAAAGAAAAGACGCCAAACATTTCCTGGGATGTCAATGAGTCTAGGATTAATGCAAGAGGATCTTCTGCTGCCCTATAGTGAGTCGTTTTCTTCTTTGATCATGTGCTCGCATCCTTTCCAAACTGACAGACTGGGAAATATTCAACAGGGCAATGACCGGTTTTCTGCATTTGGAATAGGAAATTACAATTCTTCACAAAGCAAGGGGAGCTCTAAACCTGTCTCAGAAGTCCCAAACATCTGTGATGGAAAGCAATCATTGCTCAGTCCATCCTATATAACCAGCACTGAGGATAATCCTGATGATGTGTTCTCTGTCATTGAACAATGTCGAAGACGAAGCAGCATCAGACATCATCGTAAAGATCTCAGACAACTAGACATAGACTTAAAACAGAATGTTTGTAAGGACATGGAAAGTTTGGACACTGATGATGGATATAAAGTTGATCAAATTGAAGTAGCAGACAGTGGATTTGACCAAGAAATAGGGGAAGCAGAATATCACAGTCCAGAGCCCCTTACAGAGGGGCTCTGTCGAAGAGCCCTCTCTATACAAGTCATTCCTCCATCTTGCAGTGGCTCAGAGGAGCAAATGATACAGAGCCATCCTGTAATATTATTCAAGAACAATATGGTTGAAAATGCAAGCCAAGAGGATTCAGTCTCAGTTTTCCCCGAACATAGTAAGTCCTGTTTGAAAAAACCCGGCATGTCCCCTTTGCAGGACATGAATGCTCATTCATTAAACAAAAATGAAATTACAGAAGAGACTGAAACTAAACCATCTGGTGAAAAAACAGGAAATACCAGCCATTCTCCGTCACTGATTGAGGATTCTAACAAACCTGCAGTCACTGCATCACGTCCTGCCAAAGATTCTACAGACACAGAAATCCACTCAAAAGACAGTAAAACTGACAAGGCAGATAAACTGATTGTATCCAGATGTAAGTCACAGTAGTGTTTGTGAGATACTTTCAAATAAATACTGAACAGCTACTTTCAGGTAAATATTTACATAAAATCACCTATTGATGGTTTATCACCATTTCCAGCTTCCTTAGATGCCAAAGAGCACCTGAAGCCTGTGGTTCATAAAGATGCAGACACCAGTGGCTCTGACCACTGGGCCAAGAGGCGAAAGCTCTTCAAGGAGAGCAAGCAGTGGAGCTCTGCTGGAGGAAGCTCAATTACCAGTGACATTACAGAGGAATCAGGTAACTTTAGGGCTGAGCCCCAATTTGAACCCAGGTAAAGTAGACTTACTACATTCATTCAAGAACAGTACCATTTTGGCAAATCTGTAGCACTTACAATCACTACTCACTTATAGAGGGTGCTACCACCTGATTGAATAGATTTTATCTATCTGTCTATCCCACAGTAGAGTAATACATTTTGTTTGTTAGTATTACAGTACTTGGTCTTTTGTATTCAATTAAAACTAATCTATCCAGGGAAAGAAGACAGCAGATAAAGAAGAAATTAGCAGAGGAGGCTGAATTCATTGTGGATTTATAAAGTGTAATGATAATAATAGCGCCATAATATCCAGATCAGTATCGGCCCGTCGGTTGAAGCACTTGCATTCTAAACTACAGAAAAACCTTGAACCATTATGGATAATGGTCAAAATGTCTACTTGTACTAAATAGGCGGAGATAAGTTGGAGGGGAGGAGATGCTGTTCATGTTCAGAATAGAATCACCTTACAAATCGATTGCTATATCTTAAAGAAACGTAAAAGTAAATTAGTGACTTTCTTCAGCACTGATCTCAGGGTACCCAGGCACAATCTAAATCAGTGTTTGCATTTTTTGTTAGGTATAATGTTAATAATGGAAATATATTCATAAATATTGCATATATACCTTGCTGTGGCGCTCCTATTAGATGACAATACAAGCAGTGCCCCAAAGCCAATTTGAGTTTGAGACAGGTGTTCTAAGCTGTAATTGCAAAGGGACTTCTACAAAGTACTGATATAAATAATTATGGGTTATTGGGTGTATTGACTGGTATCCATTTAAAATTAAATCTACAACACAAAGTGTGCATAAAGTGAAGGAGTCTGAATACTTTCTGAATGCATAGTAGTTGCAAACAGGTTCAATTGGACCAAACAAAATGGTTAACAGAATGATCTGGTTTCCAGTGACAACTGGGCAACCATTATGGTTTAATCCTGTACCCTCAGCAAATCAACAGTTGATCAGAAACATGTGTCATTATGCACCTTATATGTACAGCACTGTATCATGTATTTGTGTGTTTTCTCCTGTACTTTTTTCTAGTATCGGAGGATACTCGCTCTATGGATATGACAGTTCGAGACAATGAAGACAGGGGCTTTTATACTGAGACTTTCCACTCTTCAGCATGGATTTACCAAGGAGATGATATAGACTTAGGGACTATTCCTCCCAGCCTCAACGCCCGAAATCGAGCTGTCTCAAGTAAGCTTCTTCATATTCATCATCATCAGTGACTACTATTAGTGTAGTTGTTGCTACTGTTGTTGCTGTGCACCTGTTTGTCTGTCTGTCTGTCTGTCTGTCTGTCTGTCTGTCTGTCTGTCTGTCTGTCTGTCTGTCTGTCTGTCTCTCTCTCTCTCTCTCTCTCTCTCTCTCTCTCTCTCTCTCTGTCTGTCTGTCTGTCTGTCTCTCTCTCTCTCTCTCACCCCAACCCACCTAGAGCCGAAGGATCTGTCCTAGGATTCTGCCTCTTAAAAGGCTGTTTTTCCTTGCCCTCGCCCCCAAGTGCTTGCTCATGGTGGAACTGTTGGGTTTCTGTAAATGTTATAAGGAGTTCTGTCTAGACCTGTTCTATTTGAAAAGTGTCCTGAGATAACTTCTGTTATGAATTGGCGCTATACAAATAAAATTTAACTGAATTTAATTAAGCTAGAAATTCTGATTCTACAATAAACTCGACTTTACTCTGCTTGGTGATGGACAAATGTATTCAGTATTGAATCAGAAGTTCTTCAAAGAAAATGTACACTTACACTGAATAAAACTTTACCCTCCTTTTCAGTTCGCGAGAGGACTGTCAGGATCAGCAAAGGGACAGGAGAATATCCTTGGGGCCTTCGAATACAGTTTTCTAAACCCATTGTGGTTACAGAGGTTGACACAAGTAGGTGAAGTCCTGACTCCTCTAGGTTTTATGTCTTTCAACTGAGATGTTTAGTGAGTTTAAAATTCTGTGGTGGGTGTATGCAGAGGTGAGTTGAGAGGTCATCAAACCAAAAGATGTCTATGAAAAGAATCAGGATAATTGTAGACACAGTAGTGTTAATGCAATCACATGTGGGCAAGATGTGGGGTAGTCCTATAAGCATTTATTGTTTAAATTGTATTGTTTCTTTTTCTTTCTCTGAATTTAATTGATGAAACCAGCTACAGTATGTTTATCAGGGTCTCAAGTGGCTGTCCCAGCATGCATTGAGAAAGAGCTCGGATACACCCTAGACAGGATAAACACAGACCGACAAACATATTCATACCATGATCAATTTACAGATCCTCAATTCACTGGGGGAAAACCCACACAGACACAGACATAGACATAAATACATAGATCTTACCTGTAGGTCTTTAGCTTCGTCAACATCGCCATCATACTGGACCTGTCCAAGACTGGCCTGTAAACTAATACAGGTCAACTGGGGAGCTACCTTTTTTTCTGGATTAAACTAATATAATTTTTTACATAATACATTTGGTTTATGATAAACAGTTCCCCAGTTTACTGTATTTGTTTACAGGCTAGTCTTGCCCTATCCAATATGGTGGCAACATTGACGTACAATCCTGTGGCCAATGTGGTGTCTATGTATATATGTCTGTGGACACAGAGAGACGAAGATGTAAACACAGCTCGAAAATGCAGTAGGTTTAAACCCAGTGGCTGAGTGCTATGACTTTCTGGAGTCTTGTCGTCACTGTAAAGTTGCCAGGCAAAAATCGACAACTTTTTATCACTAAGAATTGTATCTATTTGTCTGTATGGTTGGTGTCGTTTCATTTGGTAAGTGGCAGTCTATGTGTTTTCTCTGAAACAGGGGAGTAAATAAAGATAATGCAGGCAGTGTGGTTGCGCTGGGGCTCATGGGGTAGGGAGAGAGAGTGACCTTGTAATATACCTGTGTGTTAAAAGAAGAACTAACTAACTATGTCAAAATACAATGCCTCAAAAAGGCAAACCCATCTCCATCATCATTTCTTCTTTTTTCTTTCCAATCTATAACAACATTTGTTCAACATAAACCATAAAAACTATAAATCAACTATAAAAAAAACTATTAATTAAATACATAACAAAATATTATTTTATTTTTATGTTCTTGTCATATACAGATATTAAATTATTATTGCTGGGTAATATGTATTTTGATGTTGTCCAATGTGTCTTTTTGATCATGTGACGAGACAATGCATTAATAGTGTGCTCTGTGGCCCGCCGTAACTACCTTACGCCACTGTTCTGTAAGTTAAATTTTTCTTTTCTTCCAGATGGGGCTGCTGAGGAAGCAGGCCTGATGGTGGGCGACTATGTCCTAGCTGTCAATGGAACTGATGTCACCAGCATTCCTCATTCTGAAGCTGCCAATTTGGCCAGGCAAGGTATGCTGTTTTCAGGTCTGATAATGGCTGTAATCAGGCCACACATAAATCCACAAAGGACTTTTATTTAGTGTAAATACCAATTGAAGCACTCTCAGCACACAGACCAGTGTGTAACATTCACATTCTACATTCAACATTCTACTGGTCGAAATGTAATATTCATAGTTATGTTTTCAATTGTGTATAATCACCTGAATATAGGAACCGTTTTGTTACCTTAAAATAAGTTGGTTATAGCTACAGACGGCTTCAATGGCTAGATAGGGGCATTTGCGTTTTTCACACATTTTGCAGCCCCTGTAGTTTTTGATGATGGTGAATCTCCAGTTGTAATCTGCAATTACAACACTAGATGTCCCTACACTGGTTCTTTAATGTTGGGAACACGTAATGGATTTGAGGTGAAATGTCTACTGTCTGACTTTCAATCATGTTTTATAACAAATTATTGTAGGTCCAGATGTTCTAACGTTAACCATTGGGTCAGACATTGCTCGCAGTCCTAATACCCCCAGACCAGCATGTCGTGGTTATCTTCACAAGCGTACCCAGTCTGGTCTGATTAAAGGCTGGAGGAAGAGGTGGTTTGTACTCACACATGACTGCTGCCTTTACTACTACAGACACAAACGGGTGAGCAGGGTGCAGTCATCATTATCATATACTGTTGTAGTTTTTGAAACTACAGTCCACACAAGTGACATTACATTCACATACATACATTTGTTCATTACAGGACGAAGGCAAGAGGCAGGCTTTGTCAGCAGTTAAGCTGGAAGGGGCTGAGGTAGGACCAGATGTTTCCCTGGGAAAACCCTTTGTGTTTAAGTGTCGCCCTCAGTCTGGAAATCGAATGTACTTCTTCTGTGCCACTTCCAACCAAGAGATGAAAAGGTATAGTACATATAAGAACTTTCAGTAACACTTTACAACAGTTCAGTAATGACACAGTAATGGTGGGATAATAGTTTGATAATAAATAAGTAATACTAATTTATCAAGTAAAATCTTGGTATTAACAATTGGTATATCTGGGTAATATTAGATTGAAATAAAAGAAATTCAATACATACTACACATAAATATATATATCCTTTATATAATACATATATCATGTATTATTATATATATTATATACTATATACCTGTCTTATTATATCTATATCTATAATTATACCTATATGTATATATGTATATGTATGTGTGTGTGTGTGTGTGTGTGTGTGTGTGTGTGTAAAACTCTTTATATGCATATATTACTGTCATTCATCTGTTTTTATGTGTGTTTAAAGTTGCACAAAAAGCTGAATTGTAATTCTGAAAAAAAAAAAACATCTGTAAATATTGAAAGAAATTTTTAATGCTTAGCTAAAGGAAAAATTGGTGTTTTAAATGAATAGATGTGATAAAGACTAAAGGTGTATTCACCTAAAAATCACAGTCATGTGCATTTTTTTTTTCAACATCAACAATGATTTGGTTTAAAAAAAACATCTTGGATGCACAATATGTTTAAGCTGTATTTTTGTAATTTCAGGTGGCTAGAAGCTATGGGGAAAGCTATTCATCCCATCACACAGGTAACATCATCCAAATATGTATTCTTATACAGATTATACACCATCAGCTATAACATTATGACCACTTACGGTTGGAATATATTAGGCAGCAAGTGAACATTTTGTCCTCAAGTTGATGTGTTAGAAGCAGGAAAAATGGGCAGTCTAAGGATTTGGCTAGACGACTGGGTCAGAGCATCTCCAAAACTGCAGCTCTTGGGGGGTGTTTTTAAAAAAAAAAAAAAAAAAAAGTGGTCCAAGGAATCTTCGATGCACATGAGGCAGGCCTGTGTGGCAAACAGACAAGCTACTGTAGGACAAATTGCTGAAAAAGCTAATGCTGGTTCTGATAGAAAGATGTCAGAACACATGCATTTCAGTTTGTTGCATATGGGGCTGCATAGGGTGGGTGCCCAGGTGGTCATAATGTTATGGCTGATGGGTGCAGTACTACACACTGTATTATTATCACACCTCCCACTGTTTATTCTGTGTAATGTGTGTGTGTATATATATATATATATATATATATATATATATATAAATGTATGTTGGTCATGGGTTTCACACTTTGTCTGTAATCAAAAATCAGATGGGGGACCCTGGGACAAAACCTTTTTTAAAAACCAGGGTCTGTGGTCTAATTAGTGTCAATTTAGTGGTCCTTGGTAGAAAAAAGTTTGAAATCCACTCTCTTACTGTATTAATTTCGCACTGTTCATATCTATCCCTCACTATCATTGTACATCACCACTGTCGTGTTTCAGAACCACGTGTGGGTAGATGTCATCAGACACAACTCTAATCTGCCCCCGCTAGCTGTGAAAAACCCAGAGTGTCTCGGATTGCTTCATAAAATGGACAAATGCAAGGACATGTGGGTACAACACTACTGCATTCTGAAGGATGCTTGCCTTTCCTTGTACAGTGGTATCCGCGCAACTCATGCACACGGTATGGATATTTTTCAAGTTCCAAATGCTGACATGCTTTCTTTTTTGTGGGTGTGCTGAATCTAGAATAAGTCTATGAGATTAAAGGGAATTCATGGTTTTTATATTCTTTAATGACAGTTCTAAGATTTTTAAACATCAACAATGAGTTGGTTTAAAAAAAGAAATGAGCCATTTTCTGTAGTTGACAAAGGTTATATTTATTAAATAAAAGGCAATATGCATTGTTTTACACAGTTTATACCCTAGCACAGAATTAAAAAAAGGATTATTTCATTTGATAACAAATATTTTGTAGATTTTTGTCTAGGAAATAAAGGAACCTCATTTTGTTAAACAAATCTTACCATGAACCCAGTATCATGAATTGTATTGAATCGTGAGTTTTATTACATCGCAAATAAAAACAATGTAACCTGAGATAAATAGTCCTGTTGTAATTGTTGGGTGATGGTGACGGAGACAAACACAGCAGTAGACCTTTTTCACGGCATATTTTGCCAATAAAAAGTAGGGCAAACACAGGTGCTACAATAGATTATTATAGATAATTAGGCTAATTTCCATTTAGTGTAGGAGAGCTTTTCCAGTGAGCCAACATGTAGTAAACCCCTGTTTGACACGAATGGAGTAGAACCATAATTAGTATCATTGGTCTTTGTTTACCCTACTATTTCATGTCAAAATGGCTGCTGTAAAAAAGATCTGTAGTGTATGTTACGCCTGACTGGCATCAGAACAAATGGTGTACAGTAGGGTTGTGTTACTGAAGGATCTGCTTAAAGCCCTCACAATCTCATGCAGGAATGTAGAGCTGAAAATACAGCTGAGGTGGGCCTAATCACAGATAACAATGAAAAGCCAATATGGTGTGCTTAACCCTGTCTAAAGGATAGTTACACCAGATGATGCAAAAACATGGCTAGGAGAATCATTAAGGATCATAACTGCCTAGACAATGGCCTTTTCTTCCACTATGGATACGCTAGACTAGCATTGAGAGATTCTACCCTAAGGCCACTAAGATGCTAAATGAGGTCACTGCCTCGATCCCCCTGGCCCCCAATCATACATATATGTATTACTATTTCTATTGTATTTAAACTCTTTTAAATGCAAGAATTGAAGGAACTGGTGGGATAACAATTTGCTGTGATTTGTACCTTATATGATTATATGTGACATATAAACTTGTTTAATTGAGTGATTGATCTTACAGGAATGCTGATTTTGGAACACTACTGAACGATGACTTTATTAGTGACATGTAGCCTTGTTCTTGAGGAGACACTAACATACTTTATGTTGGGTTTGTCATCCATCTGTGGTTGATGATATATGTTGGTTGTTGGTCCCTGCTCTTTGTTTGTGTTAGGCCAGGTTATGCAGACTACCTGTCTGTGTGAGAGCTGAGATACTGGAGACTGCATAATACACATATAAAACATTATATATTTACAAATCACAGATAGATAGAGTGTAAATACAGGCCCAAAATGGACCCAGAACTTCTGTAGGTCTGGCTAGGGTTAGGTTCCCGGACAGAATGAGATTCAGCAGCTTATAGCTTCAGCCAGTCACAACAAACAACTACACACATAGCAACATAATAATAATAGCAGATCATGTATGTCTCACAGAAGTCTATACTTAAGTCCATGAAAAATGTACTTAGATATTGGAACTCTCCCAAGTAAAATTACAACTTGTTGCGTACAGTAACAGTGAGTCTGGGCTAGTCTTTCCTCTGCTCACTGACACATACCGTCACATATTAATAGATAGATACTTTATTCATCCCCAAGGGAAAATTCACAGTAGGACACAGCTCTTCTCAAATTCAGCACTTGCAGATCTGGTTCTTCAAAATGTAATTAATATAATAGGAGTAAAGTCTTAAATTATTGTTGCTGTAGTCACGGAGCTGCTGAACAGCTTCAACGCCATTTGTTTTTAATGTTGTTTATATGTGACATGTTCTACGTAAAACAAACTTGTCACCTACAATACAGCTGTGTCACATTGACCTTTTTCTCTTACTTTTTCTCTTTTTCCTGACCTGTTTTTATTTTACCACTTAGCACACATTGTCATCTATGTCTTCAGGTGGGATCTACCTTCAGGGGTACATAGTCCGAGAGCAGCCCTATGGAACAAAGAAATCCGCCATTGAGCTGAAACCTCCGTCTGATGAGTTCAAGACTTTTTACTTCTGTGCTGAAAATCCAAATGAGAACAAACGGTGAGGAACTTGTGCTAATTTTTATTCAGGAACTATTTAGAACTTTAGTTTTTAAGATTTTAGTACAGCTCTCAGTACTTTTGCAACTTCTGACTGAATCTCTGTGGTTTAAAGTTTATTTTCACTCCTGCATTCCTGTTTGAACTTTTATCCAACAAATATCAGCCTCACTGATCAAGCGGTATTTGCTGTGTTTAGTTAATGCATATCAAACATCGGCTACAGGAGCTTTAAATTAAAAGTGTTCAGCCCACGAACCAATGGGTACCCACCCAAGTACCAATGCTACATAACACAGTTACCAGACCAGTCATTATCAGCAATGCTGGCAGCATCCGGAGAAGAGCCAAAATGTCTTAAAAATGATGTTCATATACAGCTTATTTGCAACATCAAATATGATTTGTGAGAAGAATGCCACCTGAGACCTTTGCAATAAACCTATTTACAAAATCAAAAGATGTTCATTCTTAACATAATAGCTTTCTTTGGAAACTAAAGCATGATTTACATTGGTATGCTCCTATTTAGACAGTCAAAGCACTTAAGTTAGGGTTATGGAAAGACAGAGGTCTCTGATAAATATTTTAAAAAGTAAAAAAATTCTGTGCCTTGTACACACCTGTGAACTCACTATCTATTCTGATGTTGACCTCCTAAAACTGCTGTATAAGAACGTATTACCTGCTGGAGTGGAAAATTATATTCATTGACAACAGTCGGTGAACATAATCAAGGATTATTTAATTTAGATTTTACAACACAGGATTGTAAAAACAATATATGTATATACAAAAATTATATACAGTATAACTGATTATTAAGTCATAAAAATAACAAATATTTCTACAAGATGGAGTCCTGAGGACACATTAAGCAGTTACACAGCCTTAGGGAAGAATTTGTCTTTAAGTCTGGTGCAGAAGCTTCTGTACCTTTTTCCTGATGGCATCAAAATGAACAGTCTGTGGCGGGTATGTAAGGGCTTGACCTTTATTATTATTATTATTATTATTATTATTTATTTTATTTGAACAGGGACAGTGCACAATAAGACATTAACCCTGTATAAAACAAGGAGAGATGCATTGCACCAAGTTTTAGCAAGTTGCTATTTTCCACCCATAGTCCCTGGGCAGGTAGCTGGAACATACAATAAATTAAAAACAGTTACTAAATTCACAGTTGTACAAAATTTCAATTACAAAGTTAAGAATACACGCATTCCCACATCATTAAAACAATTTAAAACAATTTACCCTCCCGCCAACTTTTATAGATAAATATGCCCCCCCCTCCCATCAAATATACACACACACACACACACACACTCACACACACTCACAAATGTCTACAAGTTTGCTGTGACAGTATCCAACGTTTTGTGTGACATGAAAGTGTTTTAAAATCCGCACATGTAATCAGCTCTGTTGGAAGTGTGTTCCATTGATTTGTGGCAACAAAAGAAAAAGATGATTTACTAAATGAAGTCCTGCGTTTAGGAATACTGCACTCTCCCCTGGTAACTTATCGGGGTAGCTCTTGTTGTTTTTTATGAGCAGAGTGTAACCATTTTTTTCAAAGGAGGAGCAGTAGCATTATGAATGATTTTAAACAGTAGGCATACATTTGTGTGCATTATTAGATTTTCAAGATTTAAAATGCTATATTTGGTGAGTATATGACAGTGATGATATTGAATATTATTGTGTTTTTTTGTCGTGAATCTTAAGGGCACTTTTATATAATGATTCAAGTGGTTTTAAGGCTGAGACCAACTTGTCATGCAATAGAAAAGATGTGGGAGAATCATTGCATTTAAATATGTATGTGATGCTTCAACAGTAAGAGTTTCTTATGTGTCTGTAGTTTAATTCAATTCAATTCAATTCAATTTTATTTGTATAGCGCCAATTCATAACAGAAGTTATCTCAGGACACTTTTCAAATAGAGCAGGTCTAGACCGAACTCTTTAACATTAATTACAGAGACCCAACAGTACCACCATGAGCAAGCACTTGGCGACAAGGGCAAGGAAAAACTGCCTGTTAAAAGGCAGAAACCTAGGACAGATCCTCCGGCTCTAGGTGGGTGGTCGTCTGTCTCGACCAGTTGGGGTGAGAGAGAGAGAGAGAGAGAGAGAGAGAGAGAGAGAGCGACAGACAGACAGACAGGTGCACAGCAACAACAGTATTGGCAATGGCAGTCAAGCAGGACCATGGCAGGAGGCTCCACCAGGATCCATGAGAACCTGCGAGACGAGAAAGCACAAGAACTCCGGGGAAGAAGTGGAGTTAGTAACATGCATTAAAGGGACATGAATGAGTGCAGAAAGAGAGAGGAAGAGAGTAGCTCAGTGCACCATGGGAAATCCCCCGATAGTCTAGGCCTATAGCAGCATGACTAAGGGATGGTTCAGGACTCACCTGATCCAGCCCTAACTATAAGCTTTATCAAAGAGGAATGACTTAAGCCTACTCTTGAATGTGGAGAGGGTGTCTGCCTCCCGAACCACAACTGGAAGCTGGTTCCACAGGAGAGGAGCTTGGTAACTGAAGGCTCTGGCTCCTGTTCTACTTTTAGAGACTATAGGAACCACAAGTAGCCCAGCATTCAGAGAACGTAGTGTTCTAGTGGGGTAATAGGGTACTATGAGCTCTTTAAGATATGAAGGGGCCTGACCATGAAGAGCTTTATAGGTGAGGAGGAGGATTTTAAATTCAATTCTACATTTTATAGGGAGCCAATGCAGAGTAGCTAGTACAGGAGAGATGTGATCTCTTTTTCTAGTTCCTGTCAGTACTCGTGCTGCAGCGTTCTGAATTAATTGGAGCGTTTTAATGGACTTATTGGGGCAACCTGATAATAAAGAGTTGCAGTAATCCAGCCTTGAAGTAACAAATGCATGGATTAGTTTTTCTGCATCTGTCTGTGATAGTATGTGTCTAATTTTTCTAATATTACGTAAATGAAAGAAGGCAGTCCTAGAGGTCTGCTTTATGTGGGAGTTAAATGACAAATCCTGATCAAAGATAACTCCAAGATTCCTGACAGTGGTGCTAGAGGCCAAGTTAATGCCATCTAGAGTGACTATATCTTTAGACAATGAGTCTCTAAGGTTTTTGGGGCCAAGAACAAGAATTTCGTTTTTTTCTGAGTTTAACATCAGAAAATTGCAGGTCATCCAGGATTTTATGTCCTTAAGACATGTTTGTAATTTAGATAATTGATTAATTTCATTGGGTTTGATTGATAGATATAACTGCGTATCATCTGCATGAGGTTTATGAGGTTAAATTTCAGTGTGTTACTCAGCTTTTTAACATGATTTTTAAAACTAAGAGTTTGATCAAGGGTAACCCCTAAATATTTGAATTCATCCACATTTTAGATTTTTTGCCCATTTACTAAGATTTCAAGACAATCCCTGAGTTTGCTCCTGTTTGTAAAGAACATGGTTACAGTCTTTTCAACGTTTAAGGTCAAACAGGAGTTATTTAGCCATTCAACAACCTTCTGCATTTCCTTAGTTAACTTTATTGCAACCTCAGTTGCATTTTTTCCGTGAGTATATAACACAGTATCGTCTGCATACATTATGAAATTGACATCATTACACACAGATGGGAGGTCGTTAATATATATCCTGAAAAGCAGCGGCCCTAAAATTGACCCTTGTGGCACTCCCAGGGTGCATGCTTTAAATGGGGATAGAGTATTGTTCACCCGCACACACTGATGTCGGCCACTCAGGTAAGATTTAATCCAATTTTGTGTGTCTATGGAAAGGTCATAATTTGCCAGTTTGTTTAATAGTATGTCATGATTAACCGTGTCAAAAGCCTTGTGCAAATCAAGAAAAACTGCTCTCACCACGCCTCCCTGATCTAGGTATGTTTTAGTTACTTCAAGGAAGTAGCAGCATGCTGTTTCTGTTGAATGTTTTTTCCTAAAGCCAAACTGCATAGGATGTAAAAAAGCCCTGGAATCGAGGTGAGCAATTAGTTGTTCTGCTACAACCTTTTCAATGACCTTTGAAATGGCTGGCAGGATGCTAATAGGTCGATAGTTACTAACTTCCTTTTTGTCACCAGATTTATACACAGGGGTTACTATAGCAGATTTCAAGGCACTGGGAAAAGTGCTCTCATTAATAGATTTGTTTATTATTTTAGTTAAAGTGGAGGTTATACATTTCTTATGATTTTTTAGAAAGGCAGTATCAAGACCATATATGTCTTTTGGACAGGGTTGAGAGGACCTTTCCAACCTTTATATCATTTGTTGGTGTTATATGAAGGGCAGAACTGTCACAAACTAAGGAGTGCTGAGGGTGGATCTTTGGAAAATTCTGACCCAATGTTTGCACAGAATTTAAAAAATAATTCTTAAAATTTGTAGCGACAGCTAGGCTATCATCTTGAATATTTCCATTTATTTTAAGCTGTATGCTATCATATTTGGGCTTTTCCTTTCCAGTTAGTTAGTAAATACTACTAAGAAAAGAAGAAGAGGACTATAAATTAATATTTTTACGTGTTTCTGTTATCAAAATCAGTTTTTCACAAGCCATAACTCTGTTACCCTGGTAACACCTGAAGGTTTGACTAAGACCTGGAAAAATCATTATCATCCCATAAGGTTCGTAGGCAATGGAAACGTTCAGTACTTCCCTCCGCTCATAGTCATAGTCCAGTCATATTTGGCTTAGCTATGAGACAGACGGCTAACATTATGCTAGCAAGATTCAAAGTCAATAACACTGTGTAGAGTTGACAAACAGTAAATATAATTTGACAGAATGTTAAACAAAAAGACTAGCTAGCTATCCATTCAGTCATTGTCCCCAAATCAATATCCTGGATTTTCACGAAGAAACGATAGGGCATGTGTACTGACGGCTGCAGCCTGAATAGCAAGTTGAACAGTGAATGGAATGTGAGATGACTGCTTATGCAAAGTATCAGTAAGTGCAGAGGGGCAGTTTAGGATGTTACAGTCTCCATCCTGTGGTGTTCAGAGGATGAGGAAATGGTAAATAGACTGTACTTATATTGCACCTTTCTAGTCTTCCGACCACTCAAAATGCTTTCACACTACATGCCACATTTGCCCTTTCACACACATTCACACAGTGATGGAAAACCCCATCAAACAGAAACTAACTCATTCATGTAGCGGGGAGGAGCTGGAGATCGAACCAACAACCTTCCAAATAGTGGACTACCTCTGAGCCACAGCCGCCTGCAGAGGCACTCAATAGTAGTTCCAGCTTTACATATAAATTTTAGATTTGTATTTTATTAGACTAAATTATTTTCTTGTGTGATTGCTTGTGCTTTGACATATGTATTATTTGAAAACTTTTTTGATTAAGCAATACTTTGCAGAAATACACAGTTATATTCCTTAATTAAAAATCTTGATTTGGTATTGATATAGAAGCTCAGGTGTCAGCTTTAGTATGGAACATTTTTAATGACACCCTAGTTATGTTATGTTTATAAAGCTCCTGAAGTGGGAAGTAAGTGAGGCAAACACCATGTTAATGTTTCTGATGTTCTTTACAGATGGATCATGGCTATCCAAGCTTCAATAAAGAAGTGGTTGCCTTTACATCAGGCCCTTCAGGACTACATGAATCGACCACCAGAGGAGACCAGAATGTGAGACAGTGTACTCTGTAAATACTGACAGCAGGCTGACACCCTGTGGACCACTGGAGGAACCTCCTCAGTAAAATCCTGCTGCTAGTGAGAATTAGGCCAGTGTTAGAAGTACCTTCAAACATACAGCTCAGGAGAGAAATGGTAAACTCCACATTTCTAAATGCAAATGTGAGGGACAGGAACAAAAACTGAAAAACATGTGTTTATATTAATTTTTATATTTCCCTTTTGAATTTTCCTACATTGTTTTCTACAATTGCAATTTTTAATTTAAGCTTTTGCATTGAATTTTCAGTTGGGGTATTTCCATTTAACTCCTTCGATCAAATATAATTAATCACTGTTTCTTCTTATTTTTCAATGTTTTGTTTTGTTTCATAAATTATCCTTCACTCTATGCATTCCTATGTACAGCAGGATCTACTAGCACTTTACCTAAGCAGTTGGATGGTCAGGACTGTTTAGGACTTTTGCACTGTGCCATAAGGCTTTCAAAATAAGATTCAGAAATTCTTCAAGCTTCATTGTGCTCACTGCTGCATGTATTCCATTCCTTTATAAAATTCTGAGATTGAGACTAACAACAATGAAAATACTGAAGATGTCGACTATATCAGCTTGTTCACTTACAACCCTGTCTCCTAGAAATTACGTTTGTATATTTGTATTTCTATAACATTTTGTTATAATTTGGTGATTGTTGGGAGTTCAGAGACAATGTGTTTTGAAACAATGCACTTATATAATGCTGTGGAGTTGCAAGCAGTTGGATAGTGGGTGCAGGACTGTCACATCAGTCCAGGGTTCACGTCCACATACAACAAGCACTTTGGTTGAGGTCAGAGAAAGATTGTGATTTTTTTGTTAGGTTTAGACAACAAAAACACTTTTGGTTTAAGTCAGGGAAAGGCAACCAAAGCATGCTGCTGACTTTTGAATAAAGACATTATTCAAAATGTCAACATTTTTGCAATGAGCATTACATTTCCTTAGAAATGTATTTGCTGTCAAAATTAATTGTATATAAAGGTAAAATTGAGGAGGCAGTACTGTCACTGATGTCATCACCCATGTTGGTCTTTTTGTGAGTGTTTCATATAGGCTGTGTTGATGATGATATAACAAACCACCCTCTAAAGTAATCTTCTTTAATATTCATGTTCAGTATATTGTCACAGCCAGACACATTAACTAAGATGAATTAACTAAGAAACAGGCCATCATCAATTTTGTTAATTTTATATTATATCTCCAAAAAGTTGACTTTCTGATCATTTACACTAATATGGACTGTAATTGTGAGAAAAATCTTTGGAGAGGTTTCAAGTTGTGATACTGGCATTTCTGTGCTTTTATACTGATTCTATATTATTGTGTTTTTGTGCTACACTTTAAACTCACATTTAGATAAATAAATTTGCTCTCAGGCTTTTGATACTGCTTTTACTCTCTACAAGTAGATAGTAAGGCATAAATTATAATAAAATAATAAAATTAATTTGCTCAATTCCTCAGTTGACTCTTGTTTGAAAATATTTTTCTGAATCACGAAAAGCATGAATATTTTGTATAAGAATGTCTTTGGCCTACACTGCTTAAGGTGGCAATAGATAAAGAAACATGGGAAGAATGTTGCTCTTGCCTTCCAGAATATCAATATGCAACATATAAAGGAAGATTCAATATAATATTTATAATCTATAATCTTTTACATAATGTCTACATAACTCCACTTATTTATAGTAACATACATTATGAGCTTCTCCAACTTGTCACAAATGCCAATACAAATATTCTCTCTGGGAGTGCAAAAAAATTAAATTATTCTGAAAGGCAATATGCAAAGAAATAAGGTGATAGGGCAGCAACTGCTTCCCATTTTTATATGTTGTATACATCTTTGAAGTACACAAAAAAAAACTGTTCAATTTCTTGGATAATTGGATGGGACTACATGGTGCTCAATAGCCCTGTGTCAAATAAATACTATACTATTATACATACATACATACATACATACATACATACATACATACATACATACATACATATATATTTATAGATTTTAAGTCATGTAAAGTTGTGAGGTGGGGCCTCCATGGATTGGACTTTTTTGTCCAGCACATCCCACAGATCAATTGGATGGAGATTTGGGGAATTTGGAGGCCAAGTCAACACCTTCAACTCATTGTTGTGTTCCTCAACCCATTCCTGAACAATTTTTGCTTTGTGGCACATCGCATTATCCTGCTGAAAGAGGCCACTGCCATCAGGAAATACCGTTTCCATGAAAGAGTGTACATGGTCTGCAACAATACTTAGGTAGGTGGTACGTGTCAAAGTAACATCCACATGAATGGCAGGACCCAAGGTTCCCCAAGAGAACATCTCCCAAAGCACCACACTTGCCTCCGCTGCCACCCAGCTATCTACAAGATGTAAATGATGCACTGTGTGTTCTGACACCTTTCTATCAGAACCAGCATTAACTTTATCAGCAAGTTAAGCTACAGTAGCTCATATGTTGGATTGGACCACATGGGACAGCCTTTGCTCCCCACTTGCACTTAATTTGGCAGTTACTTTTGCCCAAAGTATATGACCATCAACATATAAAAGATCCACTCCACTTCATACACCTGGCTGACTCAGTTGTGAGAAGGGGTCAGCTGTCAATCATGACATGAAACCCAAATTTTATAGCTTCAAATAACTAATTAAAACCAAATTCATCACAATAATTGACACTTTACCATAAATAAGCATGATAGAACAATATAAAGTAACAGAAACCATTGTTGGGAAAAATCTATTTGACGAGTATTGTGATTTGATTGGTTTTTTAGTTTGGCCCATGTCCCATCTGCTTTCATAATGTTGTATGACACTGCATTTGTCTCACAGCCTGCTATAACATTGCGGCTGGTGAACCTAGACTAACCAGATACCCCACAAAACATAGTCCATTCCATGATTGCCAACTTAAAGACGCTTTCCCTGTGCTGTGTTCTATCGATTTTATGTGCATTTAACAGATCTGAAAATTGACAAAACCGAAAATCTACACAGAGAGTTACTTTCTCCCACAGAAAATACTGCTCTTGCACTGCCGGACATGCCCTGTTTTCAGCCTTTTCTTCCGTTACTATTATCACATTATCACATTGTAACCGATGGGTGACAGTACATTCCTACTCACTGTTTCAGCCAAGATAGACAGAAAGACGTTTTGGGCTGGTGCCTTGAAGATAGTTGATAATTGAGTCTCATTCATAGCATCAAGTTTGACGTTTGAGACTCAACAATCAACTATCTTTCTTGGCTCTGATTGGCTGTTTTCATTCTTGTAAATGCTGTAGGAGGAGCCAGAAAAACTTGTTTTTTCACAGATTATCTGTCAGGATATAGTAAAAAATGTCAGCATATATAACAAAAGTTATTTTTTATAAAATTTACCAACTACAGTTTTAATTGGTAAATGGAACTGTACTTGTATAGCACCTTTCCAGTCTTCCTTAAAGCACTTTTACACTACATGTCACATTTGCCCTTTCACATACCTTCAATCAGTGATGGCAAAGCCCATCGAACAGAAACTAACACATTCACACACCAATGCACAGCATCAGGAGCAATTTGGGGTTCAGTATCTTGCTCAAGGACTTCAACACATGGCGGGAGAAACCGGGGATCGAACCAACAACCTTCCAATTAGTGGACAACCTGCTCTGCCTCTGAGCCACAGCCACCCCATTGAAAAAAATTACATTTCTTTTAATGCAGCCCTCCACATTTCCTCATCCACTAAAGGAGTGAGTGCAGAAACACTTTCCACACTGCACTGTTTAATCCAGGGACGCAATCTCCCCTCAGGCAGAAACTGAAATAATACTGTAAACTTCCTTCTGATCTCCTCAGAGATCTGTTTGAAATAAGCTTTAATCATAGAACAGTCATTGGTTAACATCAAGTGTACATTTTCTGTTTGACTTAAGGAATCACTATTAGTGCATAGGAATGACTTTACAGACAGTATAGTGAATCAGTTTGTACATGCCTTGAATTTCAAAGTGATTGCTTTTCATATAATTTTCTCGCTATTTTGAGCAGAAGAATTCAATCTTTACTTAATCTTTACTTTTCTGTAATATAGTCATTAGTCCATGCTACTTTATATCATCAATAACAGTAGCCTTTACTCCAGATCTTTACTTTAGAGCAGCAGTAAAACATCACACAAATGAAAATGATGTAGAAAATGTGATGGAATTTCGCCACACAGATCTGATGTTTTCATTTTACTTGAAAACTCCAGTGGAGTGCTTCTTGTACATCATGATTAGGATTATAATGTTGCATTTTGCTTTTATCAAATACCAACTTCTCCATATCTTTTTCCCAGCAGTTTCAATTTTTGTGCAAAAATTTAATTGATTGTGATAATGCACCTTATCACTGGTTGCCGGTGTCACCGTTGAGTGTAATTCATTCATCATACAAGAGACAAAATACACAATAAAAGTTAAGGATGAATGTTACTGATAGCATTATTACTCTTACTACTATTTTTCACATTTTCGATATTGTTATTGTGAATTCTTTTAGCAATAATTGTGTAGTGTAAATCCACATTTATGAAGATCTATTGGCAGAAATGAGCATAATATCTATAGGTTTTGGTGAATATAGGAATTATTGTGTTTTTGTTACCTTAGAATGAGTTGTTTTTATCTAAACTGCCATGTTTCTTCAGTAGCCCAGAATGGACAAACCAGACACTGTCTCTAGAAGGGGCTTTTGAGTTTCATGGCCTCCTTTAAATCTCACATTCATGTTCTTCAAACTGATTTAAAAGTGAACACATTTCAACATTTGCAAAACTTCTAAATTTAAAAAGGAAGGACCATAGTCCTATCACAAAATTAATAAATATGCATAATAAAGGCCCTATGTTTGGATAAATGTTAAATGTAAAAATCCTCCCAGGCGGTCTCAAAAAAAGACAATGTAGCAGACATACACGCTGACACTCCACCTATGGAATTTTACTCAGATTGTTTCATTTTCTACAAATTAAATTTTTTTTACATGAAAATTCTACCCAGAGGCTTAAAATGTTACATGTTTGTCAAATGGAGAAAAAATAAAATAAAAAACAAAGACAAGAAATCAAATTTCCATTCAAGGCAGCACAATTGTTTTTTCAAAAACTGAAGTGGTGTGCAGATTCTTCCATAGAACTGTACGTGTTCACTATGCTTTGCTTATGTACAATATTGCAGTGTTTATATGAGGCCCACAGAGGTAAGTGTTTAATAAAAGTATGCCATATGTATATTGAAAGAGTTATTGATTGTTATTCATCCTATCTATACTGGCTGTGAAGTGACTCTCCTTGTGCAACCAAATGTAAAATAGGGTAAAATGAACAGTCCTCTTTCAGTGTAAAAATACCTTTCAAAGTTTAGCTGAAGATGAAATTAAGTCTCATCACAGTTACAGTTAGACAAACTGTGAAATGGATTCCCTCCCCCATCTTAAGGCTGCGTTCAGACTGCAGGCCAAATTGACCCAAATCTGATTTCATATGTGGTCCAAATCAGATACAGGTCAGAATTTTCCTTTTTGCAATGTGACTGTGAACATAAGATCAGAATTCACATAACCTTTACTTCACTCCAGACTGACATTCTTCAGGACGGTGACCTGTTCACACTGGAATCTGATATGGGTCACACTGAAAAAGAAATATGAAGTAGCCCATATGGTAGCATTTGCACCCCATGTACTGAGGCTGAGCTCTTACCACAGAAGCACAGATTTGGTTCCAACCAGCAACCCTTTGCTGCATATTGTCCCCTCTCGCCCTTTGTCTATCTTTGGCTGTCACAAACCATTAAAGGCATAAAAATATATGGCTGGATCGTGTCAGTGGTAGTATCTATAATCTGAATACCTGTATTTTCCTACTATTTTTCTGTAGTGGTCACAGTAATGTTAATTTTTAAAGTGTACCATAGTGCAGAACAATGACTGGGTTAAGCTACGTTAGCGTAAAAAAAAAGATAAATGCAGTTGCAAGAACAAACCTTTTAACTCATATAACTCATATTAAAATGTTTGATTTGAAAGAGAACTTATTCTAATTATAACTATGCTGCTTAACTCTGCAGCATAGCTATGCACTCCCTTGCACTGTCTGTGCACATAGGATTTCACAGGCAGGTGTGTTTGTGGGTAGCAATAGCCATATATATAAAATATATATAGTAGTTATGGACCATACCCCAGTATAGGCACAGCTATGGAATTGTTTTAGTGCTAGCACAAATTGAAGAAGAGTTTTTGGGAGCCAACTGTACTAGTTTTAAACCTTTCTTAACATTCTTACTAAAAATAAATAGGTCCAGAAACTGAAAAGTTGGTTCCCAGTTGGAAACCAAAATAGCAGGTTTTCCTTGGGAACCAAAGTGGGTGTGTCGTATTCTGTCGTAGTCTTTGTGCATTGTAAAACACCCTCTGTTGATGATGCATCTGATTACTATAGTTCAAAACTGGTGGACATAAAGGCAAGTTCATCAGATAGCACCAAGACTCCAAGAACCTTGAATGGAACGGAGTCAAGAACCCGAGCAAATTTGGTGGAAAAGGGCCCAAGGTGAGACAGAGGTTGGGCCTACGGGCAAAGGATAAAGCCAATAGCAATAACTTTAGAGGGATGCGCCTATACTCATAGAATCTGGTACACAATTAATGTTTGCGCCTATTCATTCTGAAAGACCAAAACTCCCTCTCTCGACCAGTTAAGGGCGTCACTCACTCACTCAAGAAGTCACAGACTTTCCTGTTTACAGTGCTGGCCTTGGCTTTGCCAAAAAGGGGAGGGATCACTTAAGCACCAGTATGGACAGAAGGCATGATTACAGCAGCCAAACTCTTTAAATGTGTATATGGCATGTGAGTATTGTTATAAGATGGACCAAACATATCTTACCCATCCTTTAATGAACAAATTTTGAATGGAGTAATGTTTATTTCACACATGCCCATCTTATGGTAAATAAGAGATTCAAACACAGTGTTATTAAATGACAGCAACAAAACAGCAATAAATCAATTAATTAGCAACATTATAAAAGTATTATCTTGCTAATCTGACAGTTGTATGCAGTGCCATTATCTGAATCAAATCTGACAAAACTTCTACTAACACAACTCCTCACAGATAAGCAGTAAAAAGGACTGGACTGATAACAATGGTGCATTTTAAAGCCAATACAGTATATGTGCTTTTATCAGCTGTAGACTGATATATCAGTGCATCTCTGACCAGTACAAACACACAACGCTGTCAATAAATAGGTTCACCTGTTATTGCTAAATTTATATAATTCACATTTGTTAACCTCAACAATCTCATCACAATGTGGGGAGTAATTTAAGGATTTCTTCTTCACAACATTATGTGTACAGTACAAGGTAAATCCCCCAGTTAATAATATAACAAGATTATCAGACTGTCTTTTAAAGAACTGCTTATAATCTGAGTAGAAAGAAACCAAGCTGGAAATAGCACCTAAATCCCCAGGAGAGTGAAAGACACCTAAAAAAAGGCCTTCCACAGGGCTTTCATGTCTTGTTTCTGGTAAACATGCGCTCTCCTCGTAGGGTGAGATGCTGCAGTTGGTACTGTAACACCTCAGTGTCTGATGACTCTTTAGTACTTATTTTGTCCAGATTAAGGTAGTCCAGAGACTTGGACTGGGCCCTCTTCCCTTTAAGCAGACACAGGGGTAGTGGAGCATGCAGACTCCTCCCAGGCTCCCCATGGGCCAGGGACCTGAGGAAGGTGTCACTCGAGCTGGGCATACGCCTCCGTCTCTGCCCGTTGGAAGCAGGAATGTCGTAGGGTTGGTAGTAGCGACTTTTTCCTTTAAAGATTCGTGAAGACCGGTGGATGCCCAAGTCCACAGACTTTGGGACAGAGCTCTGAATGGAGCTGGCCACTGCCTCTGATACAGAGCCCTTCTCTGGAGTGCCTTCTGACCACTTGTGGGCCAGTTTAAGCAGCTCCTCACCAGTGGTGAAGCCTACCAGATAATTTGAGTCCATGTGGAGGATCTGGTATCCTGCAACAGTCCCTCTAATGGGCGAACACGGGGTGCTGGCACAGCGAGGTCTCTCTGCTTCTGGTTTCAATGTAGCTTTGATCTCAGCTGTAGGAAGAATGGAGACGTGTGCCCTGGACACTCCAGTGATATCCATTTCCATCCTTACAGACATATCCTGACTGATGAAATGTAGAGAAAAAACATCACTTGAGTCATACAGCAGTTACACAAAATACAATCTCTTTGGGGCCATATTCACTAAACATCTTAAAGCTGCAGCAGACATTTTTATAAAAATATTCTTACCACAGTGTCAAATACCGACACTATAAAAATGTAGTTTGCAGCACTGATGAACACTCACCACATTACAAATGTGCTCTCCATTTCCCACTTCGTTCAGCAGTTCATTAAGTGTACATGAAATAATCACCAGCCGATTTCATGATTATTACTGAATTCCCTGGTGTAGTTGGTGACAACAATAGGGTGTATGTTATGTTTAATTGCACCAAAGGATGAAGATGTTTTCTTCAACTGGATAAAATATCACAGTGTCAGTGTCATGCATGAAATCCCTGATGACTCAAATTATCGATCAAAAGATTAATCTGCTACAATTTCAATAATAAAGGTCTATCTATTCTATTGGCAGAAATGTATGTGTAAAATAAAATTCATAGTTCCTGGGAGTGACACTCAACAAAAACTGGACGGGGCCTACCACACTGAGGGCCTCTACAGGAAAGCACAGAGCAGGCTGTTCTTTCTCAGGAGGCTCAGGTCCTTCAACGTGTACACTCAGATATTACAGATGTTTTACCAGTCTGTAGTGGCCAGTGTCATCTTCTTTGCTGTGGTATGCTAGGGAGGAAGCATCGGGACTTCAAACTGCCAACAAATTGAGCAAGCTGGTGAAGAAGGCTAGCTCGGTGGTGGGGATGGAGCTTGTCAGTGTAGAGGCTGTGACTGAGAAGAGGATAAAAGGGAAGCTGAAAGCCATCATGGACAACCCCTCTCATCCGCTCTACACTGAGCTCAGGCAGCTCAGGAGCACGTTCAGCCACAGACTGACCCAGCCCCGAGCCTCAAAGCGGTTTAGAGGCTCGTTTGTACCATCAGCCATCAGACTCCACAATGCCACAGCACATAGTGCCTCCAACCCCCTGACCCGCTGACTAAGACCGGTTCAACCCCAACCTACAAACTATTTATATTTAAGTTGCACATGTGCAGTTTAGTTTTTTAGTCAAAGCTGCTCAAAATATTTTGCACACCATTTTACTTGCATATTGCATATAGTGTATATACTTTTCATTTAAAGGTCTATATTTTCTATTATATTTTGTAATATTCTTATTTTGTGATTCTTATTGTACTTTCACTTCTGTACTCTTTGCACTACATACCCCTATGTTGCTGCGTCTAATTTGAATTTCTCCTACGGGGAATCAATAAAGGTACATCTTATCTTCTTATATTCATGTCAGTGTATAATCACCTGAAAATGAAAATCGTGTTTTTTTTTACCTTAGGAATTAGTCGTTTTTATCTACAGAGCTCAGAGTCCTCTTCTATGGAGGCCACCATCTTAAACCGCCATGTTTCTACAGTAGCCCAGAACAGACAAACCAAACACTGGCTCTAGATAGGACTTTTCGCGAGTTCTGCAAGCATCGTAGTTTCTCCTATATGCTTGGAAGGGCAGAGTTAGGTGAGTTGGTTGCAATCTGCAACTACACCACTAGATTCCTTTCATATATCTATTTTAATTTCCTTTACTCCTGAATATTAATGAATATTCACATTCACTGTCACAGACCAATCTCTGTTGTTCACAGACAGTGAGCAGACTCATTCATAAAATTCATCCATGTTAACAGTGGTTTATCCAGTCTCTACACATGGTTCTCTCTCCCAGTGAAAGTTGATGAAGTGCAACAACTAATCAGTTAGACAGACATTAATGAATTAATCAGTCATTTAAATATTTAAATTAATATCATAAACATTTAATGACTAGTCAAATAATGGCTTGAACAACTAACGTTAGTACACAAAATGGAAAATCTTTATTGGGGATAGCCCCAACACTGACAGGGATAATTTTACTGCACATTGACTACTTTTACTTTTCATACACTAAAGTTTGCTATAATACTTACATACTTTTACTTTAGTAAGGTTTAGAATGCAGACCTTTTATTTGTAGGCGAGTAGTGGGGTTGGTATTAGTACTTTTAGTTAAGTAATGGACCTAAATACTTGCACATCCATTGATTTGAAACCTAATATTATGTGTAATTTTACTAGGGCTGCTACTAAGACTTCTGACTAGCAGTTATTAGTTAAAGCCATTAGCTATCATGATATTAATTGAATTATTTAAAATACATACACCGTAACCCATACGCAACAAACTGCGATGCACTGTGTGTTCTGACACCTTTCTATCAGAACCAGCTACTTTTTCAGCAACAAGAGCTCGTTGGAGATGCTCTGACCCAGTTGTCTAGCCATCACAATTTGGCACTTCTCAAAGTTGCTCAAATCCTCATGTGCCCTACTGGCCATGGTTGATGTCAAACCCTGTCTTGGGTTGAGTCTGACCAATCAGAAGCTGAGTAGGTACGGTCTTTGTGGAATGCCAGTGGACACAAAAATAATGTGTGTGTGTGACAACTGATCTCAAAAGCATTGCACCATGGAATAACATGAGACTGACCCAACAAAAAAAGGTGAAGTGAAGACGATAATGATCTCAATCACCTGTTGTACAGAAGTTAATCTTAAACCGATCAAAGAATCCCTGGACAACAGAATGTTGATTCCTGCATGAACAAAGTTAAAGAACCGGGGACTTCTGCTACTGCAAAGTCTCTGTGGGATGACAATAAATGGCTCAGATAAGAACTAGGTATAGTGAGAGAAAAGACAGGACTGTATTGGAAACTGCATACTATACTATCAGTATGTACTGATTTGGCCAGAATGTAGCATGTAGTATGCATTATGCAAACAAAAGTAAAATCTGCAGTATGCCAAAAATACTTGGATGCCGTACTGATGTGGAACAAATCTCCAGTACCCATTGGACCAGTCTACCTGCCAGTGAGCCTGGTTCCTTCCACTTGTCAGATAGGCATTACTCATCTCTCAGAGAAATGTTAATCTCTGAGAAAAATCTATTTATAACCTACATTATTTACGGTTTTTTTTATAACAACACAGTAGCGGTGGCTTGTCATTAGCTGTGCTAAATACTTCTTTCCGAAATCAGAAACCAGCTGAACCTGGCATAGCATACTGCAAAATAAATCCATTTAACAGGTTTATGCTCCATAGTATGAAAAGCAGTATACCGCATGTACTACATAGGGCACACTGTGTTGATTGGTAGCATGTAGTTGGCAGTAACTAGAGTCACAGCAGGAAATTTTAAATGCCTACCAAATAAAACTATCAACGGCTAAATTCTATGGATTATGAGTAACAGGAACAGTATTTATGAAGGAGACATTGCTGTTTACTTTAAATCAATCATTCATTTTCAATGTTGGGAGCACCACAAACTAATAATTTGGTTTTGTGAATATAAACTAAATGGGGAGGGTATGGGTTGATTTCTTGTTTGTCATATTGTAAGACCGTTGCTACGGTGAAATCGGATTATTTAAACATGGATGAACAGCACAGACAGAAGCCAGTTCATTGCGTATGAACGCCATGGCGCGGCTAAATCGTGCCATACTGACTCAGTGGAAAAGGGGCATGAGTGACAGAAAACCCTCTCAGTGCACGAACGCTGCAAATCCAGCCTTCACATATCAGGCGTCCCACACTTCACAAACACTCACAATAGGCATGATGTAGCTGCTATTGTAGCTTTTTTAAAAGCTGTATGAAAGATAACATTAGTAAAAGATGGCTGTTGCAACAAACGACGACAGGCCAGGTTCATCCTGTCCGCTGCTCAATGGGAATGTAGCACTGCCAGTAGTAATAAAAACGTCTCAACACAATATTTGCATTACTGTATCATTCACGGATAAATTCGACAGACTGATAATTTCAAATAGCGACACATTTCAGACTTGATTATCAAGATCAAGTCATGGGGTGGGACCTGACTCGTTTATGTGGATTCATCTTCGCTGTTTAATCCTCATCGGATATATGTTGGTTTCATAAACTATGATTTAACTGACTGAATGAAAACAGAATAAAATACAAACCTGTTTCACTGCGGAGAATCCGATGTTCAACCTCTCCGTCTATGTGCTCTTCCACGACTGTGTTCCGTCAACAGCAGCAAAAGGGACACTTCCGGTCTACTTTTCACAGAAAAGGCATACATTCTTTACAGTATTTTTAGTCGTAATGACAACTCTACTTATTATTTACTGTGGTTTACGTAACACAAGTGTTCTTTTTATCCAGTAAGCCTGTATCACATAATCCTCCGTTTATGTAAGGCAATTTAGTTGGTAATATAAAAGAAAATGCTCATGCTACAACATTTTGACTTATCTGGATTGTCTGATAAAAATAATATGTTGACAATATTTTGACGTACTAAATTAAAATTATGAGTTATTAATATGGAAGGCAATTTCTGCCAATGTGATGAAAAAAAATAAAAGTCGTTATAATGAGACATTTTAAGTGTAAAATGTTCTACTTTTCCATTTAATTTCTATATAACGTTAAGTTTACAACTAAATGTGGAAGAATCTGTGCAGTTATGGTCCAACAGTAGTGGCAAACTGCTATAGTTAGCCAGCCCCCAGTAATGGGTGCGGGCCAACCCTAGCTTCTGCTAGCCGTCCCCCAGCGGTTCCCGAGCAGCCGGGAAGCTAGGGAGGCTGGGTGACTGTCTGAAGGAAGCATTGCCCCAGGCAGCAGAAGCCCACAGTTCCCCACCAACAAGTTCACATTTCCAATAGATTTCCCCCATCAGCGACACACCCACTGAGCAAACCAACTCTGGTTATTGGCAGCTCAATAGTCAGAAACGTGAAGTTTAGCGAAGCCAGCGATCAGAGTTAAATGCATCCCTGGGCCCAGAGTGGGCGATATGGAATCATATTTGAAATTACTGGCTAAGGACAAACATAAATACAGTAAAATAGTTATTCACATTGGTGGTAATGACACCCGATTACACCAATCAGAGGTCACTAAAATGAATGTTGAGTCAATGTCGGACTCCTTAGTTTTCTCTGGATCCCTACCTAATCTGACCAGTGATGGCATGTATAGCCGCATGTCATCATTCCACCGCTGGCTATTGAGGTGGTGTCCAGAAGATGATGTGGGCTTCATAGATAACTGGTGGACTTTCTGGGTAAAACCACACAAAAAACCCACCTGACTTGGAAAAGTCTGTTATAGTGTATCATGCTCCTGGCCCGTACTCTCATTTTCTATGTGAATTCTAAGAGTTTTTATCAAGTTTAATTCTTAAAACGGATAAAGTAAATATTGTAGGTGATTAATGTAGATGTTGATAATGCCAGCCTTAGCAATGCATTCATCTCATTATTAGACTCAATTGGCTTTTGCCAGAGTGTAAACCAAGTTCTATCATATGCCATTGATATTGAACATTTAAGTCCTCTGATAGTGCTGTAGTTAAATTTAAGGAGGAGATTCTATTTTTCATTCAATGTCATGTCTGAATATAACAGAGGACTCCTATGAAAATCTTAGCCTCTCCTAAATTGATAATCTTGTTAATAGTGCTGCAGGCTCACTGCAAACAACACTCAACTCTATTGCCCATCCAAAAAAGAAGACAGTAAAACATAGGAAGCACCGTGGTATAACCACCAAACCCACCAATTAAAACAAATAGCACAGAAATTTGAAAGGAAATGGTGTTCTACCAAGCCAGTAGAATTGCATTCAATCTGGCAAGATAGTCTTAAAACATGTAGAAAGGCCCTCTGTAATGCCAGAGCAGCCTATTATTCAACATTAACAGAAGAAAATAAGAACCCCAGGTTCCTTTTCAGCATTGCAGCCATGGTGACATAGTCACAGCTCTATTGAGCCATGTATTCCCATAGCCTTCACTACCATAACTACTTCATGAGCTTCTTGAATTATCAAACTATTACTATTAGAAAGAAATAATCACTGCCTGCCCTCAACAGGTAAATATGTCTCTTTAAACACAGGCATCTTAAATCTGTAATCAGATATATATTTAGACTGCTTTTCTGCAATCAGTCTTCATCAATTAACTTCAATAATTTCTTTATCAAAGCCATCAACCTGTCTCAGACCCCATCCCAACAAGTTTGAACCTTTTAACTCCCACAAGGCTGTGGAGACTAATCACGACATTTACGGTCCGAGCTACTGCTGAATGAATAGTTTGTCACTAATGTAAATCTACATTACCTCTTGCACTCATTTCCCAGTATTATTGTCAACTAATGTTTCAATTAATGTGAACAAAGAAGAGATGAGCATGCAGTTGTGGTGCAGAGGCAGAGTGGGTCATCCCCTAATTGGAAGGTTGTTGGATCGATCCCTGGCTCCTGGTGCCACATGTCGAAGTATCCAGGTTTTTCATGGAGTTTCACACAAAAAAAGTTTGTGCACTCTCAATTTAAAATCAATGTTTGTAAAACTATACAATCTACACAGTTAATATCTAGATTCAAATATTATATATATTTGTGGTGAAATATCACACGGACAATCAGGACCACGTGCCAGCCAAACCACTGACAGGGAAACAAAAACAGATGTCTTTATGAACAGTGACTTCTGGATGACAGGGTGGCCCCTCAAACAGTTCATTAAAGTCTCACTGGATTCATAAAAAGGAGGCTGGCAGGCTAATTCAGGACAGGAAGGCTGCAGGCTCACAAACGCAAGCCTAACCGACTGGAGTGCTGGCTGGTGACTAGCTTGTTGGAAGATAGCAGGCAAAGGGACAGACTGGAGGCTTTCATGCTGGTTGCTAACGTGCTGCAGGCTAGCTGACCAGGAAGCAAAGGAGGCTGGAGTGACAGGAGCAAGAAAAACAGGAGGTGGAACAAAGCAAGTGTGTTACTTCCATCTGTATAATGCTAGTATGTTGACAAACTCAAGATCCCACTTCTAAAACACAGTGAGGGACTCCTGACTGTAAAAAAACATCCTTAGTCACTCCAAAATCAGTCCATGAAAAAGGCAGGTTGGGCTGTGGACTTTCTGCTGAGTCCTTTTTTGGTCAGTTCATTCTCATAGCTTAGGAAAAGCTGGTTTGGACTCAAATGCAACACAGTACATGCAACAAGATGTTTTTGGCGATTTAATGAAAATAACTTACAAGCAGGTAGAGGCAGGCAAATAAATGGGTATAAAAGTGTTATTTGTCACCCCAATAACCGAAACTTGCAAATGCCTTAACTGAACACTCAAAAATTCCCTTTTCAGCTCTCCTTGTACAGCAGCAAAAATTAACATGCAAAAATGCTAACAACATATATTTAGATTTTATGTCTACATCAAGGAAACATTTGCAAAAAGTGGACAAATATGTTTTAATGAGTCCTATTAATAGGCCCTGATAATGCCCATCATTACAACAATCTGAACGGTAATCAACAATCTGAATGAACTGTAATGCTGCTGTATTTATAAAATCAAAACATCAGTGGTACAAACATATTTCATTAATTCTAATTCATTTCAGTTTTTTTCAACCATGTGTAATATCCATAGAGCCACATATATTTCAGTGTGAAAATACAATTTGACAAGAACTGAGGTACCAGTTTGAATACAAGGAATAAAAAATAAATGACATCTTGCTTATTAAATAAAATTTAAAAAAAATAGATAAAACAGAGAAACAAGAGAAGTGTTGAATTTTTGCTTTCAAATAATTCAGTCCCTCTTCCATTGTCCCACCATCTTGCCTTAACTGGTAGTGCAGTCTGGTAGCGCTGTTTAAGGCAAAATAGATATAAAACATGTAATATATCTAAAGGATCTACCCTGTAATTGATAGAAAATGCATGTTTCTATCAATATACAAAGTATGCACGTAGTTTTAGCAAGATTTGGCTGAGAAAGAACAGAACTTGGCGAGCGTGGTGCGAGGAGGTGTTTTGCTTCTATCTCTTATTGAACTTGACTCCCAGAGTTTCTCTCCCACAGTAACAGCAGCTGGCTGCCTGCTTGGGGCTCTAACTCCTACATGAGACAAAAAGAGATGTGAAAAAGTTTAAAATGCAGTACTAGTTAAAATGAAAGAAACTGACTGACTTTCTAAATAAATCATAGAGCAAGGCAAATGCATCACTCACTGGGCAACACATGACATTATCAACCTGATATTTTCAACTGACCAGCTAAATGTGATATTTACAGGATGAAATGAAAATTCTTTCCAAGCATTAATATTGCTAAACTTTCTGTAAACTGCTTAAGTTTACACAGTTGTAGCTTGAGTTTACACTGTCCACTCTGCCCCAAACTTCCCATTTTTGATAAGAATCCCAGCCTGAACACATCTACATGCCGCTAGCGCTACCTACTAGAAACAGGAAGTAAGCCTTATATGACAATCTCATTTATATGAAATTTCCTGGTGCAGGACACAACCACAACATGCCCCAACACGCAAATGTGTTATTTGTCTTTTGCTTGTAACTGTATTTAAAAATCCTCTCCACTCAAAATATGTTATGTCCGCTATAATGACAGACCTTAACTTTGCTTGTATCTGTGCAAAGTTTGTCACTAGAGAGGTGTTTTCACATTCCCCTATGTCTGTACACTCCCCTAAAATCTGAGATTCAGACATGGACAAGCTAGATTTGGTACATGACAAATTTGTATGTAGACCGGGCCCTGGAGCTTCCTTTCATGATCTATTAGGTAATAACAATGTGAACCCACTGTAACATCGCAGATATTATGTTTTGCAATCACTCATTGGGGCAGCTGTGGCTCAGAGGCAGAGCGGGTTGTTCCCTAATCGGAAGGTTGTGGGCTCAATCCCCGGTTCCTGGTGCCACATGTTGAAGTATCCTTGAGCAGCTCCCGATGCCGTGCATCATGTGAATGTGTATAAATGTTAGTTTTTGTTCGATGGACTTCGATGCCATCACTATGTGAAAGGGTGAATGTGGCATGTAGTGTAAAAGCGCTTTGAGTGGTCGGAAGACTAGAAAGGCGCTATACAAGTACAGGTCCATTTACCATTTACTAACTAGCGACCCGATCCCGGATAAGCAGATGAAGATGAGAGATGAGAATCACTAACCATTAACAGTATTTAATTAGTGGACGGAGCTTCTGGATCTGTGAAGTAAAGCTAATGTGGAAGAGTCTGTAACCTAAGTAACAAACTACAGTCAAAAATCAGTTACATTTTAAATGAGAAGAGGCCTATTTTGTCAGTCTAAGAGGAGTTCCTTGGTGTGTGTAAAAACACAGTTTGGGCAGACTTGAACTTGGATTTTAAATTGTACAACAATACCAAGAAACCAAGAAGAACCAGAGGAAATAAACATGCAGTTTGTTTTCTTGATAATGATTAAGTAAAGTTCCAGTTGACTTCCTACGGTTCTAGCTTCCCCACTAATGTTACTGGTGAATAAAAAAGTAATCATTTCATGTGTTTCCTCAGACTTGTCCACTGTCAAGCTGGTTTACCAATAACTGTCCCAGGGCTCCAGGTTCAATATGCAGCAATTAGTTTGTGGCACTTTGAATTTAAAAACGTGAATTAAAAGAACAATATTTAACTTAAATAAGGGCCTTGAAGAAAGGCACTGTCACAATGAAGTTTGATATTCTTTAAGGTTTAAAAATATGTGGACACTTGGGCCAAAAATATAAGAGTATCAGTAATGTGATAAATTACAGTTAATACTGAATGAGACAGACCTAAGTGAAATGCTAAGAATAGTTGTTGGAAGATGCTGGGCAACCCTCTTTTAATGAAAGGCTACATTCACTAATAGACAGCTTCTTACAAAATAACAGAAAACGACTATGAAAACACACAAGAAAAGCAGACATGTTGGACCTGCTTGGCAAAGTTATGAATATGTATTTAAACTATGTATTGGCATTTCTTATGTGTTTTCCTGTATTTCAGTTATGATTTACAGTAATTATTTCAGTTGTCAATTGTTGAATGTGTCCTCTTCTTCTGTCAGTTGTATCTTATATATTCACCGTGCTCTCACCTGTCCGTCCCTGCTGATCTGGACCCTCTTGTTGTCGTTCCATGGGTTGAGAATGTGTTGGGTAGAATGGAAGGGAAGACTCTCCTGGTGGATCCACTTTACACTGAAAACCCCTCCTAGTCCCATGAAGCCCCAGTCCTGGCAGCTCTCCCGACTAATGACTGATGTCATGTGAGCGTAGCCCTGTAAAAAGGCAAAATACATCAGTTTAGTTTTTTTCAAAGATCCACATTTATATTGCACTTTTACAGTAGGGTCGATATTCCGGCACATATGGTCTAAATTATGATCACAGATTACATACAGCATGATGCAGGTGTTGTGTTTTGTTACCTGGAAGTGTCCAGAGCCCTGAACAGAGAAGATGAGGACGATGAGGTTATTTTCCAGGAACGCCTTGGTGATTTTGGTCTCATTGCTTGGTGTGGTGGACCAGATACCTTTCTGCTGAGAAATTTCTATGTTCCTGATGTTGCTGCTCTTCATGATGAAGTACCGCACTGACGAAAAGACCAGCTGAGATAGCTGAGGCCTTGAGACCTGCCGAGTAAAAGGATAAAAATGAAAACATAGCTAAACTGACAAAAACATCCATTCATTGAAGATAGTAACATGTAACTAAAATAGTAAGTAAAAACAGCACATAAACTGCAACAGTTTTTACCAGGAATGTCTCAATATTTCTACAAACAAAAATGTATACATCTGAATACTTTATAAACACACATAGATTATATCCTAATATAGCAAAAGAGCAAAATAAATAATCAGGAGGATCAACAATGTTTGGGAGAATACCTTTCCTAAGGAGGAGGGACAGGGGCTATCCAAGTTCACAAAACAGGAAGAATGGCTGGAGCAGTGAGGGTCATCAGAGAGCTGATTAATAGGCATTGAGGGCTCATCTCTGCTGTGGGCTTTCATTTGAAGCTGGTCCGAGGCTGCTGTCCTACAAGACCTGAGGAGAAGGAGTGAAATATATGCAACATTTGAAACTGTATTTCACAGATTGAAAATGAATCTCATGGTTTGAAACTGAATTTAACTCATATTGCTCTCAACTTATTATAATTATATTATTTTAATTCAGGTGGAGTTAGAAATTCAGTTTCAAGAGGCACTCATCTGGAATACTCTAAACTAGAATAGGAGAGTGCCAATTCAGTCCAACTCCTTTAAACCCAGAAAGCCTTGCTGTTTAAACAAGCCCACAGTAAGGCTTTCTGGGTATGTCATGGCTAACCCTTCACAACTCATTAGCACTTTGTAGAGCACATGCTGGAATAAAGCCTTACTTGGGTCTGGTGACATGTAAACTGAGATCCGATCAGTTAGTGTTAGCTAACCAGTGATGCGCAAACCACTAGCTTTATGCATTATAGCACAATTGTCAGGAATGAGCACTGTGGTGCCTCTCTGTTTATCAGTTCTCACCCCATTGATGTGTACATGCAGCATGGCCACAGAGGCAGCATGGACTGGATTCTGCTTGTAGGAACTAATGACTACGAGAGGGGATTAAACTTATCGATGATGAACTGATTAGTCTGGATGTCCATGTTTTTTAAATCTGACTGCCGCAGCTACTCGAAGCGCGAGAAATAGTTAAATTCAAGAACTGTGGATTATTTTTCTAGTCAATGCAGAAGACAATGTAGACCTACACATGTAGTGTACTAATTTCTTAACATTCACTGTTAAAACTAGTCTGTCTGGGTTTTTAATAATGCAAATAACCTGTGACTTTCCCAATTTGTGTTTTTTAGTTTTTGTTGGGTAAAATGTATCTTTTGAAAATATTCAGCCTACATTACCAATTTCTTGTATTTTTTTTAATTAACACATAATAATAACAATAGTATTTGAAATGAGATTAAATGGGTTTAGGTTGTCTATTAGGGTTGATGTGAGCTTCTCTAGGTTTGCATGGTCAGATAACAAATTGAGCCAGTGGTTCATTGATAGTTTAGTTCCTTCTTTCAAGTTGAGTAGTATGGTTTTCTTGGTCATAAACTGTTTTTCTGTGTTCCAAATTATTATGCATATACTGTTTTTGTTCTTTTTCTTACTAAATAGTCAATATAATTGGCAGTCAATAGGATTTTTTATTCCTCAACAATTATATCGTAATCTGGATTCTATTAAACACAATTACCAATGATGACAATAGCATTTTTTGCAAAATAACTCAAAATGCAGTGTTCCAAATTATTATGCAAAACAGAGTTTCAAAACACTTAAGTTTCTAATGGATTAAAAACCGAAAACTGTTGTATTTTTTGCATTAGAGGGAATAATTTTTCTCAAATCAAAGCTATTTAAATTAAAAACATCTTTAAAGGTCAAGTTACATATTAACATAGGAGCCCTTCTTTGGTATAATAATATCTCTTAGTATTTCGTAAAATATCCAGTGGTTTCATACCTATTGAAAGATACTGCACTATTTCACGCTTTTCATCTGCAGAAAGATATTTTTCCCCTATATTGCATGAAACCTGTGACTTGCTTAATAATGTGGAACAACATCCTTAAGTAGTTTCCCATTAATTAGGCTCACCTGGCAAACTAATAAAGACAAACCTGTCTGAGATTGATGTTAGTGATCTAAACAGACATGTGAAGCAGCGCAATTGAAAACTTTCATTGAAAAACAAATATCTAATGTTTTTTCAACTGAAATCATATTTGCATAATATTTGGAACACAGTGTAGTTAATGCTATTAAGATGAAAGTTTGGAGATGTTGTGGGATTGTCAGGGAGGAGAGCTTGCCTAAGAGACGGAAGGAGGGAGAGAGGGGGATGCTGAGGCTGAGGATCTCAGTCAGCTCTCTCATGACCTCTGACCAAAACCGACCAACTGGTGTGCAGAGCCAGAATGCATGGAAGTGGTTGTCTATTGCAGTGGGACAGTGTGTAAAGGTGTTGCTGTCCGTGAAGCCCATATGATATATTTTGTGAGTGGTGACGTGCACTCTGTGCAGGACCTTTTATCTTTTAGTGTATGACATGGAAAATTTATTTTTGCATATAGTTGGTCAATTGATGTCTGATTGATGTATACTTAAGTCGGATGTCCATTTGTCTGCTGGTAATGAAATTGTAGTGTCATGGTGAGAGAAAGGTTTACAAATCTGTGAGAGTCATTTTTGGTTTGAAATAAACATAATTTGAGAAGTAAAGGAGGGGTGAAGTTGTGGAAGTTATGGACAAATTTTCTCCTTTAAGGTCTCTTTCAGTTGTATGTTCTGGTAGTGACAGTTGTGGGGTAAATTGTATGTTTGCTGGAGAAGGTCAAAGGTATTGAGAGAGCTGCCACGGAAAAGGTGCCCCAGGCTGGTTACTCCTCTCCGTTTCCATACAGGGAAGTTGATGGGTTCCTTATTTATCTTAAACATAGGGTTATACCAGAGTAGATGCGTAAGAGTAGATGGTGTTAGTCTGAGGTTAAGTATTTCATTTGCTTTCCACCAGGCAGTCAGAGTGGTATTTATTATAATAATAATAATAATAATAATAATTATACATTTTATTTATAGAGCACTTTTCTAGGAACTCAAAGACACTAAACTCATATTTATAGTGTTAAATTTGAAGCAGTTATGAGTGATCAATTTGTCTATAAATGCAATACGCAGAAGGGGGAGATCGAGTCTGATACATTGTTTGGGTTTTTGGAAGTTAATTTGATCCTGGTCCTTTTGCCTTTCCAGGAAAATGTATTTACTGCTGAATTCATAGAGGAAACCAGCCCAGAGGAGGATCAACAGGAGTCATGGCAAATAGATATTTATTATTTTATTTTCGATAGAAGTTGAATTTTTTACACTGGAAATGCGGTCAATTAAAGACATTGGGAGTGTATGCCATCTAACCAGGTTTTCTTTCATGCTGTGTAGTAAATGGATCAAATTTAGTTTTAATGGTCCTTTGGGTTTTTTGGGACATGGATTTTTGGGGGCCAAAGCCAAAGTGGTTTAAAGAGGTGAAAAGAAAGGTCCACCCTACCCTGTTTGACTCCTTTTCGACATCTAAAGTTAGAATTATGGCAGGCTGTTTAATCATGTCTGTTCTGGTTTTATATAGATGAATTACATGTGTTTTGTGAGGAATGTCTCCCTTTTGATAAAACCAGTCTGATCTGAGTGTATAAGTGATAAAATTACAGATTCCAGTCTTATTGCCAAAGCTTTGCTTATAATTCTTACATCGGTGTTGATTAAAGATATAAGGCAGTAGTTGGAGCAAGTGTGTAGGGTCCTTGTTGGGGTTAGGATGAGTGTAATTAAGGCAGTATTCATATGGTAAGAATTTTAAAACTACAGAGGATCAGAGGAGATCATATTGAAAAATAAAGGTGCCAGAAGTGACCAGAATTGTTTATGAAATTCTACTGGGTATCCGTCTAAACCTGGGGACTTGTTGTTGGGGATGAATTGTAGAGCCTTCTTCAGTTCGTCAAGGGTGAGTGTTTTCTCCAAATTCTCGGTTTGGGTTTTGTTGAGTTTTGGAAGGGAAACATTCCTCAGAAAAGTGTCAGCTTCTGTAGATGCGTCAGATTCTGTTAGATTGTCAGGGGTGTATAGTTTTGAGTAGTAATGTCTGAATGTTTAATTTATTGCAGTGTGGTCATGTAGGGTGTTGCTGGAGACATCTTCTATTGATGTTATGTTAGATTTTTCAGTTTGTTGTTTCGATTTCTTGGCCAGGAGTCTACCATTTTATTACCAAATTCAAAATTTTGTTGTCTGAGTCTAACAAGGTTATACTCTATTTTTTTGTTAAGAAGATTACTAAACTCATGTTTGGTTTTGAGTAGTTCTTTCTTTCTTTTTGATTCTGTCTGTAGCCATTTGAGAGGCTAGGGTGTCCAGTCTCTCCACCACCTGTTGTAGAAAATGTTCTCTTGCTGTTTCTTCTTTTTTGTTTGTTTGTGGAATATGCTATTATTTGACCTCTTTGGACTACTTTAGCTGTATCTCAGAGAGTGCCTGTGGTTATGTGAAGGGTGTTGTTGGTTTCTAGAAAGGATGCCCATTCCTTTTCAGTAAGATGTTAAAGCGCCATATAGGTGGGGGGTGTGGGTGGATTGGGTTGATAAAGATAATAATAGAGAAAGCAGGGATGTTAGTGTTGGGTCCGTAAATACCTGCTATTGTTATATTGTCTTTATCAATGTTACCATTGATGTTAATGAAACATCTGGATCTATTGTAGTTGAATATGGTGTGTTTTTGCTAATCAAAATGGAGGTCCCACATTTTTTGGAGTTATAGGTTGAGTAGTATGTCTGGTCAGTCCATCTGGACTGCATCCAAAACAGGACTTACATGTCTTGTTGTGGTGGGGGGAGATAAAAACAAAACAAAAACAAGAAAAAACAAACAGAAAAACAAAACACAGCAGCAAATGTTTCACATATGAGAACATTGACCATTGAACATTTATCGTTTTCTTGTAGGCTACTTTGTTTTCCTATTTACTTAATTCACATTATCTTTACAAAATACTTTAATCTGCCACTCTGGTATCTCTCTCTCTATATATATATATCTCTCTCTCTCTCTCACAACCACACACACACACACACACAATATTAGAGAGAAGAGCAAAAATATTTTTGGTTCATTATGAAACTGTCTATGTAATAAATGACAAACGCTGCCTGGTTTCTGAACCTTCTGTTAGTATGGACGATGAGACATCAAAACACAGCTGCAGGCAGACAATCAGAAACTGAACTGTTATTATCATGTAGCCTACTTCAGGGATATTAAATATGAATAACAAGGTTTCTTATGTTCCATGTAAATGCCATATCCAGAATATTCCTATTATTTTTTAAATTTTACAGAGTAGCGATAGAAAGCATTCTGACTGGAAACATCACAAAATTGCAGGGGATATGCACGGCCTAGTACAGGAGGACTCTGCAGCAGGGTGATTAAAACCGCCCAGAAGATCAGTGGTACTCAGCTACCCAGCATCAGTGATATTGGTGAGATGAGGTGTATGCGCAGAGTTCAAAGGATACTAAAAGACAGCACTCATCCCAGCCACAGCCTGTTCATCCAGAAGCTTCCACTGCCGGTAGTACCACCAGACTAAAAGACAGCTGTGAGAATGCTAAATTCTTCCTCAGCACGTCATGATACAAATGAGTAATTTATTTATTTTTATGAATCTTTAATGAGAGGACTCCCCAAAAGATGATAGCTATCATCAGCTGTGCCTCTCACTTTTACTGGTGTAATTTGTACAAAAATCTATAAGTATGCTATACACCAGTACAACTGACTGGATTCATTAAACTTCTGGGAAAAATCGCATGGATTATTTATCCAACATCTTTCCATCCCTGTCATCCCTGGCAACATCCTTCCATCCACAATACATTACACTGCATCGTAAATATTTTTGAGACTACTCAAATACTTGTCATTGGTGGGTCGTTGGGGGCTGTTCTTGGAGTTTTTCACAGAAGCATGGGGTCCCTCCTCTGATGACATGGGCCGAGGCCGCTGGCCAATCCCTGTGGGCTGCTGTAGGCCTGCCCTCTGCTCCTCTTCTGATAGCACCTGAGGGACATCAGTTTGGAAATGGTTCTCAATTTTCAAACGTGCTAATAATATGAGAGAAAATTACATGGCAGTTCGGCTTTGTAAAGAGCACAGAGGTCAGCATAACTGTTTAGTTCAAGATTTAAGCTTCAAGAAGCTTTATTTATCCCGAGGGAAATTACTGTGCAACAGTTTCAATACAAAGGTGGTAAAGTAAAGTACTACAGGGTTAGAGTAAAAATAAGCTAACATAAAATAAAATAAAATAAAATAGAATAAAATTAAATTAAAATAAAGGCTAACATAAATTAAATCAAACAATTAACTTAATGCAACAAAATGCAAACACTTAGAGGTAACATAAGTAGAAAAGAAGAAAACAAGTAACTGAATGTGACAAAGTGTAACAAAAATTGCAGTTAAACGTAGGTACAGTATATACAATATACAACAATACGCACCGTGCAGTTTAGCAGCATAAATTGAAATAAAATAAGTACAAACTAAGGAAGTGATAAAGAGCGATTGGATAAAGTGGTAACAGTGGTAAAAGTGATAAAAATTGTAGCAGCATTTGTTATCAGCATACATTAACTATGGTACAGTACAACAAAATAAAGTGATGAAGTGAAAATTGGGTAAAAAATGGTAAAGTGACATTTGCTCAGGGCACAGTGTCTCCACTGTCCCTTTCGCGACCGGAGGTAGATGAGTTATATAGTCTGATGGCCACAGGCGTTCTGTGTTACGCCGGGGGGGAATGAGTCTGTTGCTGAAGGTGCTTCTGCTCGAGGTTAGCACCTGGTGGAGAGGGTGAGCGTTGTTGTCCAGGATACTGTGCAGTTTACACAGCATCCTCCTCTCAGACACCACCACCAAAGAGTCCAGTTGGACCCCCAGGACGGAGCCAGCCTTCCTGGTGATCCTGTTGATCTTCTTGGCGTCTGCTGCCCTCAGCCTGCTGCCCCAGCACACAACAGCAAAGAAGATGGCACTGGCTACCACCGACTGGTAGAACATCCTCAGCATGATGTTACATACGTTGAATGACTCCTCAGGAAATAGAGTCAACTCTGGCCCTTCTTGTAAACAGCCTCAGTGTTCTTGGCCCAGTCCAGTTTGTTATCCAGGTGTACTACAATGGCAGAATCGTCCACAAACTTCTGCAGGTGGCAGGACTCAGAGAGGAACTGAAAGTCCGAGGTGTACAGGGTGAACAGAAAGGGGGAAAGAACAGTTCCCTGTGGAGCCCCAGTGCTGCTGACCACAGTGTCAGACACACCGTCCTGCAGTCTGACATACTGTGGATTATGGTGGATTACGGACTATTTGACGGGTCCAGTGATGAGCTGACCAGGGGCCGAAGAATTGACAGGACCAGCCTCTCCAGGGACTTCATCAGGTGAGATGTCAGCGCCACCGGTCTGTAGTCGTTGAAGGAGCTGGGACACGCCTTCTTTGGTACTGGTACCAGGCAGGATGTCTTCCACATCACAGGGACCCTTTCCAGACGGGTTAGTTATGGTTTGGACCAACTGTTTGGTTCTTGTCTTGAGTTTTGGGTCATGATTCAGATGTATTCTCAGTTAGAAATAGCTAGAAAGAACTGCCAGAAACATGACTACACCATTTAGATCAGTGTGATTTTGGAATATGGACCAATATTTCCATTTGTTACTGAATTTCTCCAAAAACACATCCTGTTCTTGCATTGCATACATTTTACACATGACTGAAGGATTTCTAGAGCAATGCTGCACCCGGCAACCTACAACACTGCAGGACAGCAGAATTAAACACACGATGCAGCTATCATGGCGGGTGCTATTCCAAATTTGGATTCAAGGATGTTGTCGATAACATTAGTAAGAAAAGAACATTGGTCAACATCAAACTCTGTTTACACAGAAAGGTAAGTGAATGTCTTATTAGCTAACCTATTAGCTGATCAAACGTTAGAAAGCTAATGTTAAGTTTGAGTTATGTTAGACTTGGCTTTTAATCGATTAGAATTTTATTGAGAAGCCATATCATTATAATAATAATATAAAAGGCAATAAAGGACTGAGTCAGGGCCATATAACTGTACAGGCACATTAGCTAACACAGCTAACAGTGCCTGTTACCGATGTAACGTAATGTTCACATTTCTTGTCATGACATGCTATTGTAGCCCTTTCTCTGCTGTTTATCTTTAATAAACTATTCATTTGAATCAAATGTCTGCTCAGTTACACTCACTTTGCTGCCACTGTTGTAAGCTTACAATGCATCATAGTCACTAACGTATTAGTTAACAATCTGAAATAGCCAATGTTTCAGTGTGACAAGCAGGTCAATTTAACGGTTTATGGATTCTGTTTGTTGTTTAAATTGTTTAGTTTTTTGCCATCAGCATATGAATTTGTGTGTGAATGGATGAATGAATGTGACAAGTGTTGTAAGGCACTATGAGTGGTTGGTAGAACTAAAAAACCCTGTATAATGTTATATATAATATATAACTCCATTTATTAAGTTCACGCTAGCTATAGTAGCAGGAGGGCTGTGAGTATCATTGTCTGGAGCTGGTGTGCTGGCTGGAAACATCTTGTTCCCTCTCCATGTAGCTGCACAGCAGCCACTTTAGCACCAGTTTTACGTTACATTACTTGCGTTGTTCACACTATATCATGGTATTTGTCATTGTATTGGATTTCTGCCCAATTGCTTACCTCACCTTTATAACTTAAAGAAAGAAAAGAAAATATGACATACAGAAACCAGGGTGCGGATGATGGCCTCATCTTGTTGAGACCAGGGCTTTGAAGGACAACGGATCCTTTTGATGAACAAATTTTGCCACTTCTGCCTCAGTTCAAACACCAGTCCTGCAGCCTGACAATAAAAAGAAACATAAACAACATGAGATAAAAGTGCATGTAAGTAAAAAAAGATTTAATACGTATATCAAGGACATAGATAAGTAAAAGTTTTGTTCATTTAACAAAAATATTAAAAATATAAGTGAGTCTTGACAAAGTTTGATTGTACTGATTTGTAAGGTCTTCTTAAGTTGAGAGGTAAACTATTATAGGGACAAACACAGCCTTAAGTCTTAAAGCTGATTCACAGTTGTATGTTAGCTCTACGTCGAGCTTACACAAGTTACCTTCGGGGACTTCCTGTTATGAAGCGCACCTGACAGGTCACAGAAACTCGGCTCTCGCTAACTTCTTGAAAAAACACTTGAAACTCGACTGAGGCTCGGACAATTTTGGGTCAACAACCAGCTAAGAGGCCGCAAAATAGCACGACTAACATCGCCGTCGACAAGGCTAGCAATAATGCTAATGAGGGCGAAGGCAAAGATAACGGCAGCTTGCCGTCCAACAGTGTTATACTGGACTGGGGGAGAGAGTTTAATGATGTACTGTTAAGTGGCCGATGTGTTTCTTTTTTCTTTTTTTTCCTTTTTTTTTAAACAGCTTTATTTATCATTTATTTCCAAAACATACATAGTAGCAGTGCAGTAATGATAGAAACAATAGAGTAAACATTATAATAACAATAATTGAAAAACAAATAAATGATACAGAAAATAAATAAATAAATAAATAAAAAGAAATAAAAATAATAATTAAAGCTGCAAGCAGCGTTGAGCGGGACCTCGCACTCCACGCAACTCGGGGCGTGCTGCAGCCGCGTCGCGTGCCATTGTTACACATGCGGACCACAACATGAAATTTCACGTAAATCAGCTCAAAATTGCCACGCAGCGCTTACTTCCTGTTGCCGGTAGGTGGCGCTATCACTACGTCTTAATATTGTCATGTAGACAAGTTCAGGGCGAGACTGTTGTAACACATGTGAAGTTTCATTGAGATTGGATCACGTACGCTGAAGTTATGAGGACGTATTCAGGGCAAGACTGTTACAGAATATATGAAGTTTACTGGAGATTGGACATTGCACACTGACGTTATGAGTGCTATTTTATGGCGAATCGGCTGAATTTGACAAGTCGTGACTGGCAAGGTCATTTCATGTAACTCAGCTCAAAATCGCCACGCAGCACTTACTTCCTATTGCCAGTAGGTGGCGCTATCACTATGTCTGAATATTGTCATGTACACGTGTTCAGGGCGGGACTGTTATCAAGCATTTGAAGTGTGGAGCCGATTGGACAATGTACACTCAAGTTATAGCGAATTCATGTTTTGTGGCGGTCCATCAAAATTTCCCGCCACCCCACAGACACGCCCCCTCACCACAGTCAACACATATCATCAACAATGTGTTTTGCATTTTATGAGTAAATTTTAGCTGGATCTGATCATCCTGCGAGGAGTAGAACATGAAAGTATAAAACGTGATACTTCCTGTTACCAGTATGTGGAGCTATCACTATGTCTGAATATTGTCATGTAGATGTGTTCAGGGTGGGACTGTTATCAAACACATGAAGTTTCATTGAGATTGGATCATGTACGCTGAAGTTATGAGGACGTGTTCAGGGAGGGACTGTACACTGAAGATATGATCTGTTTGATGGCCAATCGGTGGAATTCGACACGTTGTCACGGGCACACGGTTAAACATACATCACAAATAGCACAACTTTTGATAACCAATGTGTGTAGATTGAAGTGATCGAATTTGAAGTCAACCTGATAAAATCTGTAGGAGGAGTTAGTTAAAACAGAAGCCCTTAAATGCCGGAAATAGTATCACAGTTTGACATTCGATTCAACCTTGCCAACTTTGAGGGAACGCCACGGACACGCCCTTTAAAGTACAGTCACAAATAGCACAACTTTTAATCAGCACCATTTTTTGACTGTACTGACCAATTTTGAAGCAGATCTGATAAATTCTCTAGGAGGAGTTAGTTTAAATACAACGCAAAAAAACGCTGAAAATCATTGCAAAATGCCGGAAATGGTATCACAGTCTGACATTTGATTCAAACTGGCTGACTTTGATGGCATGCCACGGACACGCCCTTTAATGTACATGCACAAATAGCACAACTTTTAATCAGCACCATTTTTTGACTGTACTGACCAATTTTCAAGTAGATCCGATAAATTCCCTAGGAGGAGTTTGTTCAAATACAAGGCGAAAAATTCACCGAAAATGCGCACGGAATTCACTATGGCCAACTTTGAGGGCACGCCACGGACACGCCCTTCAACGTACATGCACAAATAGCACAACTTTTAATCAGAACCATTTTTTGACTGTACTCACAAATTTTGAAGCAGATCCGACGAATTCCCTAGGAGGAGGAGTTCAAATACAACGCGAAAAGTTCCCCCGAAAGTGAAAATGAAAATCAAAATGGCCGACTTCCTGTGGGGTTTCGGGTATGGGTCCAAGAGGCTTTTTTGTACGTCCCGGCATGTTACACGTGCCTACTGAGTTTCGTACATATCGGTGAAACATGGCGCCGGGGCTGCTGTTTTTTTATCCTGTAGGGGGCGCTACAAACACGACAAACACAATGTTTGGTATGTAAGCTTCAGGCACCACTCTACACGTGCCCTGTGAATTTCATATTCATAACTATTACGGTCTCCGTAACTAGGTGGCGCTAGTATCATAAAAAATGCGTTTATGCTAATAACTTCTGCATAGTTTGTCGCACATTCAAAAACTTATATCCACGCGTTCGGTTAATGGAGATGAATCTCCCCATATATATATATACCGCCCACTTCCGCCTATAATTTTTTTTCGTTAGAGCGCGAAATGTCCTTAAACTACTTTTTCATGTTCCTCCTACACGTTTTGTCCGATTGGCACAACATTTTTCACCTAGCACCTGGGGTCCGCCCTGGCAAAAAGAGTAATTTGAACATTTTTGAAATTTCAAAAAATAAGAATGCTATAAAATTCTAACTTCCTGTAGATTTTTCGTCAAAAAAGGAAGTGGACCATTTCTCCACATTGGTATGTCTGATTGACACCAAACTTGGGTACATAGTTCCACATGTCTTCCTTAAGCATCGTGCACAATTTCAGGCCATCGCCACAAGGTGGCGCTCTTTAAAATGTAGAAGTTTTTATCTCTACAACGGTATGTGTGATTAAGATGAAACTAGGTACGATGCTTCCCCATGGCTCCCTGAGGCTCGCTAAAAAATGTGTCAACAATCCGCCACTAGGTGGCGCTCTGGTGGCATGGTAAATCACTGTGAATTGGGAATTTATCAGATCTGCTTCAAAATTGGTCAGTCCAGTCAAAAAATGGTGCTGATTAAAAGTTGTGCTATTTGAGACTGTACGCACGTCTGTGGCGTGAGGTCAAAGTTGGCCACTTTGAATTCTGTTGTCATACAAACTGATTGAAAAGTTGAGCTGTGACTGTACATTAAACTGCGTGCCAGTGACAACTTGTCCATTTCAGCAGATTCGCCATAAAATAGTGCTCATAACTTCAGTGTGCAGTGTCCAATCTCCAATACACTTAATATATTCTCAAACAGTTTTGTCCTGAACAAGTCCTCATAACTTCAGTATACGTGGTCCAGTCTCAATGAAACTTCACGTGTTTGATAACACTCTCGCCTTGAACATGTCTACATGACAACATTCAGACATAGTGATAGCGCCACATACTGGCAACAGGAAGTAAGCGCTGCATGGCGATTTTGAGCTGATTTACGTGAGATTTTCATGTCGTGGTCCGCACGTGTTACGACGGCACATGACGCGGCCGCAGCACGCCCCGAGTTGCGTTGAGTGCGAGGTCCCGCTCAACGCTGCTTGCAGCTTTAATTATTTTTAGCCCCTTTCGACTGCATTTTCCCCCCCTGAACATATACGAAAACTCAATTTTACTTGGCAAAGTTGTCAGGCCTGGTGAAAAATTTGATATTCTATGTGTCTTTTTCGGGTCGGCCACTAGGTGGCGCTACTATTTAGGAAAGTATTTTCACTTTTTGGTTACTTAATAACTTTTGCATCTTTTGTCGCACATTCAAAAAACTTATATCCACGCGTTCGGTGAATGGAGCTGAATTTCTCCATATAGGCCCCGCCCACTTCCGCCTATAATTTTTTTTCGTTAGAGCGCAAAATGTCCTTAAAGTACTTTTTCGTTGTCCTGCTACACGCTTTCTCCGATTCGCACAAAATTTTTCACCTAGCACCTGGGGATGGCCCTGGCAAAAAAAGTAATTTGAACCTTTTTGAAATTTCAAAAAATAAGCGCGCTATAAAATTAAGACTTCCTGTAGATTTTTCTTCAAAAAAGGAAGAGGACCATTTCTTAACATTGGTATGTCCGATTGACATCAAACTTGGGTCCATAGTTCCTCATGTCCTCCTAGGCACCGTGCATATTTTCAGACCATCACCACTAGGTGGCGCTCTTTAAAATGAAGAAGTTTACATCTCTGCAATGGCACGTGTGATTAAAATGAAACTTGGTATGATGCTTGCCCATGGCTCACCTAAAAAGGAAAAAAAATCAGGCCACTGGGTGGTGCTCTGGTGGCAGGATAAATCACTGTGCGGAGACCGTAATAGTTATGAATATGAAATTCACAGGGCACGTGTAGATTAGTGCCTGAAACTCACATACCAAAAATCGTGTTTGTCATGTGTGTAGCGCCCCCTACAGGATAAAAAAACAGCAGCCCCGGCGCCATGTTTCACCGATATGTACGAAATTCGGTAGGCATGTGTAACATGCCGGGACGTACAAAAAAGCCTCTTGGACCCATACCCGAAACCCCACAGGAAGTCGGCCATTTTGATTTTCATCTTCACTTTCGGTGAACTTTTTGCGTTGTATTTGAACGAACTCCTCCTAGGGAATTTATCGGAACTGCTTCAAAATTTGTGAGTACAGTCAAAAAATGGTTCTGATTAAAAGTTGTACTATTTGTGCATGTACGTTGAAGGGCGTGTCCGTGGCGTGCCCTCAAAGTTGGCCATAGTGAATTCCGTGCGCATTTTCGGTGAATTTTTGTGTTCTATTTGAACGAACTCCTCCTAGGGAGTTTATCGGATCTACTTGAAATTGGTCAGTACAGTCAAAAAATGGTGCTGATTAAAAGTTGTGCTATTTGTGCATGTACATTAAAGGGCGTGTCCGAGGTGTGGCATCAAAGTCAGCCATTTTGAGTTTTTTGCTCATTTTCTGTGATTTTTCGTGTTGTATTTGAGCGAACTCCTCCAAGGGAATTTATCAGATCTGCTTCAAAATTGGTCAGTACAGTCAAAAAATGGTGCTGATTAAAAGTTGTGCTATTTGTGCTTGTACGTTGAAGGGCGTGTCCGTGGAGTGCCGTTAAATTTGGCCACTTTGAATTCTGTGGTCATACAAACTGAAAAGTTGAGCTATTTATGACTGTACAGCAAACTGCGTGACAACTTGTCGATTTCAGCAGATTTGCCATAAAATAGTACTCATAACTTCAGTGTGCAATGTCCAATCTCCAAAAAACTTCATATATTCTGTAACAGTCTCACCCTGAACACGTCCTCATAACTTCAGCGTACATGGTCCAATCTCAATGAAACTTCACGTGTGTTACAACAGTCTCGCGCTGAACTTGTCTACATGACAATATTCAGACATAGTGATAGTGCCACCTTCTGGCAACAGGAGGTAAGCACTGTGTGACGATTTTGAGCTGATTTATGTGACATTTTCATGTTTTGGTGTGTAACGATGGCACACAACGCGGGGTCCCGCCCAACGCTGCTTGCAGCTTTAATTATTATTATTATTATTATTATCCCCTTGTTTGTTTCTATTTAATATACTTAATGTTATGTGTGATTTTTTAAAAATGTATTTATTTATTTTAGGTATTTTTTTTACCCACTTATTTATTTTCCTCCGAAAGGACTGTTTGTTATGAGAGGGAGGGAAGGGATTTTACGACTGTTATTGTGTGTTCAATGTGTATTGTTGACCAAAAACTCAATAAAGTTTTGAAAAACACAAAAAAAACACAACACAAGTATGAGCATTTATACTTGTGCACTCGTGTGTCTGTTCTGCAGACAACATTGCCATAACACTAGCTGGTGATGAAACTGAAACTCTCCCTCTCTCTCCTCAATCTGATTTCAGCATTTTGTTCTTTCCCCCCACCACCCATGAAACAAAAGGACAAAGGAATACAAAGGGACAGACAAGAGCATGTCATGCAGCTAGGCAGCGTCCCATGTGTGCCTGTTTGTCTACTGTGTTGTGAGGACATGTTTGAAGGGGGATTCTCAAACAGCCTTACCAACTCATCTAGGTTTTACATGAGTTGCTTCATAGTCAGGCTTTAGTCAATGCTTAGCAAGCTTGAAGTACCGGAAGAGGTTTGTCTACACTATTAGCATAGGAGCAGGGAAGGAATGAGCACGATAGCCAGAGTGGGGCAAGCGGGCAACGGAGCCAGGTTCAGCAGCCTCCCAGTGACCATGGCCAGGACCAAACAAAGCCTCCTGCACAATCGGAGGCCAGGCGATTGATGTGATGAGATTATAGTGCATGGCATAAGGCACTTGAACACTGGCTATAGCAGCTAGCACCCTTGAACCCATTATTCAGATATTACCAGATTTGAAATCCTGTTCAAACAATTACTTATGTGGAAAATCACATTAAAATTCATTAACAAGGATTTAAAAGGTTAAACGGTTGAAAGGTCAGCAATGTTCTCTAACCTCTCTGTCCAATTGGAAAACGAGCCAGTCATCAATCCTCATCCCAGCCAGGTCCTCTGTTTCACTGTCACTGATGTCATCCAGTAGACTGTCTGAAGGAAAGAACATGAAGACAAAGACTGAAAATCCACAGGCAGTCTCTTACAAAACAATCACCAGGAAAGAGTTTTGTAAAACACCATTAAATCATGAAAAGCATGACTCCCAGAACCAAAATCAATATCAAGCATGCATTAAAATCAGGAAAGCCAAAGAATAGGGCAAAAAGGGAGGTGCTACCCGCTTTCCCTGTTAGCCCAACCAAATCTGAGACAACATGTCTGGGTAGACAGCTGCATCAAGCAAAGAAACCAGTCCAACAAGCGAGGGGTGAAACAGCGCCTTCCTCCCCCAGTAGCGTGCCAAGCTCCAACAAAGTGACGTGCAGAGTGAAGCTCTGTGTCACCTACGAGGGATCAGCGATGGAACCCATCTGGGTGCTTGAGGATCTCCTCAAGAACATTTCAGATAACAGGCAGGCAGAGGACCACCCACCTAGAGCCGAAGGGTCTGTCCTAGGTTTCTGCCTCTTAAAAAGGCAGTTTTTCCTTGCCCCCGTCCCCAAGGGCTCATGGTGGTACTGTTGGGTCTCTGTAAATAATGTTATAAGGAGTTCGGTCTAGACCTGCTCTATTTGAAAAGTGTCCTGAGATAACTTCTTATATGAATTGGCACTATACAAATAAAATTGAATTGAATAACATGACTAATGATGTTTCTCACCATAATGACTTCCTGCATGAAGAGAAAAGTAAGGACTGTCAGGCCCCTGGAGGATGGAGCATATGTGCCTGACTGACCACAGGCGAATTTAAGAATACACTGGTAAAAGTGTTGAGACCTTTGATTACTATCTTTGTAATGTTTAATACTTTAAGATGTTTTATAATCCCTAACACTAAAGCTCTAATTATCACTGTGGTTAAATCTTTGCTAGTATGTGCAAATTCAGGCAAAAATCTCCACATCTTTAGAATAGATCAGACTGTTTAAGATGAGGATGAAGTGTAATCAGATTTTTTCTTATTTATATTCCTTATTTTTCCTATCTTTGTAAAAATCACTCATGATTATGTCACATTGGTTAATCATTCACAACCAAAATGACTGCTAATGATTGAAAACTCTTGATTGATTTTTTCCTTCCATGGATGTTTTGACTGTTTGTTTAGTTCTTAAAAAATGTTTTGTGAACATTAAAATGCTCAAAGGGAACAATGTAATGGCAATTTTTAAGAACCTATACAACCCTTTGACCTGGTCATTGTAAAACCATACACAACTGTTGAAGAGGCTATTATATGCATATAACCTTTAGCCCTGTTTCTAACTACACTCTATGTCCAAGTATACAGCAGGATGTTGAGACTTCACTAAGAAGCCAAGGACATGATCATCTCACCACACTGTCTGTTTACTGTCCCAGAACTCAGGAATGTTCAACTGTGTTAGAGTGACGCTCCAATAGGGATAAAACCATACTGCTTCTTCCAATCTAGTTAATTAGTTTACTGCCATCTGGTCCTTGTATAACCAAAGCAGTAAGAACTGTGTCCATATTCTTCGCACAAAGTCAAACATGTTTTCAGTGGGTGCTGGACTCCACCAAAATTGCCCCTTGTCTCCGACCCTGTTTGTGATATTCATGGACAGGATGGCAAATGGTAAAATAAAAACACTACCGCCACATTCACCCTTTCACACAGTCGAGCAGAAACTACCTCCTTCATACACATTCACACAATTCTGGGTTCAGTATCTTGCTCAAGGGTACCTCAACACGTGGCGGGAGGAGTCGGGGATCAAACCAACAACCTTCCGATTAGTGGACGACCTACTCTGCCTCTGAGCCACAGCCGCCCCCGGATCTGAAGGTACAGCCAGGGCAAGGAGAGTGTCTGGTTTGTGTCTCTGCTTTTTGCATTTGACGTGGCCCTGTTGGCTTGACTCCTGGGCAGTCTGTAGCCAAGTGTGAAGGGAATGGGATGAGAGTCAGCACCTCCAAGTCTGAGGCCATAATTCTCTGCCAAAAAATTGTGGACTGCTGACCCCCAGGTTGCAAGGGAGTTGCTGCCCCAATTGAAGGAGTTTAAGTTTCTCTGGATCCTTGTTCATGAGTGATGGAGTATGAGAAGTTTGAGATGGATATGCAGTTTGGTGCGGCATCAGCAGTATGCGGACGTTTGTTGTATCGGACCATTGTGGTGAAAAGGGAGCTGGGCCAGAAGGCAAAGCTCTCAGTTTACCAGTCAGTCAGGGTTGGAACCCTGGCCTGACTGACTAGGTTGAAACCCTAGGTGAGGCCATGAGCTTTGGGTAGTGATACAAGCGGCTGAAATTAGTTTATTCTAGGGTGCCTGGGCTTAGAGATAGGGGATAGGAGCTTGGACATTCAGAGCTTAAAGCCACTGCTCCTTTGCATTGAAACGAGCCAGCGGAGGTAGTTCGGGCACTTTATAAGGGTGCCTCCTGGGTGCCTTCTTTTTTCGGACACAGACAACTTGAAGGAGACCCCCTGGGTAGACCCAGAACTTGCTGGGGGATTACATATATCCCATCTGACCTGGGAACGCCTTGGGATCACCATGGAGGAGCTGGAAAACGTTTCTGGGGAGAGGGATGTCTGGAATACCCTACTTAACCTGCTGCCACCCCAACTTGACCCTGGATAAGTGGAAGAAAATGGACTGATGGATGGAATTTGACAAACACATGCAGTTATTTACCAGTAGCTGTCTGTACAGCAGGTTCCTGCAGAGCTGAGCTGGGTAGTTTGGCACAACCTCCAAATATGGCCACAGTGATGGGAGTCACCATGGAGCAACAGCGGACACTTGCCATTCTGTGGCCACGGCTCATCTCATCGTAGATCAACCAGTCCGTGGGATGGGCATGAGCCAATTTGACTGTAGTATTCTAAACAGCAAAAACACACAGTCATGCAACTAAAACCCATTTCATTTGCACTGCTTCTGTCTTACAATTTGTAAATAAATGGTGATACAAAATAAATAAGGAAAGTGTCTTTCTGATACTATTAGTGTCACATAAAAAAGCCTTCCAGCAGTTAAATGGGCTTTTAATAGTTTTTCTATTATAAAACAACTGAAGCAAGAGCTTGGTTTCATTAAACCTATTGTTTTAATACCTGGCCTGTGTTTGTTTTAACAACCCGGCTATTTTCTGCAAACTGTCTATTATTTCAGTATGCTTGAGAAAGTGGTTGGTGGTTTGTATATGAGCCACTGAGAAAACACACTTCATCCAATATGAATAAAAGTAAAAAAAATATGCACCAAACAATGATTACCGTAATTTTCGGACTATAAGCCGCGCCTGAATATAAGCCGCAGCAGCTAAATTGAATGATGTGTACATATATAAGCCGCACTGGACTATAAGCCGGAGGTGTTTTAATGTTTAATTACAATTTGTAAGGGTTCGTGTACAGAGGGGATTGTCGGGAAAGAGATGGCTGCTTGAGGAAGCTCCCATTTATTAACATTTCAACAAACAAGTTGCATATTTGCATAACGTATTCAAGTGTTACCATTTAGTGCAATAGTAGCTACAGAACATATACTGTGCTGTGTAAACTGTACTGTATCACATAGCGTTTCAGACACCCAACCTTTCAACTTTCAAACTTAAACGGTGCGCTCCCAGCGCACATACTGACAGTGATCTACAGCAGTGGTTTTCAACCAGTGGTCCTTGAGGGAGTGCTAGGGGTTCCCCAGCAAAATTAGTTAATAGCGTCACAATCATTTAACCACTTAACTTTGGCTATTTTTGAAAAACCTTGAAAAAGTGTGCACATCTTTGAATATTTATCTACATTATAGCCTACAGTAGTACCATAACAAAAAACAAAGCTTACAGCGCTTGACGAGGCAATATCAATGGCTAAATTAAATGTGTTTTTTTAAAAGTGCAAAATAAAGTGCCTGTAACACGACAGTAAGCGCGTAAGCCTAAAGTTGCAGCAACACGACTGCTTTAAATATACGGTAATCAGCCTACCAGAAGTCATTAATCCTCGTCTTCATCTTTTAGGCTAAGGTGCAGTACACGGCTGTAACCAGAAAAGTCAAGTCATTAATCCGCATCTCCGTCTTCTTCCTGCGTACTAAAACCACCAAAGTCCTCATCTTCAGTGTCGGAAACGAACAGGCTCAGGGTGGCTTCGTCAGCCACTCTCCTCTCTCCTTCGTTGTCGCTCTCAAAACCAACGAACTCCTCTTCGTCACTGTCGGAATCGAACAGCCTCTGAAGGGCCTCAGCTGTGGCGGCGTCCTCCTCTTCATCACGCAGCAGTCCAGCCTTTCGGAACCCGTTAATGATCGTGGATGATTTGACACTCCTCCACGCTATCAGGATCCACTCGCAAACTTGAGCGAAAGTTGCTTTTCGCATGCAACCAGTTTTGGTGAATGATTTATCGCCGCTAGTCATCCACGCCTCCCACTGAACGCGTAGTGCCACTTTGAACGCACGATTGACACTGATGTCGAGTGGCTGCAGATGCTTCGTTGTGCCCCCAGGAATCACAGCTGGAATCGAGTTTGTGCTCTTGATGGCTGCTTTCACATAATCTGTTATATGGGCCCTCATGCTGTCCAAAACGAGCAAAGCTTTTTTTTGGCGAAAGAATCCTCCAGGGCACTTGACGTAGCACTCATTCAGCCACTCATTCATTACGCTTTCCATCATCCACCCTTTCTTGTTGACTTTAAAGGAGATGCCGTTCGGGATCTTTTCTTTTGGCATTGTAATCCGCTTAAAAATCACCATTGGCGGAAGCTTTAATCCAGATGCTGTGCAGCCAAGAACACAAGTGAAATTCGTTCTCTCGTGGCCAGTGGTTCTCAAAGTGATGGACGATTCACCTTTCTTGTTAACAGTCCTAGTGAGAGGCAGGTCAAATGTCAAAGGCACTTCATCCATATTTATGATCTGGTCCGGTCCGATGGAATATTCCTCTATCTTTCTTTGTGTGAATTCGCCGAAGTTTGTTATTTTTTTCCTGGTAGTCGGGAGGGAGTTGCTGACACACAGTCGTCCGCGCCCTGATTGACAGTCCCTTTCGTCTCATAAATCTGAAACACCAGGATGGTCCACCTCTAAAATTTTCAATTTTCATTTCGGTGGCGATTGTTTTAGCTTTCAGTCGGATCTGCACGGTGGAAACACCTCGGCCGTCTGCTCTCTGTGTGTTCACCCAATCTTCAAGAAAGTCTTCAAGTTCGGGCCATCTGCTTTTATTACCTCTGAAAGCTTTTTTTGACTTTTTGCATTGACAGTTCTTCCCGCTGGCGTCTCCAACGTCTCACCATTGACTCATTGATGCTAAGGCTACGTGCAGCAGCTCTATTTTCTTCTTTTACAGCCAGATTGACTGCCTTTAACTTAAAAGCTGCATCATATGCATTTCTACGTTTGTTTTCCATAATGAGGGTTTGTGCATGAAAACTTCCTTTGCACAAACTGTCTTGCTCTCGTTCTGTCTCTCGTACCACTCTCGGTTCCACTTTTACTTTTGCGCGCTACCCGTCTCACTCTTTTCCGGCCTCCAGCTTTTCCTGCTGGAGCCCGCCGCTTGAAGGTGGGGGGCGCGGACCGGTCATAGAGCCCATAGAGTTAAAGTTGGTGGACTGTAACCTGTAAAATCCATAGATTTAGGAGGTCCCCTAGTGGCCGTTAGCTGTAAAAATCCATAGATTAGCCGCACCGTTATATAAGCCGCAGGGTTGAAAAATGGGAAAAATGGGGAAAAAGGCGCAGCTTATAGTCCGAAAATTATGGTACATGTGGTTGAAATTAATGTTGCTGATCTGATTGCTAGACCCATCCGACTTGGACAAACATATGTGTAACTACATTTTTCAAGAAGCTGAATAGAAATAGGGCGGCTGTGGCTCAGAGGCAGAGCGGGTCGTCCACTAATCGAAAGGTTGTTGGTTTGATCCCAGGCTCCTCCCGCCACATGTCGCAGTATCCCTGAGCAAGATACTGAACCCCAAATTGCTCCCGATGCCGTGCATCAGTGTGTTAATGTGTATGAATGAGTTAGTTTCTGTTTGATGGACTTTGCCGTCGCTGAGTGAATGTGTGTGAAAGGGTGAATGTGGCACGTAGTGTAAAAGCGTTTTGAGTGGTCGGAAGACTAGAAAGGCGCTATACAGGTCCATTTACCAAGTAACAAATATGCTGAATTTGATATATTTGTTTTATTTCTTAATGTACAGAAAAATGTGTTCCATGCAGCAGCACAGAGCGGCTGTCCAGTGCTGTATCTCACATCTTGGATGAGAAGAGAGAGACTAAGCTGCTACAAGGCAGAGATGCTTATTTTTGTGGTTTTCCTTGTTTCCTTGGCACAAAAGGGCCACTAAATAACAAGAAAAAAATATTGGAAACAGCTATCAGCCAAACTGTTATTTTAAACATCAGTATCGGACCAGAATTTCACAATCATGTATCCCTTCTAGTCATGTGCGCAGAGATGGATCCTGCACTGCTGTAAAGGTCTGTCCCCTCTGGGCACTGCTCAGTGGATAGAAGGTGAGTAATAAGACCACAATGCAAGACAGAATTACAAATCAATGAAATTAGTTGTTCTACCTCCTTGAACTGGGACTCGTTCAGAATAGATGTAGGATGAAAGTGGATCTTCTTCTCCCTGTAACTAGAAAGCAGGGAGGTCTCATGGTTGACATGGACCAGGTTTGGATACATGCCAGCCACCAGGGCCGCCTTCACCATAGCCCAGTTCTCAGAGTTCAAATTCACATCGCGGATATCACTTCCCCCACGGGCCCTCACAAAACCTAGGGGACAAACAAGCTGTTTTAAATTTCAAGCCTTCATTTATTTATTCAGCAAAAAATATCTAACAAAGAAATATACTGATTAAGTGTTTTCTCCCTGACCCGAGTCTTTCAAAACTGACTTTTAGCCTATATAGACTTCCTTATTTGTACTTTTATGATACAAGACATTGGTAATTATTGTAAGGGATTCTTGGAGTTTGTAGCAACTTTAATGTTAATGTGATGATGACACAAAGAAAACCCAGAGGCCTGGTGATGTTGGGTCACACCACACACAGTTGGTGGAGTGAGACTGGAATTTAAAGGAATATAAATGAAAGTGGGGCTGACCAATAGCACGTAGCTGTCCCAGTAGCTGTGTCCTCATGCCAAGTATCATATCCATGGTGGCCTGGGACAAGAAGTTCTTCTCACAGAAGGATCTCTCCCAGCCATCACTGCGGGCTTTCTGCCATGCCTGACACCACACACATTTTTTTAAATTATCTACTGAATTTCTATGCTACCTTACAACAGTACAACAAAGAGAACAAAGAGACAACTTAATATTCTACACAGGTCCACTATAAAAGGGTGACTACTTTAATTACTTTTACTACTTCTATTGTTTCAAAATCATTCATATTTATAATTTATTTTTTGACAACATAATAGATATTGAGAGGTCATATAGAAATATATATCAATTTCTCACATTCTGAATAGGGGTGGAATGGTTTATTCAAAAATTTTTTTTGTTCATTTCAAGGTTTTGGGTTTGGTTTGGTAGTTTTTGGTCTCTGAAATCTAGTGAATTGATCTCGCTGTTTGCCATTGTTTCCTCGCAAACACAACCTTGGTAACACAATGATGTGGAAAGTACGAGCAAAGCACGCCAACTTCTCTGTGGTTGGCTGCAAGAATTAACAAAAAAGTCTTAATTTACTCCCACCATATGAGAAGTGAAAACCTAGAGGATTAACTTTATTTTGGGAAAGGGAAATGTGACAAAAATTTCTGAAAAACTATTGCTTATCAACAATCCCTGTTGTTGACTGTACCAGCCCAAAGTCTTGTGTCTTCCATCATCTGACAGGTTGCTTTAACATTTAAGCCTACAGTAAATCTATTATGGTAAAGCCGCTAAATACGAACATATGAACCTTGACAATGTGTATAATATGGCCTCTTTAATGTGCTGAAAATTATTTGAAGGAAGGAACAGCACTTTTGATTCTCAAAACTTATCTATTTCCCCATTTTGGGTGTTTTGATTGTAGGAGTCCTAATACCGATGTTGGGAGCATTGCCTGTTATCCCTCTTAAAATCAAACACTTCCTATATTCACCCCAAAACACACTTTATATGGACCCCCGCCTACCTGGAAGGCTCTTAGCAGGGCCATGTGGTCACTGAAGGTGCTGGAAGTGAAACGTTTACGGCAGTGTAAAGCAGCTCTTTTCTGAGAGCCCTGGGCAGGAAGGACAAAGGGGTCACGATAGGCCAGTGTACAGGCAATGGTTAGAATGGGGTCCAGACACTTGAGCACTACAGCACATAGCACCATCTTGCCCAGGTGGGGCTCCACAGGTAGATCGGCAAGGTGGTAGCCCAGATCAGTCAGGTCTTCATACTGGTCCATAGCATCTATTGTCTGAAGAGTAAAAGTGGAAGGAGTCAATACAAACATGGGGACTTATTGCCGGAATACTGTATGTGGATGTGTTGGCCAGCATGTGTAGGTTTGTCTGTGTAAGGTATATAATATTATTTGGTGTTACTTGTTACCTTTAGCATCTGCACAGCATTCCTGATGGTATGCCCAGGAGGAGGCTGTGGAGCTTTGGACAAGAACTCAGCTACTGGACAGGAGGAGGGAGCCAGCAGTTTGGTCTGCAGACACAGTTCCTTACACACACAACATGACACATTATTACTATAACAATAAAAATATTAAAGCTGCATGCAGCGTTGGGCGGGACCTCGCACTCCACGCAACTCGGGGCGTGCTGCGGCCGCATCATGTGCCGTCGTAACACGTGCGGACCACGACATGAAAATCTCATGTAAATCAGCTCAAAATCGCCACGCAGCGGTTGCTTCCTGTTGCCAGTAGGTGGCGCTATCACTATGTCTGAATATTGTCATGTAAACGTGTTAAGTGCGGGACTCTTATCAAACACGTGAAGTTTCATTGAGATTGGACCACGTACGCTTAAGTTATGAGGACGTGTTCAGGGCGAGACTGTTAGAGAATATATGAAGTTTATTAGAGATTGGACATTGCACACTGAAGTTATGAGTACTGTTTAATGGAAAATCGTCTGAATTCGACAAGTCGTCACTGGCACGCGGTTTGACGTACAGTCACAAATAGCTTAACTCTTCATCTACAGTTTGTTTTTATAAGACTGTCCAATTTTGAAGTAGATTTGATAAGTCCCCTATTTATCTTGCAATTTAATACTTGACTCCCAGCGGTTTCCTACAATACTCCACGAACAATACTCTGTAGGAAATATGGTTTGCAGATGTGGCTAGTGGGAGTGGAGGGGTGTTTGTGTTTTATCACTTTGAAAAAAAGACCACAGACTTCAAAATGGCCAACTTTGATGGCACGCCACGGACACGCCCTTCAACATACAGTCAAAAAATGTATAGCGTTCATTCAGCACCATTCTTTGACTGCACTGACCAATTTTGAAGTAGATCCAATAAAACCTGTAGGAGGAGTTCGTTCAAATACAAGCCCAAAAAGTCAAAATGACCACAAAATGGTGAAAATGAAAATCGAAATTGCAGACTTCCTGTGGGTTTTGGGGCATGGGTCCAAGAGGCTTTTTTGTACGTCTCGGCACCTTACACATATGCCTACCGAGTTTCATACATATCAGTGAAACGTGGCGCCGGGGCTGCTTTTTAAAAGTCCTGACACGACAAACACGATTTTTGGTATGTGAGCTACAGGCACCAGTCTACACGTGTCCTGTGAATTTCATATTCATAACTATTACAATCTCTGCAGAGTGATTTACCCTGCCACCAGAGCACCACCTAGTGGCGTGATTTTTTTTCCTTTTTAGGGGACCCTCAGGGAGCCATGGGCAAGCATCGTACCAAGTTTCATTTTAATCACACTTGCCGTTACAGAGATGTAAACTTCTTTTTAAAGAGCGCCACCTTGTGGTGATGACCTGAAATTGTGCACGATACATAATGGAGACATAAGGAACTATTGACCCAAGGTTGGTGTAAATCGGACATACCAATGTGGAGAAATACCCCACTTCCTTTTTTGACGAAAAATCAACAGGAAGTGCTAATTTTATAACTTCCTTATTTTTTTAAATATCAAAATACTTTAAATTACTTTTTTTGCCAGGATGGTCTCCAGATACTACGTGCAAAATTTCGTGCAAATCGGACAAAAGCGCATGGATGGATCACAAAAATGTAGTTTTTGAACATTTTGCGCTCTAGCGGAAAAAAAATCTAGGTGGAAGTGGGTGTGGCCTATATAGGGAGATACTTTCTATTCACCGATCGCGTGGATATAAGGTTTTTGAATGTGAGACAAACGATCAGGAGCTATACATACTTTTCTCAATAGTAGCGCCACCTAGTGGTCTACCCCAAAGCGACGCATAGCATTTCAACATTTTCACCAGGCCTGACAAATTTGCCAAATAAAATTCACGCGAAGTATACGTTCAGGGGGTCAAAAACGCCGGCAACGTTCTGAATAATAATAATAAGAAACGGACCAATTTCAATAGGGACCTTCCAGCAGTCACTGGCTCGGTCCCTAACAATAATAAACATAGTAGAAACACTAGGGACCTTCCAGTTGTCACTGGCTCGGTCCCTAATAAACGGACCAAAAACAATAGGGACCTTCCAGTTGTCACTGGCTCGGTCCCTAATAAACGGACCAAAAACAATAGGGACCTTCCAGTTGTCGCTGGCTCGGTCCCTAATAAACGGACCAAAAACAATAGGGACCTTCCAGCGGTCGCTGGCACGGTCCCTAATAAGAAATGGACCAAAAACAATAGGGACCTTCCAGCGGTCGCTGGCTCGGTCCCTAATAAGAAATGGACCAAAAACAATAGGGACCTTCCAGTTGTCACTGGCTCGGTCCCTAATAAGAAATGGACCAAAAACAATAGGGACCTTCCAGTTGTCACTGACTCGGTCCCTAATAAGAAATGGACCAAAAACAATAGGGACCTTCCAGTTGTCACTGGCTCGGTCGCTAATTACAAAGTCTACAGCATTTTTAAGTAGCACTGTGATGTTCAAACTACTGCTGACTTTCGAGCCAAGCAGACACAGGTGGGGCCAAAACATCATGCTTGGGGAGGCTAAAATTCTGTGGTAAATTACAGCTTACACAAATGTAACTCTTTTGGCACTATTTTGAGCAAAAGCAAGGACGAACACAAAGTGGCATGTCTAGGAACCATGGACTGTGGCTATTTTGGTTCATGTAGCTAAAGATAGATCACCTCTCAGCCATCAGAGTTCCCATCTTACTAAAACAGCTGAGCCAACCACAGAATCAGCTTCTTCTGGAAATCATACTGTTGTCTGTCTGGTACAGAGCACCACAATGTGAACACACAGGATTAAAGGTGTTTTTTAAACATTTAATTAGCAACATGGTGATATAAAAAAATAATGAAAAAAAAAGTTTGTTGAAGATCTTAGCTCTACTCTTACATCTTATGTTGTAAGTCACAGCATATCGCAAAATGTGACACAGTAGCATGTGCATCGTCATGCATTTTAGGAACAAAGCATCAATGGGAAAAACTAGAAAAGCAAAGAAAGTTGGAAAGGAGGTAATAATGCACAAGATTAATCAGCCCTGGTGAAGCAATGTCTCCTGCATAAACAGGCAGAATACTGCACTAACTAACCAGTCAGATGTGTGTGGTTATTCTGCAGTTGCCTGGTGTCATTTGCATGTGATTTAATAAACCAAGCGCAGCCTCTGTGGCTGGCCAATTAAGCCAAATGAATCCAAATGAACGAGCAGCTACTTGAGGCTGCCCACAAAAGTGACTGATCCCGAATAAGGCTCCATAGTGAAAGGCAGAAATAAACATTATTACAGCCTGGTACAAAAATCGTTCAGTCTTTCTAGCTAAATTCCCCATTCATGACAACTGTATGTAGGGTGAATTTTTATATAACCTGTTTGAAACTAAAGATTAAGACTGGGCATAGTTAAGAGACTAGGATTAAAGGCCCAGTGTTCTTGTAATTCTCTACACATTTCCCCAATAATCAATCAGTTACAATCCATCCAAAAAATCCATAGAAACTTCTATGTCTCAATCGCTAGTTTCAAGTCTTCTTCCATACAGCATGGTGTTCATTTAGTAAATTGTGTTCCCATTAAGAGTAAAATAGACAATAAAGCAGGGGCTGCCTTGTGATTGACAAGCCAATGTTTCCTACAACAGACAGTTGAAACTAAGCACAGCCAATGAGCACAACCCGAGTCGTGCACTGCACTGCTGCTGGTAGCAAAAAAACAATACGGCAACGGCCATAATACCAAACTTGAGGCTTCTAAACGTATTCCAACCAATGGGCAATATCACAGTAGGTTCACACTTGGATTCTACCTTAAGCTCAGGAGAAATGTATATGTGAACTCAGTGGTGAAAAGGGAAAAGGTTTGTAGACCTGTTACTTTGTAACAGTATTTGTAACATTCTAAACACATCTGTGAATTGTATTTTAATTGTATTAAATAAATTATAGTAGTAAATGTCTTTGTAACTGCAGTTCATTAAGAAAACACAGAAATGATTTATCATCATCCTGTGTGAACATGTCAAGTCTTCTTTGCATGATGTAGGAGGAAAAGTTGAGTATGTGAGTGTCACTACCTGCAGTGGCATCCGCAGCAGCTGCGGGACCTGGAATTCCAGCATGTTGTTGAACCTGAGTCGACTAAAAAGGTGGAAGCAAATCCCTGGTCTGCAGCGTCCAGCTCTGTGGACACGTAACACATTCAGTAAATTCTTTGAGTTTTCTTTCTCCCACAGTGGGTAAAAACTGATTTGTTGATTAACAGCAGCAGACACTTTCATTCAGTCACAAGCAAAGAATATCAGGTTAGATGTAAGATACAATATCTGTTGAGGAGATAATGAATTGGATGTTGTCCTTGTTACCTTCCCTTCCTTTGCAGAGCACTGGCTTTTGAGATCCAAACCGTCTTTAACATGGATACATTACTGAGAGTATCAAAGGACTTCTGAAATGGGAAACTTTATTAGTCAATTACTAACCATGTTCCAAATCCCATCTATTGTTAGACGTCATATTACTCTTGTAAACCAAACTCTTTAGCAGTGACTGTACCTCTTTGACCTTTCCTGAATCAATGACAAAGACCACATCGTTGATGGTGATGCTTGTCTCAGCAATGTTAGTAGAAAGAATCTGAAAGTGAAAATTGACCTGTTATAAATTAGTTTGATAGTGAGGGAATTTCCTGTAGAATTCCATTCAAATGGAAAACCATGCTATTTACAAATGGCAGGGGTTCCCAACCTTTTCCTTAAGGGACCTATAATGTCTATAAGTGAGTAAACTGATGACCCTTTACCAAGTGACATATTTCATGATATTATACACTTTTAGTTTAGTGTTTTCTTCTCCCTGACATTTGGCCATTGTTCTAAGTTCTTTGGTTGTTTTGAGTTTTCTAATGCAGGACGAGGCTGTTTAAGGCTCTGTGAATATACCCTGTGTTCAGGTTTTCAAAGTTTAGATCCTAAATAATAATCTAAACTTCTATTTAGTTTTCTTCAAAATAAATAAATTAAGGAAGCCTTACAAGCCCCCTTGAAGTTTTGGCAACCTCTAGTCATGGTCCCAACCCTCAGGTTGGGAACCACTGACACATGGGGCAGCTGTGTCTCAGGAGATAGAGTAGGTCGTCCACTAATCAGAAGGTAAGAAGTTTGATCCCCAGCTCCTCCTGCTGCAGTGTCCTTGAGCAAGATACTGAACCCCAAATTGCAAATTTCTGGTGTATGGGTGTATGAATGAATTACCTTCTGCTGGTGATGGCCTTTGACATCACTGTATGATGGATGTGGCATGTAGTGTACATTGCTTACAGTACTTTGAGTGGTCAAAAGACTAGAAAGGCACTATATAAGTACAGTCCATTTACCATTTGGTACAAAGCAGCAGTTCTCAGCATCTGTGACAGTGACAGTGTTAATGTGGTCTTTGGACGGATGCATTACAAAAAGTGATGACATGATTTAATGTAAACACATGAGTTTCATCACACTTAATTAAAGGAATGTGATGTAAAATGTATTTGGTTTTAAATATTTTTCATAGGCACTACTGTGCACCAAGTGCAACACACACTGGCACGCTGTGTCATTTGACAACCATAACACGTACAGTACAAGATGCATCCTACAGTAGTAGTCAAAGAAGTAGGGTACAGTAGCTGGAATGTACCACTCAGTTGGGTTTTCTAGAGAGTTGTAACATGCTGATGTTGGAAAAAAGGATAGTTAAACTAGTTAGAATGTGTGTCAATACATGTTATGAAGTGTCTTCAAACAAAGTTTTTCTTTATACATAGAATACTCTATATCAACTTATGACTAAATTAAAGCTTTGCTGGAAGCCATTATAAGTGTAGTGAATCCAATCAAATCAAATGACATTAAAATAGTCTTTGACATCAGTGAAATCAGACACTCACTATCTTTCTGACACCAGGTGGAGAGGTCTTCATGGCTTTCTTCTGATCTAGAGTCTGCATGTCTGAATGTAGAGTGAACACCTGGTACCTGAGAGATTGACACACCTGTCAGAAACACACTACATAATATTCAGCTATGCTATACTTTGCTCAACACAATAAACTGACATAAAAAAAAAGGAATGGTAAAACAAAATATATGTATATTGATTAAGGGGAAGATTAATCCAGAACTGAGTCTACAATATTTATCTATCTAAGAATACAGTATTTATTTGTATCTTAAAATACTATGAAGAAACTTCTCTAACATGACTTCAAATGAACATAACCTAGGTTGAATTTCATCATCATACTAAAAACCTAAGGTATTGTAGGTATTGCATGATATATAATATACATTTCACCTGTCAGAGTGGGTGGAGAATCTCTTGTCGTCATACAGGATGCGGTCCCTGAGTGCCACTATCTCATCGTATCCAGGAAGAAAAATCAGGACAGCACCTGACAACCAACAGATAAAAGCTCATATTGTGATAATCTTGAAAAATTATCCATGTTCCTTGAAATCTTGCTGTGTTTACAAGTAGAGTTTTCTTTTGCTCTGCCGTACGATATTTAGCATGTCAACACTTGGTGCTACAGTAGCTTGTCTGTTGCATCGACTACACGGGCCAGCCTTTGCTCCCCACATGCATCAATGAGCCATGAGCCTGTCGCTGGTTTGCCACTTTTCTTTCCTTGGATCCCTTTTGATAGGTTCTCACCAGTGCAGACCAGGAACACCCCACAAGAGCTGCAGTTTTGGAGATGCTCTGACCTCCTTGTCAAAGGTCATATTGGTAGAGTGAATTTTCTGTTGTAGCAATAAAATACACTGCTCAATAAGCAGCTATATCGTTATAATCCAGATAAGTGTTGAGACTCACCGTCACTGTTGGTTGAGCAGATGTTGTGCAGCAGATCCATGATGAGGTCCAGGTCCACCCATTCATCGTCAAAGCTGTGGTGGTACAGTTTGAGCAGCTCCTGCTCTTCAGTGCCCAGCTCTGTATTGCCACACTGCATCAGAGTGGATTCATCCAGGCGGCTCACTTCTCCCAAAGGACTGCACGGTAAAAGAAATGTAGGAGTAAGCTGATCAGAAGTCCAGTAAGTTTATCAGTTTAAAAACCTTGTACAACAGTATTTAAAACTGGACATGCCTTTATGTAGTTCCTTTAGGGACTGCACAAAAGTTATGGGAAGAGGGTTGAACATTACTCATTTCAGCTTTAAAGGTGGTGTAAGTGATTCTGGAGAAATCCAATACCACAAATATCATGAGATAAAGAAAACTACAACACAGCAAGTAATATAACTAACGTTAGCTTTGTTGTGTGTTTGCAAACTGTCACTATAGTTGCTGCTGCAAAGCTAACATGCAGAGAGGACAAGATGCTTTCCATAGCCAGCACACCAGCTCCAGACAGCGATACTCTCTTCTACCATAGCTAATATCACAACAAGAGCATATCTAGGATAACTAGAAAGTAAGCTGAACGTCTGTTACCTGAAACACCTATCAGTGACAGAGAAGCCGATGAGAGGGAAGCCGAAAGCTATCATGGACAACCCCTCTCATTCTCTCCATGCTGAGCTGAAGCAGTTCAGGAGCCCCTTCAGCCACGTACCTCAATGTGCTTACGCTTGGGCCACAAAGCATGCCTGAGCAGTGCATGCCTCAGCTTACACACACGTGGTGTCCACAAAAAGAGCATATCTGCTGCTGCCAGCCCTATCTTTCTACACTGAATTGGGCTTTTAGTCTATTTGCCAGCCAATAGAGTACTATTGTGAACCCACAAATGTTAAGTACCCCAAAGTTATATGTTAGAAATGTACAATATGGATCTCCAGCATTTAGAAACTGACCGATGCATATGTTGGGCAACTTGCATAATTAGAATCAACAGGCATAATCGCCTGTATAGACAAAATTTCAGCACCGATGAATTTTGATGAATTTTGAGTCGATTTTGACAGCCCCCCAGGAGTTGAAATACGGCCACTTTAAATGGCCATTTTGTATGTTGAAAATGTCAGAAATTGATTTAGCATCCTGAATAACCCCCATAAGCGCTCCAATATTCAATAGTTAAATTGGTCAAGCAGCTGCTGAAATATTGTCTAAATAGGTGATTATGCTTATCAATGCTAATTACCTGTATGACAATTATGCAAATTGCCAATATATGCAAGTTGCAGCACCCAGCACTTTCTAAAAGGTGTATATGTTGCTGGTATAATATGTCTATGAACAGATCCTTTTCACTGCTCTTGGCTCATGGAGAAAATAGGCAAGACCTCAACTCTCTAGTGAAGTGTCACTGCAGCGTGTCCAGGAGGTGAACTGGCACCTCTCCAGCTACTATTCCACACTATACTGTAGTTCATACGTCCCTACAGACTGAGCTACTGCCATCCCCAAATAGCCAGAGCTGCCATTTAGGTCAAAGCACCAACAGAAACTCATAGGATAAGCAAAATATGGATTTAGATATATGTTTCACTTTGCATTACATAGTCATGTATTATGCATGTCAACATTACACTCACATGGAGGATTTGAGAAGATCCATAGCATCTGTCTGCTGGAAGTGTTTGGCAAAGTCTATGGCTGTCCTGAAATGTGATGAAAACACTGCTGGTCAATGCATTCACATGTGTCCTAGAGCTTGAAAGAATATTTGAAAAACAAAACAATATGATGTAGTAGATACATGTTTAAAAGTGGAAAACGTAGTTGCTTGAGTGTAAAGTCTGCAATATTGGTCATGATGTGAACATGCCTGGTGTCGTAGAAATACCTGCCTGTTAAAATACATGCCTCGTCCATTTCTACAGACTATGAAAGGACAACTAACAAATATTGGTAATGAATCACAGTTAACGCTTCAAATCATTGGAAACTAATGGGACATTTAACATGGCTTACATCAGCTTGGTACTATAACATGATATCTGTCTTACCATCCATTGGATGCTTTCATGTCGATGTCGGCCCCCATGCTGAGCAGCTGTTCCATCTGTGGGAGGAACCCTCGGCCTGCTGCCACCATCAGAGGTGTGGACCCTGTCTCACTGTGCCTGTAGTCAACTTGGTAAAAGAATATAAGTATTAGGAAAAGTAGAGCTAGCAAGTTTTTAGCCCAGAAATTATTTGTATGTTCAGCATACATTGTACAAATAGTATGAACAGTATGACATTTCACACAGAATGCAGCAAAAACACATCACATTTTAGCACTGCAAATAAAGGCATCAATCACATGGTATGGATGTCACACCAGAACTTATGGCGGACCAGTTGATTGTTTATGATTCCCAGCACCCTATGTTATATGATACAATACAGTGTGATTGTGCCATCCCAACACACCAAAGCCAAGTCTACACCATTAACAACAAGCCTCCTCCACACGCGGCTTACCTGTTGTTGTAAAAACAGAATGCACAAAAATCCCAAATGCATTTTTGGGCAACACAAACAGGGACCTAGAGTAATAGGCAAGGCAAGGCAAGCTGGTGTGTGTGAGAAACCAGCGTAGACATGAGCCTGTGTGGAAAAGAGTACCCATTGGAGTTCCTACTACAGTTACACTGTCATCTGGAGAGAAACACTGAATTAACAGATTGTATCTTGTTTGTGTCCATACAAATGCTGAAAGTGTAATAAGTTGTGGTTTTACGGGAAGTTAAGTAAAACCAGCAGTTAGGGATAGGCAATATGTATCAATAAATCTATGTATTTAATTTATTACACTATATGCAATCTTATATTGTATCTGTATAGGATATCATAATATAGTAGTTTCTGAAAATTGAGTTGAAAAACTGCTGATGAATTAAAAAAAAAACCAGAGGACAGGAATGACTAATCCAGGGAATTATATACCTGACAAATACAGGTACATCATTACATTGATGAAAGAAATCAGATATTCTGTATCATGTGTATTACAGTGTTTAAATGCCAAACCTTAAAATGTATAAATAATCCTACAAAAAAAACACTGAATGATTCCAAAAAGATGAATAAGAGATCAGCCCAAAGAGTCATACCGTTAACACTTTCATAGAGGATGAGGTTGAAGAGCTGAATGAAAGCATCCTGGTCTTCACTGAGGAAAATGTTGGAAATGCAGGCGTCCATTTCTTTCTGCAGCCATGGCTCCAGCTCTTCTGTACCATTCTCATTCTGTGACACAAAATCACACAGTGACTCAACCTAGTGCCAAGCATAAACAGTCAGGTTTCACAGGACACACCTAAATACAACACACATCCAGACCGCAACTAGGAATCATCAAGTTGCACAAGGGGTAAATTTCGATTTTAAGGGGTTTAAAAAACTTTTCTTTTCAATTATACAGCAGGCTCAGTATTTCATTGATTTCTGTGGAAAAAAAACTAACTGAAAATGTTATTTTTAAAGTTAAGTTGTCAGTTTACTCAATGACAGAAAGGGGTCCCTTAATCATAAGGTTGGCGGTTCAATCCCCGGCAATCTCCCACTTCGTGTATGAATGGGGTTAGTTAGTTATACAAGTGCAGTCCATTTCCCATTTTTCATCAACATAGTGCAACATTATAAATGTCTTCTAAAAAAAAATGTGCTTGAGTTTCCACAGAGGTCAGACAAACACTGCATACAAACTAGTTATTTTCTTGCATAACCCCACCCAACTCTGACTTACAGCTGATAAATCAGAGACTTTTTGACAGGGCCTACAGAACTGCTAGCCCCTGTAGGAAAAAAGATGACCCTCCACATCTGTTCATCGCACCGATCCACCACTACCAGACCAAACAGTGTATCCTCCTGAAGTTAGTTAGCTAGTGGCAGCAGCCAGTATAGTTAGCACATACAGCACTGCTGTGTTACAAGAGAAAAGCTCTGTGTTGCAACAATCCCCTGATATTTTCGTCTCGGGGACAAGTTGCAGCTCCCGAACAGAGTTTAGAAATGAACATTTGCATATTAATAGATTATTTCTATAATTTCGACTTTAATGTTGAAATTATGAGATGCACATTATTTTTCCAAGCAGACTGTATATGTCCTATGTTTGGAAGGGATCTCGGGAGAAATTAGCATTTAATAAGTAACTGTAACTGTAACCACATTGATAACAGGATGCGGTGCTGAAGGCTGGAACACTGGACTTGATCAGACCCAATGTAGCATTGCATTGAGTAGTGTGTATGTGTGTGTTGGTTTACTGGCTTGTTGAAGGTGCTGCCCCCTTTGTCCAGGGAGCTGCTGTCTTGGAGGAAGCCTGAGGCAGACACAGGGGCCCTCTGTTCCTCCTCAACAGAACTGTTCTGCACTGCCTTACACCACTCCGTTAGACGTTTCTGCTTCTTCTCCTCTAAGAACCAGAGCATGTGATACACACAGAGGAAATTAAGACAGTTTTCATTCAGTCTGACTTAGTGGACAATTTAAGAAAAGTTTCATACTTCTCTGTGTCTCTTCCTTGTATTTCCTCATGTCCTTATTGTTAAAGCCCGTCAGCCTCAGAATGTCCTCGAGAAAGAGTTCCTTCACTTCAAACAGTCTTCCTTTGACTAAAAATATTTTGAAAAATCTTAATTAATTAATAATAAAATTAACAACATTCAATTCAATTCAATTCAATTCAATTTTATTTGTATAGCGCCAATTCATAACAGAAGTTATCTCAGGACACTTTTCAAATAGAGCAGGTCTAGACCGAACTCTTTAACATTAATTACAGAGACCCAACAGTACCACCATGAGCAAACAACATATACACAAACAGAATTTTTTCCAGTTACAAATGACCCATTTCACTTTAAATTTGGAAACTGTTCCTTAAATAAAATCTTCAGGATGTAACACTCTTGCTCCTGTATTTTTCAAATTATTTCTTATAATACATGGTAAAGGTCTTGCATGCATACTTCTTCTCTCCCATTATTTCAGAATAAGTTAGGCCATTTAGAAATGCCATCAGTTTGCATTAAATGGTAAATGGTCCTGTACTTGTATTTGTTTTACACTACATGCCACAATCGCCCTTTCACACACATTCACACATGCATCATCTGGAGCAATTTGGGGTTAAGTATCTTGCTCAAGGATACTTCGACATGCAGCGGGAGGAGCCAGGTTTTCAAAGGACCACACATATTTGTATATAAATCGATAGAAGAGTGTCTCAAGTATTACAGGGATATAAACAAGACTTGGTGGAATTGTAGTATAGGGTTGGACTGTGTATGGTCAGCGACAGAATCTATCATCCTAATTCCTGGTTATTGTCCATCTGCAATTTTCTGTAGTGGTCCCAGTAATATTTGTTCCTAAGGTGTACTGAAGCAGATCATGTGACAGTGTGACAGAGAAGCCAACTAGCTGTCACTATATTATGCTGTTTGTAACATACAAACAACACTAATGTAATGTAGACACAAATTTCTTAAGCTGCTGTAACAGCTGGTATGAGCATTCCTTTAATGAACACAGTGTTAGTAGGTCTTACGGTTGATTACAGGGCAGGAGCCGAAGTACTGAAGGAACAGGTCTATATCCAGAGCTGCACTGGAGAGGATCAGTTTCAGTGTGGGGATCTTCTGAAGCATATCCCGCATTTTAGTGAGCAGGAAGTCAGTCAAACCATCACGCTCATGCACCTCATCCTGTTAAAACACAGTATTTCACTGTGATGAATATTACATACCTTTCAACCAGAGAGAACAGCTAAACCTTGCTTTTCAGCACGCTGTTATTCCTCTTTAAAGAACAGTCCCAGTTTCAAATGTGTATTTCATAAAACAGGATTACAGAGTTGACCAGTTTTCTTAGAGTGTACATTTGTAGCCTTGATGCTCACCACAATGACATGTGTGACAGTTGTCAGGCTGGCATCTCCAGCCATCAGTGTTCTCAGGAACACGCCACTAGTGCAGAAGGTCAGCAGTGTCTTGGGGGAGACCCTGTGGTTTCAAAGTCAACAGTTACAAGAGACATGTCCATATTAAGCAATATAAATCGTTGCCAGAAGCTTGCAAATCAGAATCAGAATCAGAAATACTTTAATAATCCCAGGGGGAAATTATTTTTGTTACAATAAAAAAAAAATAATAATAATGATAGATGATAGAAATGATAGGAAAGTTTATGAAAATGCATATTTTGCTAAATTAAGTTTAATAGTTAAATGCCTCAACCACACCACTAATCACCTGTCAGAGAACTATGCAGACTTGATATACATAACACAGTTGGCTTCATCTATCTGTTAAAGTAATGTCTTTTTGTCGTTTACATTAATGTAAAAGCATATTAAATTGAAAATTGAGAGTGTTATGACAGCAAAGAAGACTATTTTCTGTTTTCTCTTAGGCTGCATAATGTTTGTATTTTGCTATTGCACTCTAAATTAATGACAATGGCTGTGAGCATGGGTACATCTTCTCACAGACAATCCACTATTTCTGAATCAATTTCATCAAGCACAGTAAATTCTGCTGCCTATTTATAGTTGGCAGTTGGCATGACTGAAAACGTAACATTATATGTTATATGAGGGATTTTCCCCTCTTCTGCACCTAGCCACATCGCACGGGGAAAACGGATTTATAAACTGATCTGATCTAAGAAGAATCTCTTCAACAGCTGAAAATGGGCTCTTTCACAATGTGTCCTAGTTTATTAAACTGATTTGTTCTGATCTTTGGGCATAAGAGATATAAATACATTTACCACAGTGATCTTAGAAGGTAGTATATGGGCAGAAATATGTGCCACTGGAAATTGAATTTGAGTCTATCATTTTTAACACTGTCAGGTGTGGAATTAAAGGACCTGCTGAAGTCAAAGAGTGGTAAAAAGTGACTACTGCAGTCAACGCTGAGTCACCTGAGGGTCGTACTCAGGTGACAGTATCTTGTTCAACAAAACTTTGACATTCAGCAGGAGGAGCCGGTGAATCAAACTGACAACCTTCTGATTACTGAACAACCCATTCTACCTCCTGAGCGACAGCTGCACCTTCAAGAAGTAGTAATTTGATGTGAAAAGCGAGGCCATTAATGGCTGCAACAGGAGGGGGTCAAGGAAAAGACTCCATCATAGAGCTAGAGAATACATGCAATGATAGGTGGGTGGTCGAGACAGACGACCACCCACCTAGAGCCGGAGGATCTGTCCTAGGTTTCTGCCTTTTAACAGGCAGCTTTTCCTTGCCCTTGTCGCCAAGTGCTTGCTCATGGTGGTACTGTTGGGTCTCTGTAAATAATGTTATAAAGAGTTCGGTCTAGACCTGCTCTATTTGAAAAGTGTCCTGAGATAACTTCTGTTATGAATTGGCGCTATACAAATAAAATTGAATTGAATTGAATTGAATTGAATTGAATAGGTGATGTTGTATTGTTAGGCATTCCAACAAGGTCTGTTCCCCTGGACAGTGGCCTGCATACACCTTAATGTGACAAGAATTTTAACCCCATCAATAGCAAATTTAGGTTAATGATGACATTATTAAGCCATATGATACATTTAGAACTATATCATAATTACCAGAAACAGGATGATGTCGTTATGATGATGTTATGAAAGGCAATTTACATAGAAAACTCAAAATTACATGAGAGTAATGCAATATACAATTCTTGTGTATAAAATGTTTGCTTGAATAACAGCAGACTAATTGCATATGATTAGTCATGGTCTGGACCACTCATAAATTGTGTTTGTACCAGAGACAAAATTCGAAATAAGAGAAAACTGGTGAATGCTGTAAGTTCTCCTAAATCAGTTGTATACTTAAGAACGAAGACGTACGAGTGGTTTCTGTGTGGGGCCCATTGTGCTTGCACAAAATAAACTTAATTACATTTTACAAATCAGAATTTTCTGAAACTGTACTTAATCAAACACACATTCAGTTTCCAAACTATACATAAAGATTGAATGAATATAGAATAGAATATATATATCACTTTATGAGATACTACTTTACTTATATAATATATAAAGTGACTTAACGCCTCCTGTGTATTAAACTGCTTTCCAATGGGAGTGTGTGGATCTACTTACTGTAGATCATCCTTGAATTGGATCAGTTGCTACAATAATCTACAAGTGTAGACTATTAACAAAACAAGTGTTAGTGTCTTTCTACCAAAGATAAAAGGCTAGGCTAATCTACCTGCTTTCTAGTCTGATGTGATAACCAACAGTCTGGCCCACACTCTCTCCTCTCTCAGCTGCCACTCTCTCAGCCACAGCAATGGCAGCCAGGCGTCTGGGCTGAGTGCAGAAGATCCTGCAGGGCTCTTCATTCCTGCTGCACTCATCCAGCAGGAACTGTGGGATCTGGGCAATAACACAGTGACACTGGATTACCTTTACAGAGTTCAACCTCTGGACATTTCTAAGATCTTGCAATTTTGGTTCAGCATCATAATATTCTTAAATAAAATGGTCTAATCAGTGACAAAATTCTTCTTGTCATAAATAGAGGCATCCTGGTAGCCTAATGTATTAAAAAACAAGACACAAGACTACTGCTAACAAGACTAAGGCCACGTTCAGACTGCAGACCAAAGTGGCCAAAATCTTATTTTCTTTTGCTCATATGTGACTCAGATCTGATTTTTTCATGAAAGTATGACTAACACAAATCACATGGAATCTGATCAGTTCAATTTAGATTTTTTGCAACGTGACCTCAGTGTAAACAGTCATATCATAATTAAATATTTATACTTTTACATCACTGTAGACATTTGTCATGCGGGTCACTTCAGGACAGTGACCTGTTTACACTGGAATCTGATATGGACCACATTTAAAAAAGCAATGCGAACAGCCAAAAAAAAAAAAAACAAACAGATCTGAGCAAGAAATCAGAATTGAGTGCTAAGACTTGCAGTGTGAACGTAGCCTAATTTGCTAATTAGGACTACAAACAAAGTACACACAGTGAATGTGTGTTGCAAATATCATGGAAATCCATCCAAAAGATATTTCACTGAAAACCTAAATTTACTAGGGTTTATTCCCGCCAGGGTCATGAATGTATTTATAAAATTTCATCTCAATCTGTCTAGTTCTTGAGATATTTCAGTGAGGACCAAAGAGTTGGACTGTCGGTCAGACAGACGCACCTGTGTCGTTTTTCCAGAGCCAGTTTCTCCCACTACCAGCACCACCCTGTTTTCTCTGATGAGCTGGATAATCTCCTCCTGCCGTTCATGAACAGGCAGGGCGCGTCGAAAACTGTCCAGCTCTGATGGACTCCTCCTCCGAGGCACCATGGGTATGCCGTTGTTTAAGCGCCCGCTTGCCCTATTCCTGTCGCTGTTGTCTGAGGGAAGAGCTGAAGAATATTATGTGACACTGTGGATTGGTTGGTGTCTTGAGACTAGATACACTAGAATGTGTACATTTAATCACTATTGTAAAATCTTTGCCTCTGCCATTAGCTATGTTCATAAACAAGGGTGATTTGAGTGACCATTTTTAACATTTACCATGAGCTTGTTGCTAGATAACCGTAGCGACGGTGGACACCAAAAGTCAATCAAAGAACTGCGGCACATCTCCAACTCCATGGTGTCAAATTGAAAAGTGCAGCTGCAAGCTACCAGTAAGCTACACTGTGTCTTAAGTTTTTTTTCTTGTTCTTCTTTAGACACACACTGGACTGCACAAGAAGTCAGGGTGGAAAAAAAAATCCAGAGAGAATTGCTGATTTTTGATTCAGAAATCAGAATCAGAATCAGATTATGATTCTCTGAATCTCAGAATAGATATTATATCACATGCACATAGTATTCACTGCACAGTCTTAGCTTATACACAGACAATGACACTCACCAGGCTCTGCAGCCACAGACATGCCTACTTGTGTTGGCTGCAGGTCTATGCGTTCTTTATTGCTGATGGGAAACCTCTGAAGCAGGTTGCGGATGAAATATAAGGAATTGTGGGAGGGAGTAAGGGACATGGTAGGCCGAGGTTTGTCTGAACCATCTTTCTTCCTGATGGTAAGGAAGCGATTTGGTCCTTTCCTGAAAAAGAAGAAAACATGGTCTTCCACTTACACACTTATTAAAACAAATTTTTGGCTTGTGTTTATTGAGAGCCAAACACTGGTGCTGTAAATGGTCCAAAAATCTCAGGGTGGTCTTAGTTTTGCATTACATTTGGTCCTGTTAAAAAATGACAACCTGGGTCTTATTTTTGTGAGTTTGAGAAGACAATGTCCTTCAGGGGTATTTTATGTCTTTATTAGAAAGAGAGTGAGTTTCTTTTGTTTTTCTCATCTCATTACTGAACTGTATTATCTTCAGTGCTTTAGCAGTAGTGGTCACCTGACCTTCATGCCAAAAAAGCATACTGAATAGGAAGACAAATTTAGATGAGGAATGACATGCATTAAACAGTCCCTCCAGAAAAACGCGATTATGCGATCGCATTTCATAATCCCCCGCATTTTCGTTACAAAAAAAGTCACATATATATTAGCAGAAAGTTGAAAATGTTGCGTTTACTTCACACAAGAGCAACCATTTTCCCCTGTTGCCATTGGAACGTTATGAAGGGACGTAATTACGCGACATGAACGTCATCGAAAAGCTGCAAACTAGTGATGAGCGGATCAGGGTTTTTTCCAACCCGCGGGTCCCGCATTTATTTAATAATTTGACCTGCTCCATCCCACCCCGCACAACCTCATCTATTTTCACAACCCGCCCCACCCCGCCCCGCCGCTATTAAATACAAGTTAAATATGTCATTAAATAAGGCTTTTATTTGGTCTTACAAATGCGCTTGAAAACAGCCTTTCGAGTGGCACTGGAAACTGGCAACAACAAATTCAAATCTTAATAAAAACAAATATATACATAGGCGCTTTTGTGACGTCAGGTCGCAGGTGGATTTACCCAACAGTGTTGTTAAGAAGTAGGCTGTATTGGACATATTTAATCCATAATGACCCGACCCAACCCGACCCGTGGGTAACCCGCTACTGCAAACGCAATGAAGCCGCAATTTTAGCAAGATCCCGCAATTTCATCACATAAAATTGCATAAATATCCCGCATATTCCATTGCGTTCTTTAAGAAAACGTGCCGCATAATCAAGGATTTTTGCCCGCAACAATCACAAAAAAACTCTTTCTGGAGGGACTGATTAAAGACTCAAACGAAGGATTTTGTCATTCGTGATCAATACGTTAAAACCCCTCAACTACCAGGGTTCTGCTCTATTTGAAAAGCTTCCTAAGATAACTTCTGTTATCAATTGGCGCTATACAAATAAAATTGAATTGAAAAAAAAATTTGATCATGGGGTATAACTGTAGCCACAACCTGTAATTACACTTCTGAAGTCTACATTAGCTACAGTATAGCCTACAGCAGCTATGTACGTGGGCTCCAAAGCTACACAATGACCCCTTAACACAGAACTACAAATCTAGCTTTAATGTAAAAAACGTCTACCCCTTTGAAACTGAGTGTATGTTAGTAAATTACATTTACCAAATTCTTCAGACAATTGGTGAGCACATGTCCTTGTGGGTGAACTTACCCTTTACTCTTGGAGATGTAACCAAAGGACTGTGCCATTCGATGAATGAAAGCTCTCTCAGTACTGGACAAGGAGGAGGGAAATTCCATCTCTGTTTAGTCAGGGAAAGGAAAGGGTAATTAGGACAATCATACTTTCCTTCTCACACTGGCACAAGTACTGAGCATTACATTGGCATACCTCTGTCATATAAAATTAGCGAATGCTTTGCTAAGGTTGACCAAGTGCTCTGCTCTTACTTTCTAAAAAAAAATAAAAACAGTTGATACCTTTCAGATCACTGTAGCGAAACCTCTCCAGAGAGAGGTTCACTGCTATCTTGACTTCTTCATCGATGTGAATTTCTTTGAGGCCGCTGGAGATGGAACCACGGGGTGGCGTCCTGGCTGGTTTTTGTGAAGCTGTAGCAGCATTCAACATGGTGCACTGCAACAAACAACAGTTATCTTACCAAAGGGATAGCAGGAGTTCTTGTGTTCATCAATGTGAACAAAACACAACACATTTCCTACAGCCATCTGTTGCAGACTATCATAATGTTTACTAAAACTGCTGAAAGTTTTATGGAAATTCCATCTTCTGAATGTACTCAGAATACAAGACAAGGCGACTAATAAGAGTAATGGGAACACTTAGAAAACACACATCAGGTCGTGTTTACATATTCTTTCATCAGATGTTTCCTGTCTTAAGTCATACTTTCTCCAAACTTTTCTTGTAAATAAATAAAAACAATCTATGAATAAAACAACCTAACAGCCTATGTTTTGGGAGATTCCAGCAAATTAAAGAATTGTCACGGCACTTTATCTTACTAATGCAAAAAATACCTTTTGCCAAAAAGAAATTCTGCTCATTGATTTACATTGTCCACATCCTAATACACTCAGATATACTAAAGCGAGAGTTATCGTGGTGCAAAGTAAACGGTACAAAGTTATATTAAATCACAGTATACTGTATCCCAGCAAAGTGAAAAATTAGGCTTCTTTCGTAGAAGGGGGACACCAACTATTTTACACATACAGGTCAGTTTACCAACCATGAGGAGTACTGAGTACTACTCAGCCTTGTGTGTTTCATTGAATCGGTATCGAAACTAAGCTAAGTTAGCTGAACGGATGAGACACAAATGTAACGTTATATAACGTTATATAAAACTGTAGCTAGCTATATGTCTAACCTTGTAATAAACTAGTTAATTCAGATACTGTGCCTTGATTAGTGAATAGCTTCGGCAGTGCTCTCAAACGAACAGCACTGACTAGGACATAATCCATTGAAATGTTCCGTGTGTTTTTCTTCCGCTGTGTTCCGCCGGTAGTGCCGCCAACAACGAAAGTACATCCGGTCCAGCTCTTTCAGAATGATTACCATATTACCATACATAGACGCCGCATCGACTGCTGCCGCCCACTAGAGCGGCGTGCCTACAAGGCGGCCATCTTGGAGCAGGGCTAGCAGAGGCAGCGGTGCATCCATAGACATATACTACTACAAACCTAACGTGGACCTGACAACTGATATCATATCAGTTTGTAGGAATAATTGATCATCAAGCTACACGTTCTATCTTACTGAATCTTTCTTTATCAAAATAAAAACATGTGTATATGATATATGTGTAATATGTATGTGTAACTAATTTCTTAAACCATACTTTGATAAATAATAAGTAAAGTAAAACATTTCTGACTCAATTATATCCTCCACAATATCTGTGATGTCTATAGATGGGATATCATTTGAGCAGGTCACTGGGTGTTAAATTAGATAATTTTCTGTCTTGGTCTGACCAGATTGATTACATTGTCGATGTGTGTGGAAAGGGCATCACTATTTCAAGGAAATGTTCTGCATATGGATTGAAGGTATTTTGTTGTCATTTACAACTCAAGGTTGTAGAATGGAATTCAGATAGTTCCCTTATGCTACTTAAATATATAAAAATGTGCTGTCTTTGCTGGGCAGCTGAGTACCAATGGTCTTCTTAAACAGTTTTTCATGTAAAGTGTCATCTGCAATAATACATCACAGTTTTTATGGTGCTATCCATTTGTCTCGTAAACCCCCAGCCCGAGTTGGAAAGTGTAAATCTTGCAGCTATCTCGCGACATTTCAATGAGACACACCCCCTTTTGGTCGTAATTTCAGCTGTCCAACTCGGGGTACCTACACCGAGCTAAACAAGGACGAACGTACGACCCGCAAAACAAAGATGGCAGCGCCCGTATTGAGATGTATTTTCTTTGTATTTGTACAACGTTGGTCGTTTTAATGTCGATTTTAAATGCTCCTACACACTTGTTTACATTGCTGCTTTAGTCCGGTCACCAATTTATGCATTGCACGGTGTTGTTGTGCGTGCAATACAATGTAAAGTTTTGTTTTTGAGCTGGTTTGCTAAATAGGCTAATGTAGCTAACAATAACACTAGCCTGCCACTGCCCCTGGTGGCTCGAGACAAACGAGGTATAAAGCCTTTCACACAGTAGAACATAACTTTATATTTCAAACTATTGAAAAATTTGGTTTTGGTGATTTTTTCTGTAAAGCTGTTAGAACAATGTACTCCAAAGGCAATAGCTCTACCAGATAAAAAAATCACCGAGATTTGAGCTGCAAAGAGGCATCCAGCAGGGCTGCCCTGCCTAACCCTACCTATTCATTTTATGTACACAACTTCTTTCCACCCATATTAAAAATAGTGCTTTAAAAGAAATTTCAATTGCAGAAAGAGAAGTTATCCTCACCCAACTAGCAGATGATACTACATTATTTTTAAAAAATGCCAGCCAAGTGCCAATTGCTATCAAAACAATAGAATTATTTTCCGCAGCTTCTGGACTCTGCTTAAATCTGAAGAAGTGTGAACTTTTTTCCCTTAAAGAAAGCGACACCTCCCAGGTTTGTAACATACCAATCAAAGATAAGATTACTTATCTAGGGATTACTATAATGAAAAATGAGGAGGCGATATGCTCTGTAAACTTTAGTTTGATTAGTGATAAGACAAAGAAAAAGCTTAATCAATGGCTGCAGAGAGATTTATCCTTGAAAGGATGAGTATTGTTGACAAAGGCAGAAGGTTTATCCCGTCTTACTTACTTATGCAGCTATCCCCTTGTTTGTCAACAAAAAGCTCTGTAATTCCATTAATAAATTACTTTTCAATTTTATCTGGAAAAACAGAAAAAATCTGTTATTATGAACACTTTCTTGATTTTACAACCCTTAATAATAAATAAATAATAATACTTTTAAAATAAATTGGATAAAGCATTTTCTAAAAAATCCCACATCTACATGGAATTTTATACCTAACTATATTTTCTCTAAGGTTGGAGGTCTAGAATATTTACTTTTGTGTGATTATAGAATAGAAAAAATTCCCTTAATTTGATCTAAATTCCACAAACAAATGCTCTTAGCATGGTCGTTAATCTACAAACATAACTTCTCCCCACATAGGTGCTTCATCTGGAATAATCGGCTTATTAAATAGCTAGTATAGTATCCCAATTACTAAATGATAATGGAACATTGCTGAATTATACTGAATTCCTTCACAATTTTGGCATTCCAATCACCCCAAAAGAGTTTGCAATTGTTATGGATGCCATCCCATCTGGTATTTTAACTCTCTTAAAAGGGACTGGAAAACCAGACTGTTTACCAGCTTCGGACCCTAAGTTGACCTCAGTTGGTAATATATGTTTCGCTACCACAACGAGGAATAATAATCGTAACATTCGCTCTTTATTCCAGAGAGATGTCACCAGTGCCCCTAATGTTGTTCCCTATTGGTCTAATTTTGTTGACAGCCTGAATTGGGGAAATACCTGGAACCTTCCTTACAAATACCTCCTTACAAATAAAGTAAGAGAAGTCTCTTTCAAAATCATACATAGGTATTATCCTACTAAGCAATATCTCCTTAGGTTTAAGCTTGACGTATGTGTTAACTGTTCTTTATGTGGAATATGTCCAGAAACAATGGTGCACCTGTTCTGGCAATGTCCCTACACCACCACTTTCTGGAAAGATCTGTCCCAATACATTACTGATAAACTTGTCTCTGATTTTTCTTTGTTGTGGAAAGATGTACTGTTTGGTTTCCATGACAACAAAAGTAAAAAAACAGAAAGAAATATACCTAATTAATTTGTTGATCATTTTAGGGAAATATCATATTCACAAAGCCAAATTTAGTAACTCTAAACCTTCTTTTATTGCTTTTGGTAAGGAAATGGAACAGTACATCAAAACCATCTATGATTCAAAAAATAAGAAAGCTAACAAGGAGAACAACATCCCCTTTACTGTCTCCACCTCTCTGATGTTGCCTAGTCTTTGTGTGTCTGTTTATGAACCATCTGTGGGTTATTACAGCCGACTCCAGCGTGTGATGGTTGTGTACAACCGAAAGCTGAACACCTGGTTCTGCCGCTGCAGTCATACACGAGGGTCATGTCCACACAAAATCATTGCCAAGTGGCACTTTTTCCAGGAGTGTCCTACTGTTTTTAAAAAGGTCAGATCCAGTGAGTACATCCCAGAAGACCAACCCATGGAAACCACCATTCCATCAAACACAATTGAGGCAGAGGGTGACGGCTCTCTCTACCCACCAAAAGGAGAAGAGCTGAAGAAAATGGTTGAATATATATTCAAACCAACACTTCCACCAACACTGCCAGATCACCTCAGAAAACACACAAACGAGTACCCTCAATTCTTGATGAGACCGGATGAGACTTTCTGCACTGTCTGCCCTGGGACTATTTCTTTAAGTGCTCCGATTCTGATAACTGCAAAGGCCAAAATTCTGTCCTTAATTACTTACACTTTTGCGCAGTATAAGAAAGTAAGATTTGTGTTAAAACGATGTGCTAAAGTGATTATGGCCAACGCCCTCTCTATTTCAAATCCCCAGATGTCTCTACATTTATCAGGAAATGTGTGGACTGCGGCATGACTTATTGCTATCAGGAGTTCAGGGATGGAGTTCACAATTTTAATGATCACCTCCTCCTTGGACTACACTTATGTTTGTTTTTCAGGTCCCAGCTCCAGGTTACTATCTTTTTCAACAGTTACTTCAAATTCTCTCTGTGATGATATAAATAAATACTTAACAATGTTTATGCACTAAATGTCAAGACTTGCCAAGCTGTTGCCAGCACTCTACAGTCCCTTGAGCAACTGACAGAGACCAATGGCAATGTTCTTCCTTTAGGATGACATGGCAGCTCTGCGGAGATGGTGGTGTGCAGTGCTAGTGGAAAACCTGCACCTGGAGGGGTATGTGTCTGTGTCTGTGTCAGATTTTGACAATTTTTTTCTACAGACATGGCAGGAGGTTTGCCCATTATTCCAAGGAGGCAGAAAGCATGCTGAATGGTCTTCTTCCTCCAGTCTTTAGACTAAAATGAAAAAGAGAGGTGAATTAAGTGTCCAATATTATAAAAGGATATATGTTGATCACCATAACAGTTTGACATGGTATGTGTAATAAAATATATACTTTCTTCAAATGACACAGCTGTTTCTAATGTCCAGGAGGGGGTGACAAGCCAAGGGGAGGACAAAAATTGAGAGGTTTGGGACATTATTTGTTTAAGGAGATAATGTGGTTTTTACAATTTTCAATGGTGGTAACCATGACATTACTAAAAGTTAATTCTATTATACATGTGGTCAACAGGAGCCAACACAGGATGATCAAATCATTGGGGAGCACAATTACTTTAAGAGGCCATGCACAAGGGGGTGGCTGTGGCTCAGAGGCAGAGCGGGTCGTTCCTAAATCGGAAGGTTCGATCCCCAGCTCCTGGTGCCACATGTCGAAGTATCCTTGAGCAAGATACTGAACCCCAAATTGCTCCCGATGCCGTGCATCGGTGTGTGAATGAGTATGAATGTTAGTTTCTGTTCGATGGACTTTGCCGTGAATGTGTGTGAAAGGGTGAGTGTGGCACGTAGTGTAAAAGCGCTTTTAGTGGTCGGAAGACTAGAAAGGCGCTATACAAGTTTTACCATTTACAATCAACCTGGCTGAGTTGGTTAGTGTGTGATTTAGTTATTACTATCGAGCATGCTATCTAGTCTCCCTAATTTATATGAAGCATTTACTAAACATGTCTCAATTTTAAAATGTTTACTTTTAGGACAATGGATCTAAGGAGAACATGAAAAGACTAGAGGTCAGTAAAAAGCCCTCTAAGTATTAGGAATTAACTGCACTTAGTATCATTTTAATAAGTGTTTTATGAAATAACAGGAAATGGTAGAAGAGGCACAGGAGAAGCGGAAACAGCAGTGTTCAGTACTGATTGACTTCTTAACAGGGAACACTAAACTAAGACAACACCTTGAGGTATCTATATAACACTAAATGCATTAGCAGTTATTCATTGCATGTCCATCTTAAAGCCTTTATCAGAAGATGATCAATCTCAAGTAATTTTTAAGTGATGTTTATTTGCAGGCCATCACCACTGGCAATCTGCACTCACTGTGGAAAGGAAAAAAGTAGAGGGCCACCACCTACTTCGATGATGACACGCAGCTTGAGGAAGTGGTCTCTTTTCTATTTGGAATCCTTAAGGACACACCAGGAGCGAGACAACCTCTAGATCCTGTTGCCTTTGTCTTTGACGTGCTTTTGCCTTAGGTAAAATGTCATTGTTCATCATTCAGATCCAGATTGGTAGAAACTGGTATATTGCATTACCCTTATTGAGTTATTTCATTCTGCTACAGACAGTTATCTACAGCCTGGTGGAGGTGCACTCCCTATCAGTACAGAAAGCCACTGAGCTGTACAAACAGGGCCCACAATATGAACCATGGTAAGATAAAGACGAGAGGTTTGACAATATTAAACATAGATGTTTTCATATATAATGAAGTGTATAGTAATTGAATATACTATTTGTTTATTGACTCTATTTTCTTTCTTTTGACAGTGAGTTGGACCTCTTTCAAATCTGCCTCCAGAAAAATCTGAGCGCAGAGGCCACCAAAAGGCTTCAGGACTTTGAAATAAAAATGAGAAAAGCCCTCCAATCAGAAACATTTCTGAAGCGATTGTAAATTTTTGTTGTTGCTAAATGCAAGTTCTTACTGTACCTTTAAGGATAGATATTTAATAAAGATGAGCAGTTCTGGTCAAATAGTTTTATTTTTCTTCTGCAGAGGGATCAGTTCTTACACAGCATGTGGATTTTTGTGAGAAATGACACATCCGACTGAGTGAGCGAGGGTTTTATAGTATAGACCAAACAATTGGTTCTTTCGTTATTTATATCATCATTTCTTTTTTTTTTTATAGAAATGATATACATGGGCACGGAGGTCCTTTTGTGACTTTTTTCCCTATTAATCTGGATTTTCATGAGAAATTAGACTTAAATTTTCTGATTGGTCAATGTCTTGTGGGTACATTTATTTAACACAAAATTCCTTCATTTGATTCTCTGATGTGCAGTTCCCTTGATGATCCTCTGGATCTTTAAAAAAGTAGGCTAAACCTGATCTAATGAACACACTTTTTTGTTATTGGTTACATCTATGTAATAAAAGGAAAATGTGTAGGCTATAATATCCATCTGTGTACATAGACTACAGGAACACAGGAAAGATTAAGATGTTTGAAGTAATGGTAGCCTAAAGACCACATTGAAATTACTCTTGTCAGTTTTACAATACGATTCATCATAAGGGGAAGTAGTGTTTTTAATTTTAATTTGAAAAAAGAGGCCACTTCCGGAAGAAATAACTTCCGGTATGCTACGGAAATGTTACGTCACTTCCGTCATACCAGGGGCACTTCCGTCAAGCTAGAGGCTTGTGTCACGTTAGGGGCTTCCATAGATATATACACGTAGATGCCGCATTCGGGCTTGTCAGGCACGTCAACGCGGCCGCCATCTTGGGACGGGGTTCCTGACTAGCAGTCAGACGGTCAGACCGGGTCTGACAGGTGTGCATTTGGCAAAATGCCAGACTTTTGTGCCGCCTACGGATGTTCCCGTGAAAGAAACGCCGAAATGAAGAAACATGGATTAACATTTCACAAGTGAGAAGTTGTTTTATATTATTTGACTGTTATGAACGTGTTGAATTTGATGTATCTCTTAAGCTAACATAAATTAAACTAGCTTATTACTAGCTTATGTCAGGACAAGAAGACATTAGTAAGATGATGAAAGTGACATTTGGCAATCAGCCACTGTATATAAATGTCCTAAGTAGGCCATGTTATTCCTAAATTATCTATTAAATCAGTTTCATGGCACTAACATTAACGTTAACTGCTAACGTAAGTGATGAACCTGAGTTGTAGCTACATAAGCATGGAGAACTGAGCGTTGTTCAGATGGAGTTGATTTGTGTGTAGGTTTCCAAAAGATAAATGGAAGAGGCAGGCATGGGCAGCAGCACTCAGGAGGAGAGATTTTGTCTCAAAGGACCGTTCAGTCGTCTGCAGCTGTCACTTCAAACCACAAGACTTTGACAGGACTGGACAGTCAACTCGTTTAAAGGAAGGAGTGATACCATCAGTGTTTAATTTTCCTGACCATCTTTGCAAAATTAGTGTCATGACAAAATCTCATATAATCTTAATATTTCACTAACACAACACAGTGCCCACTAAATGATAATAAAATACACTATTCGAAATTGTTCCTATTGAATTAACCCTCATATAAACCTTTAAAAACGTAGTTAGTCAGTGTCACCTCCCTGATGTTAAAATGCACAATTCTATTAAGAGAGAAGACATACTTTTTTTTTTAAACAACAACGCATGATTGAGTTATCCTAAAATACCTGAAATCTTTGTCTAAATAATATAGAAATACATACCTGATAAAAGCTCTGTGAAAAACAAAATTATTACACTTACCTGGTGTCGCTGAGAAAACAAAATCAGTTCACACTTACCTGAAGAAATACTAGAGGACAGGCATGTCAAGAATAAATAAAATCACATGGATTCTTTTACCCTATGTTATGTTGCATTCAACCTGATTTTATGGCTTCAAATTTGTAGTAAGAGAAGGAGGAGGAGGAGGAAAGAGGAAGAGAAGGAGGAGGAGGAGGGAAGAGAAGGAGGAGAAGGAGAAAGATGATATAAATATGTATGATATAAAAAAATAATTGTGTGTGTGTATATATATATATATATATATATATATAAAAAACGAATCAATCTAGGTTGTGTCACAAATATACGTCTGACATTTATATTAAACCAAACGGCTTGAAAATCAGTTGAAAATTCAGTGAGTTATGGTGATTTTAATCGTTGATCGACCTCTTCCTCTGTTGACTAATGCAGTAACCGTTTTTTTAACACGGCTTCCCCCGGCCCAAGATGGCGGCCACATTGATGTATCGTTCCAATGGACAGCAGCGTCAGAGGCATGCGTGTATATATCTAAGAGGGGCTTCCGCTCCAGGGCTGAGAGCGGCTACTGATGTCACTCTCTTGCGCCACTCAGATTGCCAAATCGTTTTCGAATTATGGGCACTATTTTGCGGGGCAGACCACGAAAACGAAATAGCAATATCCTCTTTGTTTTCTTTTGGATTATGGCATAAAATGTGCAGTTAAGAAGAAAATGCAAATACAAATAGGATGATTGATTATTAATTTTATTTATGAGTCAAATAATGCAGCCACATTCTTAAAATGAAAAAGCATTTCTGCAAATGCATTTTAATTTTCAAATTTTACATTTCAAATTGAATTTTGGTATCTATTTGCTGGGGCATATTTTGAAAATTAAATCTCAAATGTCTTTTTCATTTTAATTAAGTAAAAGAATGAGCAGTCTTGTAGAAGAAAATTTAAATGCAAATAGGATGATTGATTATTATTTTATTTATGAGTCCAGTAATGCAGCCACATTCTTAAAATGAAAAGCATTTCTGCAAATGCAAATTAATATAAATTTTGGTCACAATTCGCTTCCATAGTCCGGCCCTAGGTGGGTGGTTGTCTGCCTCGACCAGTTGGGGTGAGAGAGAGACAGACAGGCAGACGTGCATAGCAACAACAGTAGCAACAACTAATAGTAGTGACTGATGATGAATATGAAAAAGATGATGGTAAATGTTAAATGGACCTGTACTTGTATAGCGCCTTTCTAGTTTTCCGACCACTCAAAGCGCTTTTACACTACGTGCCACATTCACCCTTTCACACACATTCACTCAGTGATAGCAAAGTCCGTCGAACAGAAACAAATGCATTCATACACATTCACACACTGATGCACGGCATCGGGAGCAATTTGGGGTTCAGTATCATGCTCAAGGATACTTCGACATGTGCAGGAGGAGCCGGGGATCGAACCAACAACCTTCCGATTAGGGGACGACCCGCTCTGCCTCGAGGTCGACAACAACGATGGGGGGCAATGAGCAGTGATTATAGTAATAATAGTAACTGTAGTAATAATACTTATAATAATAATAACAATAATATCAGTAATATTAGCAATGGCAGTCAAGCAGGACCATGGCAGGAGGCTCCACCAGGATCCATGAGAACCTATGAGACGAGAAAGCACAAGAACTCCAGGGACGAAGTGAAGTTAGTAACATGCATCAATGTAACATGAATGAGTGCAGAAAGTGAAGTAGAGAAGAAGACAAGGGCCAGCCTTGTTCCTCATAAGCCACTCATAACAGTGGGTATTCCTGAGCTCTAAAGAAAAAGCACTGTCTTGCTATCCTCAACATGTCTGATAAAGATGGATAAATGTTGAGTCTCATTCCCAGGTCCCAAAGCTTAGGTATTTGATAACCTGGAAATGAGACTCAACGATCAACTATCTTTCTTAGTCCTGATTGGTTGTTTTCATTCAGCCATGGTGAATTCTTACAAATACCATTAGGAGCCAGAGGAACATGATTTTTTTCACAGATCTGTCCCATGTAATGCTGTCAGGATTTAGTGAACGTTTCAGCAAATACAACAAAGAAAGTTATTTACCTACTGCAGCTTTAATTCTACTATTTACAGAATGAATATACAGGAGAAATATTTTTGTGTGCACTTTTTGCTTTAATACGCAACCTTCTGTGAACAATCCACTTGTAAATGGTCTATTGACATTCCAGCTCAAAACTATATAGGCCGCTATATCGGTAATCTGTGAATTTCTCCCATAAAAATCAGTGGTTTCAAAAATATAGCATGTGCATCCATGCTTTAATACTGTAACTGGTGGTGGTATTTCAATTCAAATCAATTCAATTCAATTCAATTTTATTTGTATAGCGCCAATTCATAACAGAAGTTATCTCAGGACACTTTTCAAATAGAGCAGGTCTAGACCGAACTCCATATAACATTTACAGAGACCCAACAGTACCACCATGAGCAAGCACCTGGTGACAAGGGCAAGGAAAAACTGCCTTTTAAGAGGCAGAAACCTGGGACAGATCCTTCGGCTCTAGGTGGGTGGTCGTCTGCCTTGACCAGTTGGGGAGAGAGAGAGAGAGAGAGAGAGAGAGAGACAGACAGACAGACAGACAGATGCACAGCAAAGAGAGAGGAAGAGAGGAGCTCAGTGCATCATGGGAAATCCCCTGATAGTCTAGGCCTATAGCAGCATAACTAAGGGATGGTTCAGGACTCACCTGAGCCAGCCCTAACTATAAGCTTTATCAAAGAGGAATGTCTACTCTTAAATATGGAGAGGGTGTCTGCCTCCTGAACCACAACTGGAAGCTGGTTCCACAGGAGAGGAGCTTGGTAACTGAAGGCTCTGGCTCCTGTTCTACTTTTTGAGACTATAGGAACCACAAGTAGCCCTGCATTCAGAGAACGCAGTGTTCTAGAGGGGTAATAGGGTACTATGAGCTCTTTAAGATATGAAGGGGCCTGTCCATGAAGAGCTTTGTAGGTGAGTAGGAGGATTTTAAATTCTATTCTAAATTCTATAGGGAGCCAGTGCAAAGAAGCTAGTATAGGAGAAATGTGATCTCTTTTCCTAGTTCCTGTCAGTACTCATGCTGCAGCGTTCTGAATTAATTGGAGCGTCTTAATGGATTTATTGGGGCAACCTGACAATAAGGAGTTGCAGTAATCCAGCCTAGAAGTAACAAATGCATGGATTAGTTTTTCTGCATCCGTCTGTGACAGGATGTCTAATTGTAATATTACGTAAATGAAAGAAGGCAGTCCTAGAGGTCTGCTTTATGTGGGAATTAAATGGCATGTCCTGATCAAAGATTCCTGACAGTGGTGCTAGAAGCCAAGGTAATGCCATCTAGAGTAACTATATCTTTAGACAGTGAGTCTCTAAGGTTTTTGGGGCCAAGTAGAAGAATTTCGTTTAACTTTAATTTTCTGAGTTTTACATCAGAAAATTGCAGCCCATCCAGGATTTTATGTCCTTACGACATGTTTGTAATTTAGATAATTGATTAAATTCATCGGGCTTGATCGATAGATATAACTGCGTATCATCTGCATAGCAATGAAAGTTAATGGGGTGATTCCTAGTAATGTTGCCTAAAGGGAGCATATATAAAGTAAATAGTATTGGTCCAAGTACAGAACCTTGTGGAACTCCATGACTAACTGTAGTATTTATGGAAGATTCATCGTTAACGTGTACAAACTGAGAACGATCTGATAAGTTTGACCTTAACCAGCTTAGTGCAGTTCATTTAATGCCAATTTGATGCTCAAGTCTCTGTAAAAGAATGTCATGGTCAATGGTGTCAAATGCAGCACTTAGAGCTAATAATACAAGTACAGAGACAAGTCCATTGTTGGAAGCAGAGCTGTCTCTGTGCTGTGATGAACTGAAACTGAAAATCCTCAAATAAACTATTGTTATGTAAAAAGTCACACAACTCTTTGACGACTACTTTCTCCAGAATCTTAGAGAGGAAGGGGAGGTTAGAAATCGGTCTATATTTGGCTAAACCCCTGGGTCAAGAGTAGGCTTTTTAAGAAGGGGTTTAATTACAGCTACTTTAAAGGACTGTGGTATATATCCTGACAATAAGGAAAGATTAATCATATCCAGTAAAGAAGTGCCAATTAAGGGT